GGATCTCCTCGTCGTGAGTGAACGGCAAGATGCCTAGAGGGGGGAAAAAAGGCTAAGGAGCATAACGAGGAGACTGATTTGCGCGTCTTCTTTCTCTAGATCAGACGTCACCGACTACGAGCGTCTTAAGAACACCTTCGACTTGGTCGTTCAAGACTTCCACCGCATTGATGGAATGTAAGGGGAATCCGCTCCTACTCTTACACCCAACCTGAGCTCTTCAAGCATATTCTCACGCTGTCCTTTCTTCGATCCTGTCAAGAGAACCATTCTCACGCCGTGTGCTGAATAGTATAACCGCGGCGGGCATCTGCCCGGACCAGCCGTTCCTCGAGCGTGCCCCGACCAGCGTCAAGCACACGTTCGAAATCAACGTCCTGGGCACGTACTACGCCGCACAACTGGCCGTGCGGCAGATGACCACGCAAACGCCCCTGACCACAACCTCTCCGACCTCGGCGCATCCTCACGCAGCCGGCTCCGTCGTTATGATCGCCAGCATCGCCGCCCACCAGGCGTCCAAGCTGCAGTACACGTCCGACTACTGTGCCTCCAAGGGGGCGGTGCTGGCGCTGTGCCGCCAACTTGGCGTCGAGCTGGCCACCGCCGGCGTGCGCGTCAACTGCATCTCCCCCGGCTACGTCATGACCGACATGACTCTGGACATCAGCGCCACGAGGCCCGGGTTGGCCGAGGTGTTCGTCTCGGAGCCGCCCATGAAGAGGATGGCCGACCGCGCCGAGCTCAAAGGCGCGGCGGTTTACTTGCTCAGCGCCGCCAGCAGCTACATGACTGGGGGAGAGCTTTTGATTACCGGCGGAATGCACGCCGGGAGGAACTGAGCCTGGGTTTTGAACAGAGATGATGTCCTTGACAATCAGTCTTGGGGTATATTTGACAAGGTTGTTGTGAGGCGCAGCGCACTACAGAAGAGGCTAGATAAAAAGGACAGCTGTTTCCTTCCCTTTCTGCCAGCAGCTGGAATGCGAATATCCAGGATAAGTTCGCGGAATACAGGGACAAAAAAGGGAATTTGATTCTTTGGGCAAAGATTTACATGCTTCTGTCCTTTGCCGTGGAAACCCATCTTACCACCCTGTTCAAACCTTCTCCCCTCACACGCCCAGATTTCCCAAAGTAATATTCTTCATAACCTGGAACTCGGCCAGGCCATACATGCTACCCTCCTTGCCCAGGCCGCTCTCCTTGATACCTCCAAAGGGCGCCTCCGCGGCGCTGATCTTACCGGTGTTGACGCCCACCATGCCAACCTCGAGCGCGAGGGCAACCTTCCATACTTTGCGCAGGTCGTTGGCAAAGAAGTACCCGGCCAGGCCGAACTCAGTGTCGTTGGCCATCGCGATGACCTCGTCCACCGTATCGAACATGATAACGGGCGCTAGCGGGCCGAACGTCTCGTCCTTGGCCACCAGCATCGACTGTGTGACGCCAGTCAGCAGCGCCGGTTCGATAAAATAGCCCTTCCCGTTGGTGCTGGTCGCCTCCGGTACCCGGCCGCCCACGACTAGCTTGGCGCCCTTACTGACGGCGTCGTCGATGTGTGCGCGGACCTTGGCCACGCCGGCGCGGTTGACGAGGGGCCCGTGGGTGACCGACGGATCGAGACCCGACCCTATCTTGAAGCCGCGCATGCGTTCGAGCAGCGCCTCCACGAACCGATCGTGGATCCCTCGTTGCACATAGATCCTGTTCGCGCAGACGCAGGTCTGCCCGGAGCAGCGGAACTTGCACACCAGCACGCCGTCAACGGCTTGGGCCAGGTCGGCGTCGTCGAAGACAATATACGGCGCGTTCCCGCCGAGCTCCATCGACACCTTCTTCATCGTCCCTGCTGCGGCTGCTGTGATAAGTTTACCGACCGGGGTAGAGCCGGTGAAGGAGACCTTCTTCACGATCGGGTTGGTGTAGAGTTCGGCGGTGGCAGTGCGGTCTCTAGTAGGCACCACTTGGATGACATTGGGCGGGATGCCGGCTTGCTGAGCGAGGTATGTCAAGGCCAGGGTGCAGAGAGGGGTCTCGGAAGGCGGCTTGATGACCACAGTGCAGCCTGCCGCCAGGGCAGGGCCGAGTTTGCGCGTGATCATGGCTATGGGGAAATTCCAGGGAGCAACAATGCCACAGACACCAATTGGTTGGCGGACGACCAGGTTGGTACTTTGAGCATGCTGCGAAGGGATCACGTCACCGTAGGAGCGAATAGCTTCCTCCGCGAACCAGCTGATGAAAGAGGCGCCATATTCAACCTCCCCAGCAGCCTCGGGTAGGGTCTTGCCGTTCTCCATCGTTAGGATGACGGCGAGGTCGTCGGCGTGGCGGCGTATCAGGGCCGCCCACTTGTGTAGCATCTTGGAGCGAGCATGTTCGCTCGTATGTCGAAACTCTTTGAAAGCTGCCTCAGCATGGTTTATTGCTGCTTTGAAGTCTTCGGCTCCTAGATCAGCGATGTTGGCAATCACTTTGTCCGTGGCAGGGTCGTAGACAGGGAAGGTCTTGACGCCGCTGACCCATTCGCCTCCGATGAAGCCCTGTTCGTGGATGAGGGAATGATCAGAAATGGCTTCCTTGATGGTCGCTGGGTGCGAGAATGGCGACCTGTAGTCACCCATCTTGTAATTGCTAGAATGATGCTGGTTCTGATGCAAATTCTATAAGGAATCCCGGTGCTCGTTGGCCTGCCACTTCAGTATCCTTTGTTATACCTTCGCAGTCTTGAGCCCTGAGCCCCAATTTCCAGCTTATCAGATGACCGGAACATTTGTTCGATGGCTGCTAGCAGCAGAAAGTCAGCTGGAGGCACCAATCCCAGCGACAGCCGTGGCCATCTGTCAACTCCCCGCCGTCAGAGAAGCCCCGGTCAGAGTAGTGTCCAGACACCTCCCTTCCAGGAGGCCCGAAGCCATAGTGACTGGCAAGGGATTACCGATCAAAATCCCCGTTCAATGATGGAGTATTTTCCACCCTCAAAGGTATTCTATTGGGTAGTCAAGTTGCATGTGTATCGGTGACGATGTCTCGAAGCTGATGTCATTTGCGGGAACCCTTTCCCGTACCTACTGGCGAGCTTGGCGAATTCGCCCGAGTTTCATAGTAATGCCCGTCGGCTATGTACCTCGTAACAGGGCGATCGAAAGAAATTGAAGCACGCTGATTATTCGGTAGCATCTACCCATTACCGGAGGCCCGGCACTGTGACGGGTACGGTCGAACGCGTAGAAATGCTCATCTCACGACGACTCTCCATGTCAAGGAGGACGGTGAACGTGGTCACGGCTCATGCGGAGTCGTATCTTCTAAAGTCATGACTTCGGAACAAACATACGCGTTTCCAGAATTTGCAGAGTTACCAACAGTCCCCGGCACTCCGCAGGGATGTGTTTGGGGCATGTATGACAGATACGGCGAGAAAGATGAAGTCGGCGGTGAGCAGATCGGACGGGCCGCCAGAAGAGGAAGAAATCAGGCTAACGAGATTACAGCAATCAATCTGCTCACGCCAGCGGTGGTTCGTGCCGCGAGCCTAGAGATCAAGACTGGCCGCCACGTCCAATTGGACTGGCCCTTGAACAATCTCGAGTTCCCAGGCTTCCACCGCAAAGCGTTTGAGCAGAAGGTCATTGATCTTTCCAAGAATCTGGGGGCCTACGGATTCGACGACGAAATCCACATAAACACCCAGAGCGGCTCGCAGTGGGACAGCTTGAAACATGTATGTGCTTTGACGAAGGGGAAATTGATGGCGATGTGCTTATCCTAAGAATGGTGAATTTACTGACCTCCATTTCCAGCACGCATATCAACCAGGAAAAGTCTTTTATAATGGGTTAACCTTCGACAACGCTCTTGTATCCACCACAAACGGCATTCACAGTGAGCCTTGAACTTTGAGAAACTATAAACCTCAGAACTCTGACCCTGGAAACAGACTGGTGCGAGCGTGGCGGCATCGTTGGCCGCGGCGTCCTCATTGACATGGTTGGTAAAGCTGCTTCACAACGCACTTGTCGCCCTGAGGCTGATCCGTGTAGGTTCGGTTCTACGAGAAGCGAGATGGCAAAGCCCCAAATGCATGGGAACGATTTGAAATCCCCGTGGCCGATCTCAAAGCGGCTTTGACAGACCAAGGGACGACGCCGAAACAGGGAGATTTGCTCATGATCCGATCAGGCTATGTTCGCCAGCACGATCGCGCTTCCTCCGAAGAGCGCAGACTGGGGACTTTCGGCACCGACAAGAAGGCGATCGGAGTGGCCAGCAACGAAGAGATGGTAAAGTGGCTGTACAGCCAGCATTTTGCCGCACACATTGGAGACACGGTCGCGTTTGAGGCCTGGCCACCACCACATCTGGGCCAATGGATCATCCACGAATGGTCCCTGGTCTGGTGGGGAGCCCCTATCGGTGAGCTGTGGAATCTGGAGGGGTTGGCTGCTGAGTGCGAGAGACAGCAGCGTTGGACATTCTTCGTGACCAGCGCGCCCTTGAACGTCAAGGGTGGTGTTGGAAGTCCACCAGGAGCGATAGCTATCTTTTAACGCCTGTCACTCTCACGGATTGCAAGAATCGCAAACAGCCAACACCTCTTCGATGCCCTCAAAAGGAGTCCCCCCTTATTTTTTACCGCCCACTGAGGCTCTGCCAGCCTGCATTTGGAAGATTCTCCAGAGCACGTGAGGCTCCTTGACTCGGAAAATGAAGAGAGAAACCCGAATGAAGCCGGAGCCCGGGAGACGTAGAGTCCGGTAAATAGCAGGGCATATGTCGTCCGTTCGGTCGAATGGGAACCCTAGGTCATATAGCCGGGTATGCTGAAACCTTAGCTTCAGATCCGCTCGCGGTGTTGCTGCTTCACCTATTTAAGAGTCTATGCATATTGAAGAGACTGGGTCTTGTGCACAGCCACCGCCAAACAGTACAGGTACTCGGTACACGGTGAGGACAGCCACAGAAGAAGTGCCCACCACTCGTTCCAAACACCCCACATGTCTGCACCTGTAAGTTGAGTTCCCGCAGACCCTGGTCTCTTCTCCTCTTCAAACGGCTCCAGAGGCCGGGAAGGACAACGGACCCAGGGGTCAAACTGCACTCCAAGTAGGTGGTGCAGTCACTGTCTAACGACCTTTCCGTCTATTTAGCCTACGTGGAACCGTCCGCTCAACCATGTGGCCGTGTCGGTGCCCGACGTCGAAGCCGTGGTGGACTGGTACAGCACACACCTGGGGTTCCGCCTCCTGGGCAAGATCGCACACATCAAGCGATCGACGGATCCCAACGCCGCCATCTTCGCCATCTACCCGCCGAGCCTGAACGAAGTCAAGCTGGCGTACATGGCGACCGGGAATGGCGTCGGCTTCGAGGTGTTTGAGTTCGTCGACCCCAAGCCGGTGGCGGCGGAGCGCGAATTCCACTACGAGCGCGCCGGCTTCTTCCACGTCTGTGTCACCGATCCCGACCCAGACGCTCTGGCGGACAGGGTCGTCAGTGCTGGCGGCAAGAAGGTCGGCCAGACCGTCGACCCCGGCAACGTTGGTGTCAAGTGTCTCTACTTGGCAGACCCGTGGGGAAATATCGTCGAGGCCCTGTCGGTCAGCTTTGAGTGGTTGGCCTGCAGAACGGCGTTTTAGATAGAAATCCGACCGGATGGTTCGGCGACGTAAAATATGTTGACAGGGGGGAATTTCAAGTATCATTGATTGGCTGAGATTTGAAGGTGTACTTGGCCATAATGTTCCTCCTCAAAGAAGGGACACTTAACACGTTTGCTATAGCCGATTAGCCTGCATCGCATGTTGTATGTTAATCATGAGGACATAGTCTCTCGTGTGTCCCAGGTTACCAGTGGCTAAGTGACCCAAGGACCAAAGACGCGGCTTTGTAAGTGGAATAGGTGTCTCGGTTTTGAGATTCCGGCGGACCGTATCTACAACAGATATACTGTGCCGTATGTAAACTTTATTAGTCTCTGCTCCGGATCGCTAGCTCTGTTGTCATTTATGAAAAATATCGATACAGAAATCCTGCAACTGGTTTCTTTTGGTTTTGCTTCATAAGACCAGGACGTGCCGTGGATATTGATGTGTATTGTCCCATTCCTAAAGAAAGATTGTCTGGTCTGTCCGATCTGGCAGAAACGCAGTGGGAATTCGAGAAGATTATATAGAAGGAAGAGAGGTTGAAGCCAAAAGATGCTGCAGCAAAACGGAGAGGCTCCTGCTTCCATCGACCGCCCAATTTGCAAGAAGACCGTCAAGCTGAACAATGGTATAGTGTCCCAGCCCTCCCCGTTGCTGTCTGCATCGCCCTTGAGGGCATTATATCCTCAATTCGACTGTGGCATACCATTTTTCAGGTACTGAGTATGATCAAGAACGTATCTGCTGACCTCGGGGGCCGTCCTCGCTACAGGAACTGAATGTCCATTGGTCGGCCTGGGCACATGGCAGGGTAAGCGAGTCAAACACATCTCCTGGACCAGCACGTCTGGCATCCGCTTTACTATACGGACGATAGTCTGACTTGGCTGCTCATTTCCCTTGGTCCAGGCCAGTATGGCACCTTGGCCGCGCAGCAACTCGAGGACAGCATCATACACGCGCTACACCACGGGTACCGGCTGATAGACACTGCACAATACTATGGCGTGGAAAAGGTCGTGGGTTCCGCAATCCGCAAATCCGGGGTGCCCCGATCTTCGATCATAGTTATCACCAAGTTCTGGTCGCACTGGCACCACGACCCGGCTGCTGCGCTGCGTCAGTCCCTTGCCGATCTCGACATCGACTACATCGACATCTTCATGATGCACTGGCCTAACCTCATGCTCAAAGAGGGTGTCCCGGAGCCATGGGGCGCGAAGCCTGATTTCATCGATACTTGGACAGTTATGGAGGATCTTGTCTTGGATGAGTCCCTAGGCTTGAAGGACAAGGTCAGAGGCTTGGGAGTCAGCAATTTCACCAGAAAGCTACTCGAGCCACTGTTGGAGCGATGCAGGCTCAAACCGCTGGTCAATGAGGTCGAGCTGCATGCCATGAATCCGAATCTAAAGCTTGTGCCGTGGTGTCAACAGAACGGAATTCAGGTCATCAGTTGGAGGTGAGTTCTTTTGTAGGCGTGTCGGCCATTTTTTTTCTTGGTTTCAGTGAGCAGAGATGGTATCCCCCCTGACGGAGGTGGTCGATTTCTCGGCTCTCTGGATGTACTTGCCAACATCAAGCATTCCATACACCGTCACCTTTGTTCCATCTTCTGCTATCTTGTCTCATCGTCAAATGATGATGAAGAAGAAAAAGATTGACCAAGAAACTTTTCACAGCACCCTTGGATCCGAACGAACCAATGAACGAAATCAGATTCTAACCCACCCGCTCTTTACCAATATCGCGGCCAAACATTCCTGCTCCGTCGGCGTTGTCTCCCTTTCCTGGGCAGTACAACGGGGTATCATTGTCATTCCGAAATCGTCATCGCTCAAGCGTATCGAGGACAACATCAAGCTGGTGGAGCTAAGCGAGGAAGAAATGGAGAAACTCAACGCCGCAGAGAAACTGGTGGGCCGTATGAGGCTAAGCGATACAATTCCGGGAATTCAGTACAAGATGCCGGATGGGAGGGATACAATCCTGGGGTGGACAAAAGTAGATTTTGGATGGGAGGATGAAGAGGGCGAGTGGCTGTGCTGAGGCGAAGAAAGGAAACGGCGGAAGATTTCAGAAGAGGCGCAAAGGAAACGGAAAGAGTGGATAAAGAGCGAAACCATCGTTGGGCTTCCAAAATTTGGAGGCTGACCTTGTTCCTAGAGCCGCTGGGCGTTCAGGGTAATGGACGAAAAACCGGAAAGCTACCAAGATACGTTTCGTGTGTGTCACTGGCTTATCAAGATAGAAACGATATTGGCTCTGCCGTCCCGAAGTAGTTTGGGAACATGGCATAATCTGTCGACGACGGAAACGTCTCCTCGCCCTGGGACATGTCGAAGAAGCCCAGAGTCGGGTGGTTTTGCCAGTTGACGTAGCCGTTGATTCCGTCCAGGTCCACGCCGTTGCCCACGGAAGTGCCCCCGTTGGCAGACACATTATTAATCCGGAGATCTACTTCGTCCGACTCCATGTCTTGATTCCGGTTCCCGATCAAGTTGTCAAATAGTTTGGAGATCCAGGGCGCGGGGTCCCATGCTTCATAGATGTCGTGCCATACCATTTGACAGCTATTCAGGGCCTGGAACCCTAGCTGAGATACTAGTGGTAGCGGGCTCTTCATTTGGGTGTAAAAGACGGCCTGTGCGAGAAAGAGGCCTTGGAAGACTTCGTGCGGCATGACAAGAGATTCGTTCTTACGTGTGAAAGTGCAAGCAAGAGAAGAAATGCGCTGTGCGGCCACCTCGGTAATGGGGCGCGAGGTTGAGTTTCCTCTAAGAGATCCACTTTCGCTAGCTGTGGAAGTCACCCCGGTTGAGGGCCGGCTCAAGTGACTCAAGATTAGATGGTGGTCATAGAGTATGGCGAGGCATGTAGCAAACGGGTTCGAATTCTTATCGCTCTCCGAGCAGCGTAAACTAGGAGGAAGTGCGTTTCGCCATTCTTGTAACGTGTCGTGGAGGTTGGCCATTCGAGCCTGGGCGCGGTTCGGATCGAATCTCGTCGAGATGATCTCTCTCAAGAGTAGAGATAGCTTGGACATATGAATCTGATAGAGACCGCAGACGTCGCGGAGAGGATGGTTGACAAAATCCGGGCTTTGAATGTCATACTCGAAGTCTTCGACCGTCAGCATCTCGGTGTCGGAATGATTGGTGTTGATGCGGAAGGGGCGTCCCACGAGAGTACCACATGAAGCATCTCGGATGACCAGAATCCACCAGAGCCTTTTCAGCAGACTCCGGTCGTGAGGATGCATATTTGCTCCCGCGATGGATCGGTGAATACCCAGGCCTTCCGCAATCGTGACCCCGGTAGAGATCCAACTGTAAAAGTTCCAGTAATTGTTGGGTCCTCCTCCCCAGCACGTCAGAACGATAACGCTCTGTAGGATAGTGATCTTGTTAGATTCGTAGCCGGTGTCAAACAACGCTTTGGCCTTGCGATAATACGAGACTCTAGCTTGCTTCCGTCCAGTAAATCCAGCACGGTGCAGGATGGCAAGGGGGCAAAAGGTGGCCGAGATGAAACAAAGCGCATGTAGTAGAATCCACGGAACCTTCTTGGCTTTGTACTGCTGAAGAAACTCTTGTCGGTTAACCACGGGATAGATAGGCCATACTCGGTCCAGGAAATTTGCAATTAAGGCGTCGAGGATTTCCTGCGAGGGGGCGACAAAAGCATCCTTGGCTTGAAGAAAAGCGATATCCTCGGGCAGCATATGCGAAGGGTGATTTTCACTCGTAGGTTCAGCCCTTGCCTGATCCTCTGTGAGCGGCGGACCAGCATGATGGAGGCGCGGTCTTCCTCCTTCTTTGAATTCTTCGAGCACCATGGCCAGTGGAAATGACTCCCCTAGGTAGGTGATGGAGCATTTGTCTATCGTGTCCTTCTGGTCCCGTCGTCGCCCGTCGAGGAAATGGTCGAACATGGCCGCCCAGGAAATTTCACGATATGACTTTGCACTGGCCTCCGAGAATGCTCCTTCTGGAGAGGCCAGATCCGTGCTGGAAGTAGTCGATGCCGACACTGGAATACCATTTGGGGCAGCGGCGGGAGGCGCTTGACTGCCGACACCGATGCTGTGAGTTGCTTCATGGGGGAGGGGCGATCCGTTTGCAGGAGTCGGATCACGAAGGGGCCGATGTGCTGTCGCTTCTGACACAGCGGGCGTGGAGATGGCGTCGGCGCTCGTGTCAGCTTCGACTCCAGCAGAGGCTTCCATGGGCTCTGGTACAGGGGGATTGGGCTTGGACCTTTTGCGAGGATGTGTGCCTCGCCTGGACTGTATCAGAACGCATTCCTCGCTGTTGCTCTGTCGACACTTGGAGCAAGGAGTTCCACATTCGAACGCGTCACACTTGATTCTTTTCTGGTTACAGCGTTTGCATGCTTTGACCGCACGTGTCCGGTTCGAGGGCGCATGTTCTGAGCTGCCAGGGCGCATCTTAAATTGTACTGCGATGAATGGCTTTGAGACCGTCCAATCGCTCAGAGGGCGAGGACGAAGGAGTGAATAGCTGACGACGACGGTATCTCTCTTCTCGGCGTCTGGAGCGTGATAAGTGGGAGTGGGCAAATTGAGGAGTAGACTCAAGTGGGATTTTGCAACTTGGACGGAAGAACGAGGGCCCGAGTTTTTCCTCGCCTCCGCCTGGGGTTGTTCTCTAGCCTCGACTTTGGGTGCAACTAAGCCCCCACCCGCCCATCCTGTGAGTTCGCAGTGCCTAGCATGTCTACCGCGGGGATGATGGGGGTCCACTGGGGGGTCCATAGGGTAGCATGTCCCCCGTAGCTCCCACCTGCCCCCCTGGGATAAGCACCTACGCACCAAGGTAGCGAGGGGACACGTGCCAAGTATTCCCTGGTGGAGGTTCAAAAGGTTCAATGTTGTTCTTCCTGCGCCGCATCCGTCCCCATGTAGCCGGTCTGGAACTTGAATCCCGGCCACAGCAACTTCCCTCGGGCTTTGATCGCGCCTCTAACATGGCCACTGTTAATACTCTTCCGTTCCAGTATATACTGTTCTGCGACCTGTTTGGAAAATCTACAGGTAAGCGATGTCGACCGCCACCATGACCACCAAAACGCATCCTGCGCTACGTATACATGCCCGCGAGAAGCTCCAGCTCGATCAGATTCCTCCCTTGTATGTTACAATCGACACTCCTCCTGGATATCTCAGCTTGGGCTCGAGTTAATGACTATCTAGGCCTTGCGGACCCAATGAAGTTCGACTCAAGATTGCCTATTGTGGTATTTGCGGCTCAGACATTCATGAATATCAGGCACTCCCTATCTTTGCACCGCCACCAGGTGGCAAGCATCATGCCACAGGCGTTGAGCTGCCGGTGGTTATGGGCCATGAAATGTCGGGCACTGTGACCGAGGTTGGATCCGCGGTCAAAGATCTGGAAATCGGCCAGAACGTGGCAGTCTGTCCGTCCTTGGACGATCGCTCCTACAATGAGCCGCCGTGCTCATCCTGTCGCAGGGGCAAGGTCAATATCTGCAAGCGCTTTGCCACCTATGGACTCAGTGCCTGGGGAGGAGGATTCTCGACCGAGATTGTGGTCAAAGACTTCAATTGCTTCCCTCTTCCAAGCTCAGTGTCCCTCAAAGTGGGCGCCCTGACTGAACCTCTCGCTGTAGCCTGGCACAGCATTCGCACATCCGGGTTCCAAAAGGGCCAGTCCGCTCTTATTCTCGGCGCCGGTCCTATAGGCCTGGCCATTTTGCTCTTGCTCAAAGTTTGGGATGCTAGTAAGGTAGTCGTGACCGAAGTTACAGAGGCGAGACAGCTACAAGCACAGAAATTCGGCGCCGACTTGGTTATCAACCCTCTACAAAAGATCGCGGCCAGCTCAGGCGAGGCGCCTACAGACCCAGTGGTGGACGCCATTCGGACCTTCTCTGAAGACGGCGTTGATGTTGCTTTCGACGCCACGGGCCTCCAATCGACCTTGGACACGGCGCTAGCGGCTACGCGACCTGGAGGGACTATTTTCAATGTTGCAATCCACGAGAAACCGCTGTCCTTGAACCTAAACGATATTGGTTTTCTCGAGAAACGCCTTCTGGGTGGTATTTGCTACACCAAGGAAGACTATGAACAGGTGATCAAAGCCATGGCATCGGGGAAGATTCCATTTGAGCAGATGATTACTTCGGTCGTACCCCTAACCAACGCCATCGAGGGCGGGTTCATGGAGCTTATCCGAAACAAAGCAAAACATGTCAAGATATTGATCCAGCCCCAGCAAGATTAGAAATATCAGTCGTCATCGACAATCACTCAGTATAAAGATGCCCGTTAGCCCGACTAGCACGCAATATGACAACCATTTGATTAGGCATTCCAGGTTCTTGTGGGGGAAAACACCTCCAGTTTGACCCCGAATCCCGCGTGGGTTTGCAACACACCCAAACCATATAACCGAAGGCCAAACTCATAAAGGCGAGGCGGCTTTTTGCCGGGCCAGCATATAGCCGCGATTCTCATGCATTGTGAGCAGCGTTAAGCGGATACGAGGCCGAGAGATGTAGGGACGGACCTTAACGCACTGATGTTATGTGTTCGGTCGCAGGAGCTAATGCGGAATACGGAGAGAGCTTTCGCGGCCCAGGGCGAGGACGAGAAGACTCAATGGTTCGACGTTATGATACACTTGATGAGATCCTTGGGCTTGTCGACGACCAGCTGCAGGGCGTCGGCGGCCTTCTCCAAGTCGAACGTGTGGGTAATCAGGGGCTTGACATCCAGCTGCCCGGACGCGATCATATCAATGGCGGTACGAAATGTGTTCGCGTACCTCCATAGCGACAAAAGATCGACCTCTCTCACCGCCGCGGCGCCGACGTTGATGTTCTGAACCGGCTGTCCCATTCCCACAACCACCACCTTGCCGCCTGGTGCAGCACAATGGATGCCAATATTCACACAGGTGTCCACGCCGGTACACTCGAACACGACGTCGGCCAACCCCCATCCCTGGCCCGTCTGCTCGAGCATCTGTCCAGCCACCCTCCTGGCCATATCGGGCTTTGATTCCCCCTCATTGCCACGGATTGGAATTTCAAACACGGCGTCAGCGAATCCATGTCGCTTGGAGAATTCCAATCTGGCGCCATCAACGTCCACCATACCAATCCATCTGGCTCCATTTACCCGTGCCACCGCGGCACAAAATAAGCCAATGGCACCGGCCCCGAGAACCACCACTCTCATGCCGCCTCTCACTTCCGCCCTCTGGACCGCATGAACCGCTACACTCAAAGGCTCAACCATGGCGGCCTCTTCCCAACTCATGGCCTGGGGCAGCGAGTACACCCACGACGCCGGATGCGTATACCTTGCCTGCAGCGTCCCCTGGACTGGTGGGTTCGCACTGGCGCTCCCGCTGAACTTGAGCCGGGGACAAAGGTTGTACTTGCCGCTGCGACAGACGTCGCACCGCTCGCACGGCCGCTGCGGCTCGATCGCTACACGGTCCCCGACCTTCAAACCCAGCCCCAGCGACTCTACGGCATTGCCGAGTGCAACAATCGTCCCTGCAGCCTCGTGCCCGAGCACCAGCGGCGTCGTGACGACAAACATGCCGTTCCGCCCTGCCGAATAGTAGTGCATGTCCGTACCGCAAATACCTGTGGCGCGCGGAGCAATGAGGACTTCGTGTGCAAGGGGAGTGGGCGTCGCGACTTGCGTCAAGCGCAGGTCTCGTGCCCCGTGGAGGAGGGCGGCGAGATGAGTCGAGCTCGTCGACATAGTTGAAGGTTGGAGGTCGACGGCAACGGTTGAAGGAATCAAAGCGGTGGTAATAGCGGTGGTAATTGAGGCGACCAAATGAGCTGTTACTATGAAACCTAGGTAAATACTGGAGGAAACGAGAGACTGCAGCTAAAGGGAGGAAAATGGCTGTTTGCCTCCTTCCGAATATAACAGGGTGTATTAACCGGGCTGTTTTTCCTCTCCGTAAGCTTTGCTGCGTCGAAATGGTTCTTTTAGCTATGTCACTGGCTGATGAGCTGGTCTGCTTACTGGGTCTCTATGGCAGATTCTTTTATTATATCTTCTGGTGAATGAAATGTAATAAATAAAGAGAAGGGACCAATAGTATGGTATCGGCGGAAAAAAGTCGTAAATGACCAACTCCAAGTCTACGGATTTATGACAAGCCCCGTCTTTGCATAGAGGGGACTTCCCAGGATTGGATAGGCCTGCCCGTGTAGCATTGTGGCCGAAGATATGGGGATATCCAATGTTTCAGCACGGGCCGTTCACGGAACGACGAGCAAACGGAAAGGCGAAGGGCTGGAATGGGATACACAGACATAGACGGGTATGATCATGCTTGTTTACACCCGACTTGCAGAGCCGGAGGCTGGAGGCAAAAAACAGCGTCATATAGCCGTAGACCCCGGAAGGAATCAAGAGACTTAAAAATTGAGTACAGCGGAACGGAAAGCTTTGCCCACAGGTGGCCGCCAACGGGTATAGCTACCTGTGAGGCAACGCACCCGCAGGTCGGGAAAGGGAAGATTTAGCGAGGAAGAGAGGACAAGGCATTGCATCCCGATTCGAACGGTTTACCATTAGCGTTTATGTAGCGAGCCGTCTATAGAAAGCACGCGGACTCATTTGTGCGCATGGCATGATCGAGGGGACGGATCGTGAAGCCAGCGACATCGACCCGTCTGCAGCTCGAAGCTCCCAAGTTGATCTCAATAATCCGTCTAGGAATCTATGCGCTGGATAACACTGAGCCACTAGGCCCATGCGTCTTACAGTATCTTCTGCTTCAATGTGTCCATCACGGGGCCAAGGATGTGGAAACTTCTCTTGAGCAGGACCGGCACAAAAACTCCAAAACTGGCCAACGTTGCAGCAATCTTCCATGCCGGGTGCACGGGGTGTGTGCCTTTGCCGCCGTAGAGATTAAAGTCCTTCCACACCGGCCAGTAGAGCTGATACCAGAACTTCCAGGTCTCGTCAGGGTAGTTGGTGGTATTGCGTCCAGCGGCGTCCAGGTTCCAATTACTGCAGCCGGCGTTCCAGACCATGGATTTCAGCCGGGCCTGGACGACATTGGCGTCGCGGTGCTCGGCGGCTTCCTTGACGTCGATGACTTGGAAGTCCCCGCGCAAGATCGGCTTCACCATGGTTTTGATGATGTACTCCACTTGCACCTCGTTGGTGTAGATGACCGAGTTGTGCGCAGGGAAGGCATTGGGACCGAACACGATCCCGAAGTTGGGGAAGCCTGTGACGAACGTCGCCTTGTATGCCTGTGCGCCCCGCGTGTCTTTCCAGTGTTCGTTTAGGCTGACACCGCCGACGCCTTTGACCGTGATGGGAGACAAGAATTCCTGGATTTTGAAGCCCGTGCTCAGGATGATGGTGTCGACGTCGATGCTCTGTTGGGGCGTTCGCAGACCAGTCTCGGTGATTTCCAGAATCGGCTCCGCTAGCAGCTCAATGTTCGGACTGTGGAGACTCTCGAGGTAGCCAGGGTCGAAGATTCGTCTCTTACACCCCAACGGGAATTGGGGGATGAGCAGGTCATGGTACTTCTTCGGTGCAGTCGCCACCATGTAAGCCTTGGCTTGTTCGGTGGCTGCCGCGCGGTTACGTACCGACCGGGCTGTTTCGGATTGGTATAGATTGTGAAGGGCGTCGGTGTTCTTCCACAGGTAGAAGCGGTAGATCCGGTTCCAGAGGGGCACGTATCGGAAGCACCATTTCTGCAAATCGGTGAAGTTGCGATTAGGTCTTTCGTTGATCCATTGGGGTGATCGTTGGAACTGATAGACCTGCGCGGCTTCCTTGACGACGTACGGGACCAGTTGAGCGGCCGAGCAGCCATTGCCAACGACAGCGACACGCTTACCCTGGAGAGAGACATTGTGATTCCAGCGAGCCGAATGCCAGATGTCGCCTTTGAACCTCTCATGACCGGGGATGTTGCAGTCTTTGGGTATGGATATTGTGCCCACGCAGGATACCAGCATTTCCGCTTCTTTGTGGAAGACATGGTTGTCGTCGAGGTCGCGGAGAGCCACGCGCCAGACTGACCTCTCTTCGATCCAAGCCGCCTCCACAACCTCCACGCCGAGACGCACATGGGGCCTGATGCCAAACTTATCAACTGTGTCTTGCAGGTATTGAAGGATCTCGGTTTGCTCGGCGAACCGCTTCGACCAGTCGGGGTTCAAATTGAAGGAGAAGGAGTAGAGGTGAGAGTCGACATCACAGCCAACACCAGGGTATGTATTGAGGTACCATGTCCCACCGATGGACCTCTCCCTTTCGTAAATAACGAAGTTATCATATCCTAGCTGGGATCTGAGCCGCGCAGAGAGGGCAATGCCAGCCACCCCGCATCCGATGACGATAAGGCGTGGTTCTGCTGTCCGTCCTGAGGGCATGGCGCCTGCTTGTAGACTCAGGTCCTCGCGCTCGACGCAAGTTATCTCAACAGATTCTGAATTCCAGAGCGACTTTTCTAGACTTCGAATTCTCACAATATATCAAATCCGACCAGCAAAGGGCTTGCCACTCGTCCATGTAGCCTCTAGTGTCAGCTCCTAGCCGATGGCTCGAACCCAAGGCGACACCCGGTTATATGAGGGTGGACTGAGAATCCCGGGCCATAACCACATACAGCTTCCCGGCGGCATGCTGTGGACCTCTGTACGGAACGGGCGCCCATAATCCATTTCGGGAGGCCAAATAAACGAGGAGTGAGTCCCGACAGACGCAGGACTGCTGTCTCCGTCCGCCGCTTGAAGGACTGTTCCGAAGCATTGCAGATATAATGGCGTGCAATACCCAGGCGGGCGGCGGATCGGTCGTCGGTCGTTGTCTGCGGAGGCATAGACGAGAAACATGCCAAGCATCGCGAACGGACATTCCGGCGCAGCCAACGGCGTCACTGCCACCCCCGTCTTGACTGACGACGATCAAGCAGTGCGAGACCTGAGAAAGTTCATCATCGATGTTTGTCGACAGAATGGCGGTGGCCATGGAGGCTCGGCGATTGGCATGGCGCCGCTGGGAGTGGCGCTGTGGCGCCATACAATGAGATACAACCCAAAGAACGCCGAATGGTTCGACCGCGATCGATTCGTGCTGTCCAATGGCCACGCTGCCATGTTCATCTACACTATGTTACATGTCACCGGATATCCAAGTATGACGTTGGATGAGGTGAAGTTGTACGGCTCTGCCAAACCAGTTGACCCAGACACAGGCAAATGGAAGGCCACCCTCTGCCATGGCCATCCAGAACTCGATGTTCCAGGCATCGAAGTCACTACTGGCCCGCTCGGTCAAGGAGTTGCGAATGCAGTGGGCCTCGCCATTGCTTCGAAACACCTAGCAGCGACCTTTAACAAGCCAGGCTATGAGGTCGTTCGTTCTCGGATCTACTGCACTACAGGCGATGGATGCATTCAGGAAGGAGTGGCCCAAGAGGCTATGGCCCTTGCAGGTCATCTTAAACTTGACAACCTCGTCCTTTGCTACGACAACAATCAGGTCACCTGTGATGGCCCCCTGGATTGGATTGTGTCCGAAGATACCAACGCCAAAATGCGCGCAATTGGCTGGAATGTCATCGATGTTTTCACTGGCGATAGCTCGGTAGACGATATTGTCTCAGCGTTGAAGCTTGCCCGATCTACAAAGGGTAAACCTACCTTCATCAATATCCGCACCACTATCGGCTACGGAACGTCCACCGCCGGCACTTTCAAATCGCATCACGGTACTTATTCTGATGAGGACGCTGCTCTCTACGCTTCTCCCAGCGTTTCAGCCACACATACTCTCTCAGAACAGACAAAAGCGTACCTTTCTCGGTGTGTCACCAGGGGCCAAGCTATTGAAGACGATTGGAACGCTCTCCTCTCGTCCTACAGGAAGGCTTACCCAACTGAAGCCCAGCGCCTATCCGACCGGATAAATGGCAAAGTCGACTATGAAACTATCCTCTCCACTCTTCAAATTCCCGATGTCATCCAAGCCACCCGACAGTTCAACGGTACCGTCTTTAACGCCCTCATGTCACATGTTCCTCACCTCGTCGCTGGCGGAGCCGACCTTTGGAATAGCAATCAAATGGGCGACCAGACCTCTCGGATCTTCTCGGGTGTCCACCCAGAGGGCCGTGTCATTCGGTACGGCATCCGCGAACATGCCATGGCATCCATATCGAATGGACTAGCAGCCTACAATCCTGGCACCATAATCCCCATAACCGCGACTTTCTTTATGTTCTACCTGTACGCAGCGCCTGGTGTGCGTATGGGTGCACTCAGCCACCTCAAAGTCATCCATGTGGCCACTCACGACTCGATCGGCGAAGGCCAAAACGGCCCGACCCATCAGCCTGTCGAGCTCGACTCCTTGTACCGAGCAATGCCACACCTGGCGTATATACGACCCTCGGATGCAGAGGAAGTGGTTGGTGCTTGGCTGGCCGCTTTGGGGCCAGCGACCAAAAATATGTCGGTTATCATCTCGCTGGCCAGGGACCCAGCGATCATCAAGGTGCCAAATACAGATCGAACCAAAGTCGCTCGGGGCGGGTACGTGGTTGTCGAGAATCACGATGCCAATGTCACACTCGTTTCTTGCGGCTCGGAATTGCCATTCGCCGTGGCGGCGGCGAAGCAGCTGACAGAGCAGCATGGCATTTCGACACGGGTGGTCAGCATGCCGTGCATCAGCCTGTTCGAAGACCAAACGGAGACATACCAAAACGAAGTGCTCGGGGTCACAGAACACGTGGTCAGCGTCGAAGCCTATATTAGTAGCATGTGGGCAAGATTCTGCACCGCGAGCGTGGCGATGGACGACTTTGGGTATTCTAGCGCGGGCATTGAAAACTTTCGAAGGTTTGGCATTGACGATGCCGGCATTGTCAGAAAGGTGAAGAAGATGCTGGACACGAGCATATTAGGCAAGGGCAAAGGAAGATGGAGGTTGTTAAAGTAGTTGGCAGACAGCCAGACGTGGATATGTTCTAGGCATGTTTTCGTCAATGGCATTTCGTGATCGGAGTATATGACCTGTTTTGCTTCTTCTCCCCAGATGATGATCACTGTCTGCTGGCCTGGCCTCGAAGTTTGAGTCCTAGGAGTGATTAAACCCAAGAGCTCGCAGACTCTGAATGACCAAGCACTTGCAGTGATGTTGAAGATAGCCCGACTGGTAAGTACGGTCGAAGCTAGAGGCCGGAAAGACTTGCTATAACCGAAATACTCTCGCCTTTATGCTTCCCACCCGTAGTCTAGCCCGCAACTCGGGTGGAGAAACGGCCTTGCTGGTGTAAGTCAGGAAAAGCGATCTGTGCTGTCACCTCGAAACACGGACGGCCAATCGCCATGGTGTCTAGAGTATACTTCAATGCGAAGCCCTCCAGGAGCCTGGGGATTACAACTCTACCAGTGCTGACCTTTCCGAGGCACAATCTCTTTGCCTCGTATCAAAAGTGGTCAATACAGCCCACCCACCAGGATGGCCGGAATCTTGCGCAACAAGGTCATTGCTATCACGGGGGCGTCGCAGGGTATCGGACGAGCCACGGCAATAGCATGTGCTCGACAAGGCGCCGGTCTTGTGTTGCACCACTTGGGGACCGAGCAGACGACCTCTGACATCAGCGCGCTGCAGGCTGAACTACGAGCAATCGATCCAACGGTTCGACACACCTCTTTCAGCGGCGACGTGGTCCTGCCCGAGACTCCAGCGAACCTGGTGGCCGAGGCGGTGGGCAGTTTCGGCCGGCTTGACGTCCTGATCAACAACGCGGGCATCTGCACGTTCTCCGACTTCCACGACGTGACGCAGGCCCTCCTAGAGCGGCACATGGCGGTCAACTTCACGGCGGCGTACATGCTCACGCAGGCGGCGACGAGGCAGATGGTGGCCCAAGGGACGGGGGGCAGTGTCGTGTCCATCGCCTCCATCACCGCGGTCCAGGGCTCGTCGGCTTTGACGCACTACGCGCCCACTAAGGCGGCTATCCTGGGCATGACCGTCGCCTGTGCGAGTGCCCTGGGTAGACACGGCATTCGCTTCAACAGCATCTGTCCCGGTACCATCGAGACCACAATGAACAAGGCGCACCTAGACCACAACAACCAGCGGGAGGTAATGGCGAGCAAGGCCGCGTTGGGCCGCCTCGGCACTCCCGAGGATATCGCCGGAGCAGCCGTCTTTTTCGCCAGTGACCTGAGTTCATATGTCACTGGACAATATCTGTTGGTGGATGGCGGTGCATCCACCCATTATGAGTGACGATGAGCCGGTTTTTGCACCGCTGCTGCCGACAAGGAGAGAACACCACTCGAGCGAAGGCCATTTCCCTCTCACTCCCTGTCTAACCACCGAGATTCAGAGCGCGCGTTTGATGTGGAATGCAGAGCCTGAGGCCCTTCCCTGGCTCGTTTCTCGCGCCCTACTGGCTTATTGAACGGGCACTGCCGGCTTTCCGTGGACGGGTTGTGTTACTTGGCGGGTAAAGAGTATTTATCACACTGTTTTACCAAGCATTGATCAAGAACGGCCAACGAGGACAGCAAAGCTCTGGCTGTTGCTGGAAGGACACGTCTATCTTAGTCCTGACGCATAAAGGGACCTTGAATTGTCCTAGTACTCACACACAGGTCCTGAGCATGGGGAAATGACGGATAAGTTGGAAAGACATGTTGGGAATAGCCGTATCCTATAGATGGCACCAATGTATAAGTCACTTGCCTTCTCTAATGGACATTTCCCTCTGGTTCCGCTTGTTGCTGGGGCTATGACATCTTGCCCTGCAGTCTTGCCCTCTCCACCTCCAGTATACCGCCGGCCTCCTCCTCAATACTCTTCTCCTTGGGCTCCCAGGCCAGAAACTTCCTCAATCGCTCCGCCTTCCCCCTTGAATTCAAGCCCCAACTTACAGCTTCGAAGCCTGCAACCGCGAGAGCCTCGTCTTTAGAAAGTCGCTTCTCCGACGGGTTGGCGGGGATGTAGCCCTTGTCCGCGGCCATGGCCGAGATCTTCCTGGCCAGGTCGGCCCAGAGATGTTCGCCGTTCTCGCACAGATGGTAGCCCTTGGCGCCCCAGATCTCGTCGGACAGGTTCTTGGCCACCGCCGCTTCGGCCAGGAGGACAAAGGCAGTGGCCAGATCGTAGACGTGGACGTGATTCCACCGCGCCTTTCCCGCGCCCACGATCGGCGTGTACCCCTTTTGTAAGATGAGCTTGGTCAGCTCGTAGACCTGGCGAGAGCGCCCGGATATGGGGCCACGGCCGTCACCTGGGTGGAAAACAAGAAGGACCGAGTTAGTTCACTCTGTCCCAGTCGGAACTCAGATATAACGGCCGGGTAGAGACTCACCGTAAATGGTGGGCGGGCAGACCAGCGCCGTTTTGACCCTGTCGGCATACTTGGTTCCCGCTTCGAGTACGATCTTGTCGACATTGCGATGGAACGCATCATCGGGAAGGTGAGTCAGCTCATCCACCCCGCTGAGATCGTTGTATTCCTTGGCCGACCACTCTCCCAAGCGATCGTTTTTGGAGTCTTCATGAGTCAAGATACCGGTACCGCCGGTATGCAGCCAGAATCCAGGACTAGATGGCGTGTGGCCTTCGGAGAGACCGGCTGCAATGGCTCTCGCCGCGCCCTCGTGATCCGATGCATCTGCAGTGTCTGTTGAATGCGAAACCCGGATCAGAACACCATCCGATTTGGTGAACGTGTACAGAACTTACGCAGGACGATGTCGGCCTTTGCACTCTCCTCCTGGATCACGACCGAGTCCTCCAGATCACCCAGCACGATGCGAAGCTTTGGGTACTGCTGTTTGACTTGGTTTGCCTTCTCCTGCGTCCTGATCAGAGCACCTATCAGATGATGTCAGCATTTTCGATTTCCCACCCAACTTCAAAAAGTAACCGGAACTCCTAGATCGTTGCAAGAAGATACAGATAGAATTGAGTGTGCGATGGAGAATACAGGCCTTGTGAAATCTGACAACTCACAGTATTCCCAGTCTGGGTGTTTCTGGTTGAGCGCATAAAGCGTGTCGCCACCGATGTAGCCCGTGGCGCCCGTGCTGGGTCACAGTCAGCGTTTGCAGTTTCCGTTATTCAACTCGCCGGCCTCCTACATAAACACTTTGACTGTCATACTGATTTCAGCGGGTTAAGCTATGTTGTTGGACGGCTCAGTTTTTCTTGTAACTTGCTGAGATGGTTGGATCAAAAGTCTGTTTGCATCACGATTAAAAACCCCTCGAAGCTTGAATTTCTTGGGGTCCGAGCCGAGACCATACGGTGATGTTCTTGACACTGGGCGTCACTGTATACCCACTTTGACACTGCCTGTTAATGAAGATACATGAACATAAAGTCCAGACGCCGAGAGGTTTCAATCCCAATGCGGTCAGATCATAATAGTCCTGGTATCACGGGTCGGCAGGTATTGAACTCGGAGTCTTCAGCTTCAGCCAGGCTAAATGTGTCTCACTACCTGCCAGAGTCCAAACCGCCGAACCAATCCCCGTTATAGGTACAATGTGACGGGATCCAGATCAGAGGCACCGCAGTGGTTATGTTATCATATTCAATTCGTTTCCCACTGCTTGCCCTTCCCTTTGATCTTTCTCTTCTACACTACTGACGGTTCATATATACAAATAGTGCCTTGCACAGAGGAATATCTCCTAAACTCCTGCCACGGAAACCAGCTTCTAACACTACCAGAATGAACGTTCGGATCGGCTCGATCGACGCCCCTGGACCAAGAGAACGACTGTAACGCCGGAATAGCAGACTGCCGGGGGCGGAGCGTGGGAGATCCAGAAGCTTGGATTCTCTTTTCACGTTCCAGAAAGACACCGGGTTTTTTCTGGCAATCTACTTCGAACAATAGATTTCACACGCAGGGCTCTAGCTAGCAACAGCAATATTCAGGCGAGTCGGGCCCCTGCGAGCCACGAAGATGCTTCAACTGTAGGCGGTTTAGCGGCGTCTGGAACAGAGCAACACTTGCGGAGAATTTCCGGGGTATGAGATTGGCGGGGTCCGGGAATCAAATCCCATTGCACCTTGTCCGGGAGTCGAATCCCTCGGTCCCCAGTGTCTTCGGATGTGGCATTGATCGGCTTTATCCAGCCTGCCAGCTCCTAGTAGCCTAATAGTCGGGCTGATGACCGTCCTCCGGTTATAAGGATCGTCGACCCAGCTGCTACCATATGTTGACACAACAACACTACGCGGTTGAAGCAAAATCAAACACGTTTGTACTTTTTCACAGCTGGAGAATCCGCGATCGGTTACTTGAGTTACCATCGCATTACTGCACGGAAAGTCTCCGTTACCCTACCTATTATCGACTGGGGTGCATGGCCGTTCAAGCAATGTGAATGATTCCTACCAACCACTTCTCTAGCTTTGCTGCTGGGGAAGGATGGAGACCCTTTGCGCGGCATTGCCCACATGCCATCAAGGATCGTTGTGTCCCCGATCAACCGAAGTGGAAGCTGAAAGATACAACCGGGTTTCTTGAGGGTCTGAACAAACGGTGGATTCTTATGGGGCTCCCCATGGGGAGAGAGCGGTGGGTGCCTTATCAGCACGGTACAGTACCACCATGGTGATACGCGTGAGTATATGGGCAGAGCGTTTGTCCTGTCTAGTTGAGACCGTGGACTCAAGTCAGCCTTTCTTGCGTGTCTCGCTACAACTCTCGTCTTCCTCACCTTTGAAGCTTCCTCATACCAAGGTCAACTCGGTGGTCCAAACGAGTCTGAAAGATGGCCCTATTCCCCCTCCAGGGTCGCGCCCTTACGATTGCCATCACCATGACCTGCGGCTTCTCATTTATGCTCTTCGGCTGGGATCAGGGTGTCTTTGGCGGCATCTTGAACGATCCGACGTTCGCCCACCAGTTCCAAAACCCCAACGCCACGATCCAAGGCCAGATTGTGTCGACCTATGATATTGGGTGCATTATCGGCGCCATCATCTCCATCTACTTGGGCGACAAATTGGGCCGTCGCAAGTCTATTGCCATGTCGTGCGTCTTTGTCATTGTCGGAGGCCTGTTGCAGGCCTCTTCCTTCTCCCTGCCGCACATGATTGTCGGCCGCGTTGTTGCCGGCCTGGGGATCGGGCAAAGCACGGCCGTCGTGCCTATGTGGCAGGCGGAGACCAGCAAGGCAGAGCACCGCGGCAAACTGGTCGCCCTTCAAATGGTCATGGTGATCTTCGGGATTGACCTGACCAGCTGGATCAATCTGGGAATGACTTATATCTACGCGAACGAAGTCAGCTGGCGCTTTCCCATCGCTATGCAGTGCTTCTGGGCCTTCGTCACGCTCGGGCTGCTCGCCTGCACCGTGGAATCTCCACGCTGGCTTTGCTACAAGGAGAGACATGCCGAAGCCCAGACTGTACTCGCTCGCCTTGCAGCTCAAGACCGAGAAGAAACGTCGGTCAAGATCGAGTTGAAGATCATCAGTGATGCTATTGCTGCTGAGAAAGCCGGTGGAGCTATTGGATGGCGTGAAGTCTTTTCAGGCGGAGAGCAACAGAACTTTCGCCGCCTTGTCTTGGGCGCCGGTACGTCCGTCTTTCAGCAGATGGGCGGCATCAACGTGGTAAGCTTCCAAATCCAACTCGCCTCCGGCTATCTCTCAAAGTCGGCAGGCTCTCCAGTCACAATACTAACAGTAGAGCGCCACCAGGTTGTATACTATTTCCCCGTGATCCTGACCAAATCCTTTGGGTTCAGCAACAGGTTAGCCTTAATCTTGTCGGCTATCGACTTCATCTCTCTCTGTGTTTGGGGCTCCGTGATCATGCTCCTGATTGATCGCTTCGGACGTGTCCCTCTTATGCTATTTGGGTCTATTGGGTGCGGCACCTGTTTTACCCTTACCACCATCGGTCTCGGCATCGGAACAAAAGCCAGCTACGCCATGGCCGTGTCGTTCATGTTTGGATACCATCTCTTCTACGTAAGACACGTCTTTCTATTCCAACCCGCTCTCAAAGTGCGAACGCTGACATTCCTGATTGATCGCAGGGGCTGTCATATCTGGCCATTCCGTTCTTGTATCCCTCCGAGATCAACTCGTCGCGGATGCGCAGCATTGGCAACAGTGCTGCCATGGTCACGAACTGGGTTTTCGTGTACGTGGTGGTGATCATGACCCCGAGCGCCATCGCCAACATCTCCTGGAGGTTTTACATCATCTTTGCCGTGCTCAACTTTGCCTGGTTCCCGCTCGTCTGGTTCTTTTACGTCGAGACTAAAGGTCTGTCCCTGGAAGAGGTCGACCGAATGTTCAAGATCAAGTACCACGCGGGCAAGGGTATGAGCTACAAGGAGGCAGCACGCTTGGCCAAGGAAGAGACAGAGGAGCTTAAGAAACAAGAGGCTGATGGTGGTGACAAGGTCGTGGTGGTCCAGGTTGAGGAGAAGTAGCTGGCAGCTGGCAGCTGGGCGGCAATGATTCATTCGCGGTCGGTATTGTCTTTCATTGTCCTGCCCGACGTGGTTATGGAGACAACGGTTCCTCTGATCAAAAAAGGGGCCGGCCAATACATGCGCTTTGTGGCGATTGAGCAAAGCTCGTGGAAACATGATGCTGAGAAGATTAGAACACACACGTTGGTTTGTGCATAAACAATTTAACAAAGGGAGGTGCGGATATGCAGCAATAGATCACCTCTTCATAATGTACATTGCACAAGACTCAACTCTTTGCCACGGGTGTACTTGTGGCATATTTCAACAACCCTGCTCTACTGTAATTCTCTGATGTACCCTGTGGTAAGAAATATTTTGTGGAGGTCTGAACGTTCTGTAATCTCTTGTATGGTGGTCATCTGTGCCTAAGAGGTGCGACAATGCGAATTCGTGCTTCTAGAGGACTATTTCGAGAGCCAACGGCAAAAATCGATGCCTAGGTTACTCGAAACCGAAAAATATGCCCACCATCTACAATGTTTGAATCTAGAGGGTGAGAGAAGATCAAGTCGAACCTAAGCTTAAGCTGAGCCTTGAGATGATCGTCAGGGCGTGCTATGGGACCCCGAAAGACTTCGCGGCCCCAGCTACGAAATACCCACCGTACAAGGTTTAGTATATCGTCCATCCCCAACACCCTGTACGAAGAAACCCTTCGACTTATCCACCGAAAATCGTTACTCTTCGGGGCCGTCTATAGATCAGTTACATTGGAATTCCCCTGGTAGAGAGTTGTGACAGTATACGTCATTGCAGATCCTTTTCTCGTCAACTGATCAACAGCCACCTGGACGACCCATCTAGAGGGAAGTATAATAATCACATATTTTACGTGATTTCGGGCGCGGCCACCCAGCCGAAGCGAGCTTCAATCTAGGTGATATAGATGCAGCCTGGAGATTGGTTAGATCAGTTGTGTCGGTGCATCAGCCAAGTCAAGCACTTGTAACTCACCAGTCTTCCGCACTCTCTGCGTCAGTAATGAATTTCCTAGCGTCCACAAGCTGCAGCCTATCCAGGTCTTTCACAAACTCATCCGCCATAGACCTTGCATACTCCCTGGCCTGTGGAGGGCATATGCGGTTCTTGTAAATTACACTCAGCGGCCAGACCAATGTCCTGGAGGACGGTGAGAATCTTGGCCCTGTAGGACTCGGCTCGAGGAAATCAGGCAAGCAGCCCAGGACTTCCGTAGTAATCTCGTCCGCGAGCCTACGCGCATCTTCCTTGAATGCGGTAAAGTCGTATGAATCTCGAAATCCCTTGCTAGGAGTTTCCTTGTCGGCTTGGTTCTGCATGCTCTCTATTGCCAGGGATGCTCCGGCGGACATCACCTCCAAGAGGAACAAGCGGGCCATGCGTAGCGTGTTCCGGATTTTGATTGCTCGATGACTCTTGTAGCGGTATGCGATACCGCGATATGCCCAAGAGGGTGTGTCTTCTTTTGATCGAACCGTGTACCCCAGTATTGGGTCATCGTCTTTGATAAGCTCAACAATTTCCTGCTCGAGAACCGCAGCGTCGTCGAATACCTCATACAAGACACCCCTGTCCTTGGAATAGTTGGAGATCCTTGCCTTGATACGGACAACGCGCTCCAACACGGGACTCATTCTGTTGCCAGGATCATTCGGATCGAGAAAGGGGTTTGCCACGTCTTTCAAGCTCTGAACCTCAGCCGGCATGTTGACGAATCGCTGCATGCTACTGGCGAAAATGTTGCTTGTTGTGTGGCTGAACAGCTGAGCCCCAAATTCAGATCCAAACTGCTTCAATCCTCTCAGCTGTAGCAGTTTGGCAGCGCCGAAGAGATGCGCCGTCCATTCTTCAGGGGACCTCGCGCCCGGAAAAACGATGCTCTCAAATGTTCCCAACAGCAGAATCGAGGCAAGTGTCTGGTCGAGCACTGCCGTTGCGGGGTCGGTAAGGGCAAGATTAATTCGACTCAAAGCCAAGGTGTAGCTTCTCCGGCCTCTATCCATGCATCCTCGATGGCCGGTTTGCCGGGCGTACGCTGCGAAAGAAGCGGCGTCGATGGCTGCCGATAGCGCGTCCTCGCCAAACCTGCATCCGACATACATGCTAGGCAAGTATTCTTGAAAAGGACCACAGGTAATGTAAGACGACATGAAATAGGATACGGCACTATCGTCGGTAGTGGAGTCCAGGATACTTGATGACCCTGGATGAGGTGTTTGTGTTTCTGTGAGATCGGGGCCGGCAGCAGTGAGTTGGGGCGCTTGAGCGAAGTTGTACGTGACTTCTGTAGCGCCCAGTGATTTGCGAGTCACTCTGTCCGTCTCGTCCCTGATTCGCAGCTCTGACGACGGCCTGTACCCGGGACAGGCAATTCGTTTCCGAGCACATTGCGTGCAGCCGGGGCGGACTCGGTCGCACTAGACAGACCCTCAGAGTTAGCTATGATCGGCCGTGATATATCCATGATATGGCACCAATGAGAAAGAAGTCGCAATCCTTCTGTAGCGACACAGGGGGCAGTAATCCTACCTTGAGTCGTTTTGTTCGGCATGCGTGACAAGCACTCGATGGACGTCCACTGAAGACCATGGCATTGGTCGGTTGCCACGCGCGGTTACCAGATAGTTACGGCATGCAGTCGCCCCGATTCTCGTATATGCTCCTCACTGGGACAGAGAGAGACAGGTTAAGCTTTGTAGTGGATGAGCTTCGCATGCGCTTGTGTGGTCTGGCGAAGAGTGAGTTTCTCGACCGATTCCAAATTGATGCATGGAGATCCTGTCTGAATCTCTCCGGCGTACGAGTCAATACGAATACCGTTGGTATGTTTAGAGATGTCCAGAGATGAATTGCCAATCCACGCTGTCTTGAGATGATTGTAAAGACCGGCTAGCTACTCGCACGCGAGACCAATAAATACTCGGTGGTCCGTGCCACTTGATCGGCGACACCGCCCCATGCTTCTCAAGTTCTACTCAAGGCCTCCCACTCTTATTCCGCCCTCAGCCCCAAACCCCACCGGCTACGAAATGCCCCCTGCATTGGGGTTAGCTCAACTCCTTATTGTGTAGAACATGATACGCCAGCCGACGTATGCTTGCCTCCACGAACACTTTTCGACAGCATCAAGAACAAGGCTGTGCCCCTACAACTATTACCGTAGAGGATATGTCTACGAAGATAAAAGGGGGCTTGTTGTCCTCTTTCCGAGTAGGTCACAGGCCTCCTTTCCATCCTCACACCTCTTCTTGCATTACATTACAATGGGCACCGTGACCTATCGCGATGGCATCGCTATTCTCCAGCTCATCATATTCCCATGCATCCTCACTGCTGCTCTCTTCATATGGAGTCGGACTGGCTGGCGGGTTGGGAGCAAGATATGGCGATTCCCTGTCACACTCTCACTCATCCGCATCGCTGGCAGTATTTGTTCATTGTTGACTATCAGTCATGATTCATACAACGTTGAGGTGGCGGTGGCAGTCTGCGAGCTTATTGGTATCGCACCTCTGTTGTTGACCTATATTGGACTGCTGAGACAAATGTGAGTTGATCCCGTTGAACTGGTTGAGGTTGATAAGCGTACACTAATCCAGGTGTCTGTACTAGCGATGCGCGACAAACAATGAATCCTAAATTTCTCAATCTGGTCGCCATCATATGCGTCATTGGCCTTATCCTCGGGATCGCTGGAGTCAGCACCGCCGACGACAACGAGAGCACCTATCACGCAAATACCATCGTCAAAGTGTCCATGGCCCTCTTCCTCGCCGTATTTGTCGTCGTGCTCCTGATGGCTGTTTGGCTATACTTTCAACTGCGTCACACATTGAGGGCCTTTCAGAAAAAGCTGTTCCTCGCCGCTGCTCTTTCTTGTCCTTTCCTATTAACTCGATTGATCTACTCGGCAGTTGCCGACTACACCGACAGTTCACGTTTTGCTATCCTCACAGGCAATCCCACCATCTACTTGTGTATGGATGTCCTGGAGGAGATCATTGCCATGGTCATAGTTATGATTCTTGGAATGTCAGCGGTGCTGGAGAGAGATTACATCAAGCCCACCCCAGTTAGGATGAGCTCCGACCCGGAGGTTGATGATGCATGATCTCGTGGTTTGCAGCTGGACGAGAAATCTCATTGGGTTCGGCACGCTTTACAATGGATTGTGACGGTTTATGTCTATTTCTGCATACTTATGAGCTGAGAAGGAACTTTCCTTCTATATACACATTTGGATACGGATTCAACAGGGAGTTTGTGGTGTCCAACCGCGCCAGGGTCGATCAGGTCGGACAGATTTTGGACTCTGATACAAGCGTATTTACATACAGTACCGGCTCCTTGTGCGAGAAGCTTTTGCTGAATCTATTCCGCCCATGTTTTCTACGCGCAAAAATTTGTAATAACTCCTCAGGGATCACTCAGAGATCGCGCTGGGAGCTTTCAGGAAGCAAGATTTGAGCCGACAGTGAACAAAGCGGCGAGCTGCTAATCATAATGCGACGGATGAAGTATAGATTTTTCGTCCTCGACTGCCTAATTCTATGAACGTCCTTCCACAACAGAGTATAAATACTTGTGTTGACAGTTTTCATCCTGTTGTATATTGGAATTTGCCAACAACATAGAAGATATCTCACTGCAGGCAGTGCTGCACAACACTTGACTCGACGGAATCAGGATATTGGAGTCCACCTTGCCTGCGTACCTCGTCCATGACCTCCATGACGAGGACGCTTTCGTCCCAAGGCATGGTCTCGCTCTCGAGCTTACCATCTCTGATGCATCGCGCTGCGTCATCGGCCTCATAGAACATGCCATGGCCATTCGCTGGAAAGCTAAACTCGACGTCGCGGATGGTCACTGGCAAGTCCTCTTGCTTCGAGGGAATCACCCGGTATCGTGTCGGCTGGAATGCCGGCCCATAGACCTGAATCTCGCCTTGTGTGCCCTGGATACGGATCGCAGGTCCGGCGCTATTCTTCTGGTCAGGGTCGCTGGCCACGGCGAAAGCCGTCATTGCTATTCCGTGAGAAGAGCTGTTTGGAAGATTGGAGGGCGTCGATGTAGGGAACGATAACAACATGGTAGTAGTTTGGTCCACGCCAGTGGGTTCATATTTGGCCATATATGACAAGATGCTCGACGGAGGCCTGCGCTGATCTCGTGGTAGAGTGTGGTAAAGCGTCTGGAATACCCATGTAAGGGAATAAATGCCAACTGGGTCCAGCGCTCAAGGTCAGGATCCGAGACTCTGAACTTGCAGCAAGGGGGGGTATTTGAACATACTTTCGAGGAGAGCTCCACCCGCGAGATCATAAGTGAGTTTTCGAGGAGTTTCCCTGAGAGCGATATCAGGATGAATGCCAAATGATGTATCGGCTATGACGCGGAGGACTTCGCCGATTTCACCTCTCTGGATCGACTCGCGGATCTGAATGCTCAATGGGAAGAACCGTGTCCAAACGGCATCCAGCAAGAAGAGCTTCCTTTCCCTGGCAGTCTCGTACAGAATCTTTGTTTGGGCTGCGTTGACGGTCAAAGGTTTCTCGCAGACGACGTGCTTGCCGGCAGCGAGAGCCAACATTGTATGGCGGAAGTGATGCGAATGTGGACTTGCGACGTAGACAATGTCGACGTTCGGGTCCTTTACAAGGTCCGTATACGAGCCATAAGTAGCACAAGCTTCTGGGATTCCAAGATCGCGACAGAAGCGCTCAGCGCGGTCTTTGCCTGAGGATGATGCGACAGCTGCTACAACATGGGCTACATCTCTGGTGTTGCGCGTACTCGGATCTATGAGAAGATCACCAGTGAATTCTGCGATTCCAGCCGTTAGGACGAACACTTTCAACATATGCGACGTTTTGCGAGACCGTACTGACTTTCAGCAATCCAACCAGTGGCTAGATATTGATAAATCCAAGTCAGCACCTTCCACCGATAGACATTGCACATGACTCAAAGCTTCTTTGAAGCCATGAAAAGTCCTTGCAATTTAATCTTACCTAGGATTCCCCACCGAACTGTGTAGACCATGATTGTGCCCTTTTTACTGATTTCCTCAAGCTCTGGACCTAGAGAAATGAGACGAATTGACACAGAGTTGATGTGGTTTCAAGGTTGCTTATCGACGAAGAGGCCACCGCATAGGGTACACTGACTGGAGGCCCAGTTGTACTGTTGATTGTGCCTGAAGTTTTTGAGCCTTTCCTGAGGAGTCTGTACGCTTCTCCACGGCAAGAGTATATAGAGTCATTAGTCTGTATCTTCCCTTCTATGCTAATAATCTAGCTCTGAACTTGAACGTCACGGCACGTTCGCATTGCCCGGCCCGAACGATGCCAAGTGGGAGCCTGGCATATAGCCGGCCCACACCCACGCGCGATCAATCCCGGATGGCGGAAGTGTCTGCCAGGGACCTGCAATGACTTCGGCTTCCAACCGCTGATTGGAATGATTTGTGGGCAATATCCTCGCTTCACCACAAGGATGTTCCTGAGAATAGGTGTACCCGTGTTAGCGGTTGCTTTGGCTGGAAGCTCCAAATTGTTACGTCCATGACTCACTATCCTGCTAACAGTCTCTTTAGTATGAAGAGTTGGAGCTTGATGCAACAATAACAGCCCAGGCAGCGTATCGCGTGATCTGGAAAAGGAAATACAAGTGACTGTCTTTCAGTCAGCCACCAAGTCAGCCCTCGCGATATTGCCCGCCACTATTAGAGTTAGCTGGACGAAGGAATCTAGAGCACTAAAGGGGGGTAATCATTCTTTACACGCGCATAAACTTAGCTTCCAGCTTCTGGTTCCTGATCGGCTAAAAGAAGTTCTTTCATCCTACACTTCGAGTCAAGCCAGCTGCGACACATCTGCCAGTGGTTTGCACTTCCGGATCACAAGGCTGACACCCCTATTATGTAGTCGATCGGGGCGCCATCCCTGCGTCCCTGTGGGTCACCCATATCAACAAACGTCCAAAAGTCGTCGGGACGGCAATTTCTGATTCCACTGAGCAGTTAATCACACAGACAGCACTGTGATATCTAATCTCACTCTCCAATCAGCAGGCCAGCTCGCAAATAGTTCTCTACAGAATCCCAGAGTAACTTTTGCATTGAACGGTAGACTCTGATTGTTCCCCTGGCCAATACGATAGAGCTAAGTTCAAGTTCAAGTTCAAGGTCGGGGTAAGCATTTAATGACAGTAGCCTTGATTCCTCGCAATCAGGAAAAGTAGGTAGTGCTGAAAGTGGCCAGCCAACCTCAATGACAATCATTAGCCTAGCCACCTAGGCAGTCTTGAGAAGCAAGAGGTACAGGCAACACAAGGACTGTACCAAGAGGATAGAACAACATAGGGGACTATATATGAATGAATTTCAACACCACGACTATGGCGCATGGAATTATGGGATGTAATACACTCGATGCTTCGTTTTACCCTCTTCTCTGCTCAGCGTGCACCTCACAGTCCACCACCAATACAAATAGCGGTCGCCTAAAACAAAGAGATTGCCCCTAGCTACAGCTTGCTGGAGAAATGGCCTCCCTTGAAGACCTTGTCCTCTAACCACTGTCCGAGAATGTGATTAGCTTCGGCGGGTTTCTGCCAGAGAATCCAATGTCCAGCCTCGATCTCGCGATGTGTCAGCTTATCAGCCTTTGGAAGCATACGAGAGACCATGTAGTCCGTGATGGCCGGGTCGCGTGTGGCTCGGACGTATAGAATCTCATGCTCCGGACCGAATCGTAGATTCGATGGCCGGGGATTATTACCGTTATCAAAAAAGTGGGCGTTCTCGTCGGACCAGTTGACTTCGCGAGTACGGTACCAGTTCACGGGGCCAGTGAGGCCGTTGCGGTAGAATTCCGTGGCGTAGAAGTCGAGCTCGTCGCTGCTGAGCAGGTCGTTGGCCGGAATGGAGCCGGAGAGAACCAGGTCTAGATTGACTCCTGAATGGACGTCGAAGCCAGCGAGACGGTCGGGTCGGGCATCGTTAAGTGCCCCGAAGACGGCGCTCAGGAACATGCGGATCTCGGAACGAGATTGTACTCTGTCTTCAATTTCGCCGGAGACAAGTTGTGCTTGGTACGCCAGGTTCGGCATGTAATTACGAATGATGTTGGCGAGAGGCTCGAAGCGGGATGATGGTGGAAAATAGGGAGCACCGAAGATGAAGAGTGCCTTGACGAGCTTGGGGTAGTACTGGGTCATGCGCCATGCGACGGCAGCGCCCCAGTCATGGCCGCCCAGCACGATCTCTGCTTGACCAAGTTGCTCACACAACGTGGCCAGGTCGTCCGCCGCGCGTTTATATCCGTAATTGGACAAGGCGTGTCGAGGGGAGTCCGTCCGGCCGTATCCCACACAGTCCGGTGCAATGACAGCAAGACCGAGCGAGGTCAAGAACGGAATTTGATACCTCCATCCAAATGAGAGATCGGGGAATCCGTGCACAAGCAGGACAGTTCCTCGCCGAACTACAGACGGAAGAGGTTCGGAATAGAGATAGCCGTAAGTGAGGCCATTAAGAACCGTTGAACGCAGCTGCACTCGAGGATCATTGAAGGGTTTGATCTTCTGAGTAGCCATAGCAAGTTTTGCAGATAGAATAACTTCCTTGATCAACAGGACAGAAAAATGAGGACGTTGGCGTCTTCCACCAGCGCAGATGCCGTACTTTATCAACCTGCGCAATTGAGGTCTCGATTTCTATTTCGTCCTGCCTTCGGATGTTTACTATTCAGAGCCGAGCTCTTTATTTCCTATTCTATCCTTTTGCCGTCCAACAGCTAGATCAAGCCGAGTCTACGGAAATTCACACGTGTTACCATAATTCTTTGTGATTTGGCGTTAAAGGTGCGAATATGCGGGGACGGCAATGCTCGTATTCGTGTTGTGCACACCCTTGCAAGTCAAGGTCTTATGCCAAGATGGGTACAGTCTGAAGATGGGATTAGCCCTCCTCCAGGAACGTGAGGCCCAAAGTCGACCGCGGGGTCCCCGCATCCGAAAGAGCATACTGCAGACTGGACAAAGCCTCGGAAATGTAGTTGACAAACACCCTTCATCGAGCCTACTCTGAGGGTCTAGCGTGGCAGTCATTATATCACCTTTGCAATCTGATCAGACACACTCGCAGATTGCGTCTAACCTCACCATTTGTGGCTGCTGCCATGGCCATTAGGTCGCTTCCTGGCTCGCAGAGAAGACGGTTAAAGCTCTTTGAACACTCTAATTTTATTTTGACACACAGGGTTGAAGGCATTGCGAAGTTTTCAGGTATTCTCTATCTCATTCTGGGTGCGTCTCACTTTCGGAACAGATCCGGTTATTGATAGTTAACCCCAATGCCACCATCCACAATAAGAGACTGTCCAGTAATGTAGCTGGACAGACTACTTGCGAGGAACAGGACAGCACTCGCAACCTCTTCCGGCTGACCGAGACGACCAAGAGGAACCCTGCCGCTTAATTCAGCTCTTTTGTTGTCTTTGCCCAAATCTTCTTGATTCATCGAGGTCTCGATCGTCCCTGGGCAGATGCAATTGAATCGAATGCCATGACTTCCAAGCTCTACGGCCAGGGTTGCGGACATACCGATGATAGCCGCTTTACTTGCTGCGTTGACTCAGGTTTCTTGCACCCAATGTGGCAGCCAATGATGCAATCGAAACAATGCTCCCACCTTTTCCTTGGGCTTTCATCTGCTCACTCGTTGCCTGTGTCAGGGCATACAGAGCCTTAAAGTTGACTGCCAGATGTGTTTCCAATAGCGCCATTGATACTTTGTCATAGCTCTGGAAGACACAAATTCCAGCATTGTTGACCAAGACATTGATTTCACCAAACGACTCAACGGCTTTGCTGACGATCTTGTGAGCAGCGCCGTCGCTGAGGAGATCCTCGCCTATGGCGACAGCCTTCGAACCGTTACCCAGCTCATTGATTTCTTCTTGGAGAGTTTGGACGTCCGTCTGTGTTTGAGTGGTGCCGAGGTGATGAAGGACCAAATCAGCGCCTTGAGAGGCACAGGTGAAGGCAATCAAGCGCCCTATCCCTGAGGAACTGCCTGTGATTACCACAACTTTCCCTTGCAGGAGTCCGACCATTTTCTCGTCGTCGTGAAGTCAGGCTATTATTGCCTGGATTTCGGCACACGGTCATCAGATGCAACACACCTTTCTTGACCAGCGGAAGGATAGGACACTGATTATCTTGCCCGCTCTGCCAAGAATGACGGCTATTTGGCCTAAGAAGTGGTCGAGCCATGGATCCGCAACCTTCTTGAAGTCTTATAGCCTGTAGGCTATAAAGATTATTTCAATCTTGGATATAGGCAACACTTAGCTCTGAGGAGCCTTGCCTCAGACCTCAATAACCTGCCACCATTGGAGAGTTCTTCCTATTCCTCCATTACAGTCTCATCATTTCCACCATGTCTACGAGAGCAGCAATGCTCGCCCAGCATTTCGGAAAGCACCCTCGACTAGCGCTACCGACCTCGCAAATATTGAGTTCGGACACGATGGAGAGCCAGTCGTGTAAGCCTCGAGACCAATCCAGCTCCCAGGACAAACAACAAGCCCAAGTCATTGCACTGAGGTTCTATGATAAAGAAACTGTCAAAGTGGATCGAATATCAGCATTGTAAGTGATTTTCACGTCAGCAGATGAGAGCGCATGGACAGTAGCCTTACGAGTGGCAGAACATGTCAAGCCGATGAAGTTCGCATCCAAATAGCATACTGCGGAATTTGCGGCTCTGATATACATGAGTACCAGCATGGGCCTCATGTGGCCCCTGCTCAAGGCTCCAAGCACCCATACTCCGGCGTCCAACTTCCGGTGATCCTTGGGCACGAAATGTCGGGCACTATCGTGGAAATAGGTTCAAAAGTTTCCGGTCTTCAAGTCGGACAGAGAGTCGCTGTCAACCCGTCACTGGATGACCGGTCGTACGACGGAAATCTGTGTCCGTCTTGCCAGCGTGGCCAGATCAACATCTGCAAACGATGGGGCACATACGGCTACAATGCTCCGAGCGGAGGGTTTGCCACTGAAGCTGTGGTCAAGTCGTTCAACTGCTTTCCCATACCCGATAATGTCCCGTTGAGTGTTGGCGCTTTGGCGGAACCTCTTGCTGTCGCCTGGCACATGATAAGAGTGTCGGAGTTCAAGAGAGGCCAGACAGCACTTATACTAGGGGCTGGACCAATTGGGATAGCCATTTTGCTTGGTTTGAAGAGTATGGGAGCGAGCGTGGTGATTGTAACTGAAATAGCCGACGGCAGGGCTCGACAGGCTGCTACGTTCGGAGCCGATATTGTCATCAACCCTTTGAAGCCGCAATCAGGCGACAGCAAAAGAGGAGACGCGGTGACAGAGGCTGTGTCGTCGCTGACAAAAGACGGGGTTGATGTCGCTTTCGATGCCAGTGGCCTACAATCCACTCTAGATGCTGCATTGGCGTCGACAAGGCCCGGGGGGACCATTTGCAATGTGGCAATCCGTCATGGGCCGGTGAAAGTGGATCTGAATGAGTTGATCTATCGAGAAAAACGCATTGTTGGCGGAATTTGTTATACCACACAAGATTTCAAGGATGTCATCGCTGCAATGGGACAAGGTGAGATTCCGTTTGAAGCAATGATAACTTCAATCGTTCCATTAGAGGATGCTCATGTCGGAGGAATTCTCGAACTGATCAAGAACAAGTCCAACCACCTCAAGATTTTGATATCGCCACAGTCCTAATCATTATGCATGACTTCTAGACACATGTTCCTATAGAACTACATGAATACTTGTCATGACAACTTTCTTGAATCTTGAGTAGTAATATTAATTTGACGTGTTCCTACCTGCGCATTTCTAAGCCGCTCTGTCCTCTTGTTTGATATCAATAAGCTTCTATGTTGATTGGAGCAAAGCTCGCTCTAGTAACTCCACTCAATTACCTATGATGGCACCAGGTCTCACCTGCACTAGAAGGCGGCGCTGTCAGAAAGAGGCTATAAAAAGTTCCCTTGACCCTTAATCTCCACCCAGACTACTATCCAAGGTAGGACGAGCTAATGCCCTTCAAAACGCCGTAGCTTAAACGTACGAAACTGCTAGAGACCATTGCATTTAGCTCAAACTCATTTCATCTAGCACGCGAGCCCTGGGGCATCGGCCATGAATGGACCCTTTCCACATATATATTTCTTACTTTGACCGCCTGAAGACCATTCGCGCGTAAAGTTGCTGTAATCATTTTCTCCAGAAGAACGAACAAGGTACCACGTCGGACCTACTACATTTGCCGCCTCAAATAAAAAGAGAATCGTTTCAGTGTGCTGTTCTTCTTGCTATCTACTGTGAGATCGGGCTATCTAGAAGCAGTTGCCCTCTGAGAGACATGGAACAGTCCAATATGTACCTTCAAACACTTTTCGGCCTGCGTGGAAAGACCGCACTGGTAACTGGGGGTACACGAGGTATCGGAGCGGCGTTGGCGGTTGGACTGTAAGTCAAATAGGATGAGCACACTCTCTGGGCCTGAGTTATACCGTGGCGGCCTTACTGACGGTAATGATATATTGGAACAGTGCTTCGGCCGGTGCCGATATCATCCTCTTGCAACGCGATGTTGATAAGGGAAGGGCTGTGTGCGATGAAATCGCGGCCCTTGGTCGGAAATGCACAGTCTACCGCTGTGACCTTGGCAAGCGCGAGGACGTGCTCAGCATTATTCCTCTGGTGACCAGAGACAACCCCGAGGTAGACATTCTGGTGAACTGTGCAGCTATCTCATGCCGCTCGAGCAGCCACGAGATGCCCGATGATAAATGGGACGATATCCTCCAAGTGAATGTAACGACCATTTTCCAGCTATGTCGTGCCATGGCTCGGCACTGGCTCCAGGCCAATGCTCAGGGCGCTCATTCGGACAAGAAGAAGATCATTAATCTTGCATCCATTCTCACGTTCTCCGGAGGTGTCAATGTTGCCGCGTACACTACCTCGAAGGGCGCTGTCGGCCAGCTCACCAAAGCGTTGAATAACGAATGGATGGGCAGCGGTATTTGCGTCAATGCCATCGCCCCAGGGTACATCCAGACGGACATGACGCAAGGATATACGAGTGAACGAATACGCATGCTGCTAGAACGGACCCCAGCAGGCCGATGGGGTTTGCCGGCCGACATTGTCGGTGGCGTCATTTACCTAGCAAGCAAGGCAAGGTTAGGCAGATCCCGCACAAATATTTCAATCATTTCAGCAACCCCAATGAGACTCACAAATCGCTAACGTGTGTATAGTGACTTTGTCGGTGGAGAGATTCACCTCGTAGATGGTGGCTTCACAGCGCGGTGAAGATCCAGCCCGTGTCCATGCAGAGAATGAGAGCTCTTATATGATGGATATGGGTAGCGAATGCATGGATACGGTGCAAATGAGAAAATGGAGGCCTTAGGTAGAAGGTTCAAGGACATTGCAGAGGAATGAGGGAATGTAAATATAGAGGTAGTGCTGTTTTGTTGATCACCAGTGCAGCATCTCATGCAACGCACCTTCTAAATCAGTACTCCCAGTCTCGTGGCATTTCAGATTACTCCTTTGGTCGAAATCGTTAGAGCTGATGATCTAGGATATGAGTACAACTATATAAACTATGTGAGTAGAAGCCTTGATACTCGGAGGCTAACAGTTTCTTCGGCGATTGTATGTATACAAAACATCACTCAGTCTCAGTGACAGTAAGTCGAGTCTGCTCTTCGAGCGACGCTACCTTTGTCGAGAAGACATTCATGAAACCTTCATACCTTCACGATATAGGCAGGCACATAGCAACCGAGTCGTTTTCAATGCCAGTCCTTGTCGCATTTTGGCATATGTGCCATTACTTTATTGGCCGAAGTGAAGACCTGTAGTTCAGGCGTTGTCAAGCGAGTAGCACACCAAGCCGTCAAAGCAGCTTTCATGTAAGTTAGCATAATCTCACCGGCTATTCCAGCCATCACAATAGGATGTGACGGGCTGTTGCAAACTGTTGAAACGAAAACGCTTGTATCTTCGAAGGATACGACTTAGGTTGCCCATAAGAATTACATAAGAACTCTTCTTGTCATGCAGAACCTTAATTCATCAGGTTATCAGCAGCTTCAGACTGTCCGTGGGGACGTTCTCTCATTCCTCGCCTATATGCTAATGTAAGGCTTTATCCGAGGGAGATTCTTGTTGCCTCTTTTCCGCAAGGCCGAATGCGGCAACGACTAGGGCGTCTTCTCTTAAAATCCGCAAAGTGAAAACTTTGACAGACGCAACAGGCACAGTCAGGTCTCCCTTGCACCATAGTACGCACTGTGCTGCCACTCTACACAACCTTGAGGACACACGTATTCCTTTCCCATAAGAGATCAAATTGTTACGGACCAAGGCATCGAAGATCCTCTGGGATAAGGGCCTTGTGATGAACCATTCCAGGGCTCTGTCACTTTCTAGTGTCCTCAACTAGATATAATGTAAGTATTGGGGATTAAAAATAGTCCAGACTCCCGAGGAGAACAATGCGGACGGCCCTCGGTTTTAGTAAAGCCTTCTGCTCTCACCTGTGTAGGTGACTACTTGAAATCATCATAAGATCCGTCAAGCTGAAATAAAATACCAAGAGAGCACTAGAGCACAAGGCTGGCCGGGAGCTATCGAAGGTCGAATCTCTTGCTATATTCTTGAGAGAAATGAGCTCCTAGACGTCTGCTCAGAGTGTTCGACAATCTTATGAGATCCATAAGAATTTTTAGGATGTCACGCCGCACGATCAACAGGAGCCCACTAAAAATCTATGTGTATAGAAATCAGAGCCTGAAAGTTGGGTTGAAACGCCCAAAAGAAAAACGATCCGATTAGCATTTAGAACACTCTGAAGTATATTACCTAAAGAACCCTCTGAATTGGGAAATCAGGCTTAATCGTCGACACTCCAAGGGGTGTCAGCAGTTCTGATGTAAGGTGCCAATGCGAAGGTGTCTTTAGGCTCTTGATGCTGGGCTCTGACAGTTCCATCACCGAGATAGGCAAATCGGCGGCGACCGGCCCAGTAAGTATACTCGAAATCTTCCCATCGAGGGTCTTCATTCAGGACTTTGATATAGTGAATCGTCTGTTGGCTTAGCGTATGCTAATCAATGGAACACGAACAAGGGCGTAACTCACTGGTCCTGGCCAGACCCACACTTTCCCATTGTTCTTGAACCATGAGTTGCAAGAATCGGTCCAAGCTGTCTTTCCGTTACTGTGAAATAGGTCCATGTGGTACAGATAGTCATCGCAGGCTTCCTGTTTCACCGTCATAGACTTGATGCCGTGTTTCTGCATTTTGATGAAGCATTTGATGAAGTGTTCGCATGCCGTTTCAAGCTGGTTGCAACCCCGGCACGGTCAGTATCTTGGTTCACCCAGGGATTCATAGACCGCGATAGCCGTTGATCGTGAGACAGATAAAATAGGACGACTTACTGATGGTAGAATGGAACCACTGGATTTTCACGGTCAGCGATCCATGCAAGTGTCTCACAAATAGGACAAACTTACTTCGAGTATGTGCCTCCAGGGCCAATGCACATGAAGTAATTAGGGAACTCGGGTGCAAAAAGACCCATATACAGACTGTACACATAGGTTACTCGAGGTCTTGTACAAGCTCACTGAGGGAGTCATATCATCGTACTTTGGCTGAACAGACCACAGTTCCTGAGCATTTTCACCTCGGTCGTTGATAAGAGCGAATGCTGGCTTATACGGGACGTCAAACTGCAAATGTATAAGGTAAGGATTAACTATCCCCAAAGAAAGAGCAAGAAACTTACCCCAGTCGCACACACCAGGATGTCGATTTTGTGGCTCACGCCGGAATCGTCCACAATGGCATCCGACGTTATATGTGAGCATCCTTGGAAGATGCATTCGACATTTGGCTGCGTCAAAGCTTCCAGATATCCATCCCCAGGCGTCAGTCGGCGACACCCCGGCAGCCATTTTGGTATCAGTCGCTCTTTCAGTGACTCATGGCCAGGTCCAATGCGTCGAATCATCTCTTCTCGCATATTCTGCAGTGCTTCTTCTTGAAGTTTAGATCCTCGGGTGTACAATTCGAAACCAAGGTTGATCTCCGACTCAATTCGGCGCCGCAGGAAAAGTAAAGAGTCAGGATCGTGCTTGAAGTTAGCTTTCTCTTCTTCGGAGAAGTAGTATTGTCGGTGGGCCTTGTCGCTATCTCCATGTTTGACGTCCTTCAGAACACTGTTCGCGAATGGAGGACTGATCCACGTGGGTGATCGCATGATAAGCTTGAGCTGCTTCGCCACTTTTTGCAGGACCGGGACAATTTGTATTGCTGTGGAGCCGGTGCCGATAATGCCTACGACCTTGTTAGAGAAGTCGACAGATTCGTCCCATCGGGCTGAATGCATGAGTGGCCCTTGGAATGCATGAAGACCTTCGATCTTGGGCCGCTTCCATTTGTTCAAGTTCCCAGTCGCATTTACCAGGGCATGCGCCCACTCTGTTCGTTCTTCCCCTGTCTCCGGATTTCGAACTCGGATAGTATAAGTGCCGTCTTTTGCGTTCCAAGTTGCAGACTTGACTTCGCTATTTAACGCCATGTAACCTTTAAGGTTGTGCTTCTCGACGAAAGTTCTGAAATACTGCAAGATTGGGCCGGCATATGCGAAATAAGAATCCCATTCCGGATTTTGGTCCCAGCTATAGGTATAGATATGCGCAGGAATGTCGCAGGCGCATCCTGGGTACTTGTTCTCGTACCAAGTCCCTCCGAAGTCGTCGTTTTTCTCGTAGAGTGTCAAGTCCCAGGTTCCCGGTTGCATCTGTCTCTCCATTTTATAGGCAAGGGCAATGCCTGATGCACCTGCCCCAATACATGCTATTCGCAATCTTTTTCTCTGAGAGTGCCATTGCTGTGGGAGACTGTAGTCGTCTGATGGACTCCAAGTGGTTGGATAAGGCACATTCTGAGCCTTCTCCTGCTCGCTGGGGGTACGGGCTGGCATCGGCGTACTGATAGATCCCATATCTCCAAACGTGGTAAGGCCAGAACGTTGGGTCGAGCTGAATATGTGAGAAGCAATCTGACCACCCGGTTTGATGGATTATTCTACTGCAAGAGAAATTTTGGTAGTGTAGCGCAGCTTTATGCAGTGAAAGGGAAGCCTCCGGACCAACGTTATACCCTTTCGTCTTCTATACTATGGTTACGCAGTAAATGGTTCCCATATAAGCGGAAACTTCAGAAAAACAGACTGTATATGCCTGACGATCTCTGTGTTTGGCCCCATACACTTTGCAGGGGAAAGGATTCAGGACCATAGCGACTACGACGAGCGAGACAGAGAAATTCTTACATCACCTGAGACGAGACCTTCCGAGGGCCTATTTGGTAGTGGCTGTTATGATTAAGCTAAGCAAAGCAGGTGAAGTTTGGTGGCCGGTTTGCTCTACTGGTCCGTCCCATGTATTCTTCGCAAGACTGGGATAGAAAATTATCCCCAAGAACACCCGCGATCTACCCGACACTTTTCCGGCTTGGTTGCTAATTTAATGCTTATAGCCGTAAGGGCTGACTTCCCTGTAGATCAATGAGCCTTCAAGATCCGTCTTCGTTCGCCCTTAGCTTTGGCAATTTACTTTTCAAAGTCTTCAATCCAAGACTGCGGGCCTCCAGGAAAACTTTAACCCCGCATGCGAGACCCTGGGGGCCCGCAGAGGTTGGGCCTAGGTTGGGAGCTTTGATGGTTATAAAGCCCACCTCCGCAGCGTATTATAGCCGCCACCCAGACGGTATTGCCTCCCACAACAGATTCAGGTTGTCCACCCCAAGAAACGAAAGCACCATGAACAGAGTTCGAGCAGGGAAAGCATGCATTCACTGCCACCAGAGAAGGGTGAAGTGTGACGCGTGGCAAAATGGAGTTCCATGTAGCCGCTGCCAGCTCAAGGGCTTTCCAGATTGTGCCCTGATCAAAACTCGTCGAGGGACTTGGGATCGGCGCCAGCGTCAGGATTTGGCCGCTGTGCCAACTTCTGAAACTCTAGAAGGACAGACTAGCACGCAGACAGAGTGTGCCCTTCCGCCTGAGGGCGAAGGACCGGCCGTCGATTCTCACTCACAATCAAATCTGGAAAGCAACCAAACCTTCTCATCGAATGGAAATCAACCCCTGCAGGAAGGTTGGAGCCCGAGTATTCCTACTGAGCCTCAGGAACAAAGAGACGGAACCCCTAGTGTTGCATCAGCTGACTCGACCAAACCGCCATGTGATGACGGACCAGAACATATCTCCTGGGCTCGGGTGTTCGACCAGTTCGAAGCGTCGAAAATATCAACTCATCCAATTCTAAGCGGCTCCGAAATCACCTACCTAGGTGAAGCTTTCCCCTTAATTCAAATCCTCGACTCAGCCCTGAAGACCGGCAGAGTCCCAGTCCATTATGCCATCCCGAACGATGGAAGCACGCAGCGCCCGGGAAGGGGCCTGCAGCCAGAAGAATTGTCCTTCTGCCAAGCCAAAACAGCACTTGATACACCAGAACGTGCGCCGCTTGATGCGTTGGTGTCTTCGTTCATGGAGCTTGTCTACCCCATGTATCCCGTCGTCCTTGGTGGCGATTTCATGCGGCGATATCGGGAGGGTACAATATCACTGCTCCTTCTGCACGCGGTCTGTTTTGCGTCGGCTACGTACTGTCCGATGGTCACCATTTTTCAAGCCGGGTATTCTGACAGGAAATCCGCGCGCATGGCTTACTACAAGAAGGCAGAAGTGCTATACAACATTGGATATGAAAGAAACAGGGTGGTCCTCGTCCAGGCTACTATCTTGCTAACATTCGTTACTGGAGAACCCAACTCTCAGCACATGTATTACGATTGGTTGAGTGCTGCAGTCACCAATGCTGAGATGCTTGGCCTTCATCGATCGACAGCAGCTTCCAAGATATCTCCTAGAGAGCGGAGCCTTCTAAAACGTCTGTGGTGGGTTCTTGTGGTACGCGATGCCTTTTGTGCCGCGTGTATGGGCCGTACACTCCGAGCAGATCTTACGCAGTCTGACGTGGAGATGCTCAGCCACGAGGACTTTGGCAGCGATTGAGATCCCGGTTCTGATGATACCCATGATCTTGGGGAAGAGGCTATTCTGTATCAACTCCAGGTATCCAGATATGCTATAATTCTAGCTGCGGTTGTGAGAGCACGGTTCCCGACGGCAACGGGAAGTGTTGTCTCAACTCCAACGTGGTCGACCTTTCAACAAAGGCAGAAAGAATGGCGGCGAGGAATTCCCGTATTGCTTGACTGGTCTCTTCAGCAACCGATCAAGAATCGCTTTTCGGCAGCTCTTTCCATGTACTACGATCAACTTACGATCCTCATTCACCTGCAACGGACGGGCAGCCCCGGGCTCGATGAATTAGATCTGGAAACCGACGCTCTACCCGACACGTTAGAATCGCCCCGGCACGACGATTGCGTCTTATACACCGCCGCGCAACAGCTTACTACGATGATAACAGCCCTTGTGCCCAATCAACTCCTCTTTGTGCTACCTCATGATACGTACATGTCCATTTTTGCCGCCCAGGTGGTGTTTCTGCTTCGAATCATCCGAATCCGTCGACATCACCGGTATCCAGCTGCAAAGGACGCGGAAATTGCAGCCCGTGCTCAGCTTATGACTTGTCAAACTATCATGCACTTGATACTGGATATATGGGATTCTGCAGCGTGGACAACGCGTCTGTTCAACCGTCTACTGGCAAATATCTCAGCTGCTTCAGCGGCAACTCCAGCACGACATCTCCAAGCTGCAAACAATCACGAGGAATCCTGTTCTGCAGATACACTTGAGAATTCACATACTATGCATCAGGGCGGCGACCTTAACACTACTCATACGAACCTGGACTTCAGCACGATCACAGACGTGCAATGTGTGGACCTTCCGCAAGGAGACGTTGGATTGGAACACCCCTCGTACCTATTTCAAGACTCTTTCTATGATATGTGGTTTAAGGAGGACGACTTTCCCGGCTTGTTTACAGGCTGAGATTCTCTTTACTGGATTTCGATCAGTTCTTAGAATCCCCCAATAAACTGCGCTCGAGCACAACTTTTGGTGCTTGGGTCACCATAGTCCTGGGAAGGACCTGCTATTTATCGTGCTCCAAATATCTCGTCCCGCCTTGCCTCCGAACCTCGTCCATGAGCTCCATAACCCTCAAGGTTTCTGAATGAGGCATAATTTGGCTCTCTTTCCTTCCCTCCAATATATCCAGGGCTGTATTATCGGCTTCGAAGACGAATCCCCGACCGTAAGCGGGAAATTCATACCTTTTCTCAGGTATCTTTCTCAGAGGGGCTTCATTAGGATCACCATCGACTCGTTCGTAGACGGTAAAGGATAGAGGGAGAGGCGGGATAGGTCCTTCGACTTCAATGTAACCGTTCGTCCCGTGTATGCGGACTATCACCTCAGTATCGCCACCATTATTTCCCAACGCGTTGGAGCTGACAACACCTTGCCGACCAGTCGATGGATAGAGGACGATCGCTGTAGTTAATACATCAACACCCCACTTTTGAGTTTGTGCGGCCACTATCTTTGGTGTCTCAGGTGCTTCGGGCAGCCCTGCATCGAGGGTCAACATAGCCCACGTTAGAGAATACACGCCTTGATCAAGCCAGGTCCCGGCCCCTAGACTGGGATTTCTGTGGCGAGAAGATTCAGGCAGGTTCGGAATGTTCAAGTCCAAGCTGAAGTCGCAGGAGCTCCGGTAAACGTCGCCAATGACTTTCTCTTCAAAGAGCAGCTTTCTCAATGTTGCCACCAAAGGGCGGTGTCTCGTCCACATTGCTTCTGCAACATAAATCCCTTTCTCTCGAGCGGCGTCGAAGACCTCTTTTGCCTCCGGTGCATTTATAGCAAAGGGTTTCTCGCACAGGACGTTCTTTCCTGCTGCAATAGCATCGAGGCATTGTTGCCTGTGAAAGGAATGAGGAGTCCCAATATACACCACATCAACCTCCTTATCCTCGTACACCTTCGTGTACGAGTCGTAAAGTGTCGGTTTCTCTTTCGGGCAATACTTCTCAATGAATGCATTGCCTTTTTCGAGAGAAGAAGATCCGATGGCGTGAACGATATGCTTGACCTTTGCATCTGGGCGCTCAAGGAGAATGTCTTCAACGAACCAAGAAGATATCAACCCAGTGGCTACCTCTTCTTAGTAATGGTTCAAATGGAGACATGGATTACCTACCAATGATGCCCCAGCGAATAGTTGGCAAGTCCCCCATTGAAAATACTTTGATCACGAGGACACCGCAGGATCTCCAGGAGAGTCTCTCTTTATGACAGATTTTATATCGGTTCACTGGGCATTGCACCTCACATACCTCGGGGGCCGTCACCAAGGGCACTCAAGGTCAAGATCATGCAGAGCCAGATAAATCCTTGTATTTGGGTTGGCTTAGCCATTTCCCCCTAATCCACGCTTATAGCCGCTCTGGGGCTCATGTACCCTTCACCGCATGAGTTGATCTTGGATGGACCATAAAAAGACCTAGAGGAGAGAAGGTTCCTTGCGAATACCTTCAGGTCGACTTGAATATCTGCAATATTTCACCGGGCTCGAGCCGGCTCGCAACACATTTCTTCTAAAACTATGAAGGCTATCGTAGTCAGTTCCTATGTAGAGGTACTTCAGGAGAATCCCAGACGCTGATTTTGAAGAATCAAGGGCTGATCTGGCGTTCGCAGGGTCCCTCCGACCTCACCGTCAGCGATGTATCAGATCCTGTGCCAGCAGAGAATCAATACCTCATCCGAATCTATTCGACGGCTACAAACTTCTTTGACGTCCTTCAGGCACGTGGAAAATACCAAACGCAACCACCATTCCCTTGGGTAGCCGGGTTCGAATTCGCTGGTGTCATAGAAAAAGCCCCTTCAGCATTGCCAGCCCCCAGGTTTCAAATCGGAGACAGAGTGTTTGGCGGTCGACAGGGTGCTTATGCCACCAAGATCGCCGTGAGTGAAGAGTCTCTGAGCTTGATACCAGATGGGTGGAGTTTCTCCCAAGCTGCCAGTCTTTTCACGACTGCACCAACCAGTTATGCAGCCTTGGTCAATCGAGCTGGATGCCAGGCGGGCGACTGGGTCTTGATTCACGCAGCGGCCGGGGGAGTTGGACTCGCCGCTGTGCAGATTGCCAAAGGCCTGGGCACAAATGTCATCGCGTTAGCTGATACCTCTCGGAAGTTGGAGATTGTCAAAGAATTCGGTGCCGACTTTGCCGTCAGGTACGAAGACGACTGGCCAAGTGTTGTGAAGAAGATTACTCCGAACGAGCGTGGAGTGGACATCGTGTTCGACCCTATTGGGCTAATTGACAAAAGCACCAAGTGCATTGCATGGAAGGGCAGATTGATAGTCATCGGCTTCGCTGGCGGGACCATCGAGAAGGTGGCCATGAACAAGGTGCTATTGAAGAATATCGCCATCATGGGTCTCTGGTGGGGTAGATACGCCGTTGAGGAGCCAGAAACAGTTCGATCTGTTTGGGACAGCCTATATGGTTTGATCATGCAAGGCAAATACAGAGGCATTGCTTGCACAGACAGGCGCTTTGTTGGGCTCGAAGAAGTACCCAAGGCCCTGCTCTCGCTTGGGGGAGATCAGATCTGGGGCAAACTCGTTGTCGACTTGCCTCAACTTGAACTTGCTAAAATATAGATCGACTGACCGTTAATCCGAAGAGACGGAATTAGTAGATAGTCTCGATTCCATGCACTGCACATTACGCAGGACCTACACAAGTCGAATCTTGCTCCCCAAAGCAATTTTACAAAAACAACAACGGTTCACATGGTCAGCGGAGGACGATACTGGACTTGTGTCTACAACAGAGCTCCAGTCTGCGACAGAAGATGGCTAGACTCTCTCTTACTCAGTTCTAGACTGCTCGATTGTTAGCTACGCGTGATGTTAGATGTCAATGCCAAGGGTGCAAGACTACGCTAATTCAGTGAGTATCATATTAGCTTTCGGATGTACAATGGGTGCTTATCGTTTATAAGCGCATCTTTATAGCCTCTAGGTGGAGACATCTACTTCCCTACGCTACTCTTACCAATCCAACGAAGTGGTGATAAGGTTAACCGCGGGGCGTTAGCCAGCTATCATTGAAACAGCCTATATGCCAGAGTGGTCGATCTGAATGGCCCACAGATATGTAAGTATTGCTCTTCCCCACGATGTCTCCCCAGTCTTCTCCCCCAGGCTTCTTTCCAGGCTCCTTCCCCCACACTTCTTGGCATCGAATATTCACAATCCGAGTATTGTACTTCACCCTTTGGCTAAAGCGTTGGTGCGCTTACTGAAAGTTGTCCCCCGAGGTTGGTGATTGGAAGACGTGGCGACAATGAGATCCTATGACTGGTTTCGGGCTGGTCGTCCATCGCAGCTAGCAATCACCTATACCTGTTTGACTGCTTTCATTCTGTAAGATCGACTGCTGATTCCTTTATGGCCTTTCCTAACTGTTGATAGTTTCGGATACGATCAAGGAGTTTTCGGCAGCCTTGTCACCAATCCCGACTTCCTTGACGTTATCGGCAATCCCAGCTCGGGCTATCTTGGCATCATAGTGTCCTGCTACAACATCGGCTGCTTCCTCGGCTGCGCACTGAACTTCTACATTGGCCCTAAATGGGGAAGACGCGATGTTATTCTGCTCGCCATGATGCTCATTTCTGCAGGCGCGGTGCTTCAATGCTCCAAATATGGCGTAAAGCGGAGTATCCCAATACATCGTTTGTACGGAGACTAACACATGCTGAATAGGTACCGCAACTTATGGTTGGCCGGATCATAACAGGGTTTGGTGTTGGCATCGACACATCGACAATACCGATGTAGTAAGTGGCATATATACCTGGTCTCCTTAACATATATTGAGACATATATTAGTCAGTCTGAGCTGTGCAAGCGAGAATATCGGGGTCGTCTTGTTACAACTGAAGTGGGTCGTCCCTTTCAACGATGAGGTATATTACATTCATTAATAAAGCACTGTTACAATAGGTCGTATTCGTCGCCATCGGGATTATTATCGCATACTTCTTCGATTATGGCCTGACCTTCGCCGGAGGTCCCTTGGCCTGGCGCCTACCAATAGCTTGTCAAATTGTCATTGCACTCAGCGTGTCGATACTCGTATTCGGCCTGCCCGAAACCCCTCGATATCTCATTCAAAAGGATCGAACCGACGAAGCCATTGCTGTGATGGCAAAGGTCTGGGGTTTGTCTCCTCAAGAACCGCGGATCGCGGCCGAGATAGAAGACATTGTGAAAATTAGGCAATTGCAACACTCGCAACCGTTCCGATGGTCGAAGATTTTGCATAAAGACCCCCTTCAGACAAGATGGCGACTATTCCTTGCAGTACTACTGCTTTTCATGAACCAGGTCAGTACTCCAAATCCGGACCCTTCACATAATTTAATGGTAGCTGACCGTGGACTAGTGGACGGGCGTCAATGTTATCGTTTTCTATGCTCCTACAGTCCTCCAAACAAATGTTGGCCTTTCAAGGGCCGCGGCGAACGTTGCTGGGGGCTGCATCAACATTGGCAACCTCCTTGGTGCTATGATTCCAGCCACATCCCTAGACCGCATTGGCCGCCGCAAACCAATGTTGATAGGCCTCTTTGGTCAAGGCATCTTTATGATGCTATTTGCGGTCATGTTATCATTTCAGGGCACAGATAAGCAGGCCCCCACCTCCAAGGCTGCGATTGCCTTTCTCCTCCTGGTATGGACTATCTCTGATCTCTGAGGATAAGACTGACCCCATTCGTGATAGTACATGATCTTCTTTGGGGCAAGCTTGTCAAGCATTCCATGGTGCTATGCCACTGAACTCCTACCTCTAAGCGTCCGTGCTCAAGGCACAGCGATTGCAGTCTTTGGAAACTGGGCTTGGGTATTTTTCCTTGACGATCGGCTGCGTGATTGTAACTTATGAAGTGCACAGGTGTTCATTATTGTGATGGTAACCCCCACAATGGTACAAAACCTCAACTGGAAGTGCTACTTTATCTTCATGGCCTTTGTGAGTAACCCCCTTGTTTGGCAAAATCTATATCCCCATTGCTGAGTCTGGGCAGAGCTTTGCTTTCATTCCTATGATATACTTCTGGTATCCCGAAACTAAGGGCCTCAGCCTTGAGGAAATCGACTTTCTATTCTTGAAGGAGAGCGAAGTTCCACTTCCAACCACACTTCAAGAAATACAGCTATCCCAAAAAGGTACGGATGCCGAGATCGCTCACGAGCATTTAGAAGGCATAGACCAGGATCAAAGCAAGAAAACGGCTGTTTGAACCTGCTCCTCTAGCCTCACTGCCTGTTGTCTGTCTGGACGTGATGATGTGGAAAGGAGACAGCTTTGTTTATCCGATACTGGCTATGGCAGGGACAGAACAATCGGTCTTCAGCCACCTCGGATAATTTGGGTTGGAGGCAATGGGAGGTTACGAGCGCAGGACTTCAAAATCTGACAGCTCCGATGTAAAAGTGAAAGGTGATCAAAACTTGGCAGGTGAGATCTAAACGTGTGTGCGATAGAGTCAGATGGTTTGACACAAACCGCCCACGTGGAGAGGAAAATAGACAGAAGGCTGCCTCACCATACGAGGTTGATATTTTTAACGAACGAGCTTCTCAGAAGACCGCCTTGCTCCCGCTGCACCATGTATACAGCGTTGCATGCGACTGATTGACGTGCTGTGCTCTAAGTGGATGATTGTCTGTCAGCCTGACTATATGTCTACCCTGGAAAGCGATGCTGTTGAGATCTGTAATTGTCAATTGCCGGACGCTGCGTTGCCAAATGCCTGCCCTGGGATGAGTTAAGCCAACCACGTGCAGAGAGGCGAAATCGAAGTCAGCCTTGGCCATGGAGGTGGGCTGGTACGCCAATTATGTATGGAGAAAGATAACTAGGCCTGCAAGAAGTTAGCTTTCAGCTCTAAGCAAAGACCGGGAGACGTCTCCCCCGCGTGTGGGAATGGAGCTTTGCGCTTTTAGGCTCATTCTGCGAATAGTCGACGGATGAACTTTCTTTCCTGATGGGTTGTCTAGCAGCATTTGACAGAGCTAAGGGAGGCTTACAGGGTGCTGAGAGGTTCCCACTGTGTCCAGGCACAATAGTGTAGCCTATAGTCAATCGTCCAACCATGGCACTTTTGAGTGCCTCTCGACACCCATGTTGATTCGCCTCGCGAGGCAGAATTCCATCACGTATTCGGGTTTGCGATAGGAAGCAATTACAATTGGTCAATTTTTGAAGATGTCAACAGTTGACCTTTCTACACACGAAGCGAACTTCTGTTGAACACATAAACGGGAGCGCCGACGAACTTCCCACCTCCGCCACAGTCAAAGTTTTCTATCAAAATACTGGCCACCACAGACTCATACGGCTGCTAGCACCGACCTTTTCACCATGGATCGTCTGACGTCTTGGGCCTCCTCGATGATTGTCTTGTTCTTCATTGTCTCTCTGAAGCAAGTCCGTGCTGGTCCGGCCACATATTGCAAACCAATTCCATCTTCGTCGAATTGGCCTGCTCAGTCGGCATGGCAAGAGTTGAACATGACTGTGTCTGGCAAACTTTTTGTGGATATTCCTCCTGGATCAGTCTGCCATCCAGAAAACATATTATTCGACAATACCACTTGCGCATTGGTCCTTTCTCAATGGACGAACTCGAGCTTCCATGCTAACAACCCCATCTCGATTGACTACAATGACGATGGATGTCTGCCGTCGCCTTTGGCACCTTGCACACTGTCTGCTTATCCATCGTTTGTGGTGCATGCCACCAAAGCCTCCGATGTACAGGCAGCGGTGGATTTTGCCGCCAATACAGGAGTAAGGTTGATAGTCAAAGGGACTGGCCATGATCTCCTCTCGAGGTAAGAGCAGAGACCATGCACAAACATCACAATCCTGACTGGATTAGATCCTCTGGTGGACAGTCCTTGTCGATATGGACACACAACATTGTGGGAATCTCAGTGAACACTAGTGACACTCGGGCTCTCCCGTATGGTGGAGTTGGTTCAGTCAAAATCGCGGCTGGATCAAGGATGGCAGAAGTTTACCAGGCGGTCGCAAAATATAATCTCACAGTTATTGCAGGTGGTGACATGTCAGTCGGTATTGGTGGATGGGTCCTAGGGGGTGGCCATTCTCCCATAAGCTCTACATATGGACTCGGAGCCGATCAAGTCCTCGAGATGGAGGTGGTGACTCCGGACGGCAAATTTCTCACTATCAACGAGAAATCATACCCCGATTTGTTCTGGGCTATGCGAGGGGTGAGCTAGTGCACTTATCAACAGATCTACAGAGAAGGTATACTGACCAGACTATCAGGGCGGGGGCTCGACCTTTGGCGTTCTCATCAGCGTGACCATGAAGGTCTACCCAACCCTTCCTGGCAGCCTTACGATATTTACTGCCAACACCACTTCCAACAGCGACACGTTTTGGTCGATTTCGACATATTTTACATCGCAAGTGCCCAGCCTCTCGGACCAAGGTGCTAACGGCTACCACTATTTTATCCCATATGCTCCGCCAAACCCTCCGGACCAAGCAGGCATTATTATCGGAGGTTACTTCTTCCCTAACAAAACTCCTGCCCAGGTCAACGCCATCATGGATCCTGTCATCACCAAGATCAATACAACGAACTGGGGCGACAAAGTGTTCGTTGCGAATGAAACCATCCCAGTTCCGGATTTTAATAAATTTTGGATGACGAATCAGCCTGAGGCTGTTGGGCCATCAGAGCGGCTAGGTTCTCGCCTCCTGACACGTGGTGCTCTTACTGGTAACCAAACAGAGCTGGAGAATGCACTGCGTACAGCCTCAAATGGTACCTGGACCCTCCTCAACCATCTGGTTGCGGGCAAAGGAGTGCGAGATGCCAAAATCCCCGGTGGGAACAACTCAGTATGTCCCGCGTGGCGAAACAATACCTACATTCATTTCGGTAAGTACACAATGGTCTTTCACCCCTCTTGGATACAGTGTTGACTCCAGTCCTCCTTCAAGTTACCTACCGAACTTGGACACCCTTGAACCAAACCGAAAAGACATCTGTAACAAACGAGCTACGCAACAGCGCCGTTGAAGCCCTGCGCATCCTCGATCCTTACACGGGTGCTTATGTTAATGAAGCCGACCCAACTGAGCCTAACTGGCAAACCACCTTCTGGGGCTCGAACTACCCGCGGCTCTTGGCTCTCAAGAAAAAGTACGACCCCGAAGGCATATTCTGGTGTAAACCCTGTGTGGGCAATGAGCTCTGGAACGTCACAGGCAGTTCTGCGACCCAAGATGGTATTGGCGAGGATGGCGGCATCATCTGTAAAGCCCAATGAAGTAAAAGAGTGAACAGGCATCCGAAGCCCAACACTCTTCTGCATGGTTCTCTCCGAAACGACCGGGATGCCTTGGCGATTCTAGCTAGCACTTTATCGGGCAAAAGTCCCTGTCGCCTCTGACCACTTCTCCCAGAAAATAACGCCCAATTCACCCACGAGAATCGGATCAGGAGTACTCAGATCTGAGGTGCCGCCTATCAATGACGACGGTAATGAGTAATTGTGCAGATCCGACGAGTGCCCAAGCACCCAAGCAAAGCGTTTGGGCGGCCATCAAAGGTGATGTCGTCGGTGGCTGGCCTTCACCCCGCTTCGCGCCTCGTCGAAGAACTATCGTTTAGGTAAAAGTATTGGCAAGCTTGCGGGGTTGGAGCCCTGCCAATCGCTCATCGGCGCTGCGTATAAGAAACTAGTTTAGGTAGGACTTCTCCCACCGGCGCAGAGATATCAGGACGCGACTAGTTAGCAATGCATTGTTGCTACCGTGTTCCACAAGCTGGAGCAGTGTCTCACGATGAACAAGAGAACCCGCGTTACACGTGCGTGTGACAACTGTCGGCGAAGGAAATCCAAATGTGACGGCAGTCAACCCTGTGCCCACTGTAGTGTGGAGGGCCATGGTAAGAATGTTGAACTCCACTTGCAGTATTTGACTTGTTTAACGGAGGGAATTGATAGAGTGCACGTATGAGGAACCATCGAGCAGATGGAAACGACCGCCAGGATCTCGTTTCGAAGACCTTCAAATAAGGTCTCAGAGACTAGAGAATCTTTTCCGATTTCTGTTTCCCAATCTTGATATAGATGATCCAAACATCTATCTCACAACACACAGTCGACTCCTGGACGGTAGCAGTCGTGCTCAGCTCATACAAGGCAGTGCGCGACTGACTCCGTCAGAACCACCGATGCGGAGTACCGACTTCGAGGATGATGATTTGCTCGAGACAATCCTCACCGCCGCAGGGCGGTTGTGCCTCGATGACCAAGGGGGATGGGACTATCATGGCCATTCTTCAGGCCCGGCCTTTCTGCAAGGTCTCAGAAAGCGGTTTTTGGACAAAGGTGCCACGAATGGGGACGATGCCACAATATTAAGTCCTCTCCAGAGCGTCCCGTGGTCCCCCAGAAGCCCTCCCCCGCCTCCTGAACCAAGAATCGCTCCACCACTGCCGCCAAAGGAGCTGGCACAGAAGCTCGTGGAGTGTGCGCTTGGCTCTGGATGTGCGGTACTATCCTTCATCCACCGGCCGACCTTCAGCCAGCTTCTCGACACATTCTATGAAACGGATCCCGAAAACTATGGCATCCAAGAAGCCCGGGTTCGTGCTTTTTTATACTCGGTTTTCGCTTTAGGCTGGCTCTTTCTGAGAACCAAGTCCGTGGACTTGAGATCTAACATTTCAATGCGCGAAGGGTATGTTCCTTGACAGAGACCCTCATGTCGATCTTGCTACTTACCTGTAAAGGACAAAATATTTTGTGGCTGCCCGAAGTTTGATTGATATCTCTGACTGCCGCGAGCTCATGTCAATTCAAGCACTTTTGTGTATGATATATTTCTTACACTGTACAGGAAATATGTCTGTGTGTCATTCTTATATCGCGGCGACGGTAGCAGCTTCGCTTCAAATAGGCCTACACAGGTCTTTACCCGGCGCGTTTTCGATGCGGTCGAGCAGGAGACCCGCAAGCGTGTCTTTTGGACCGTGCGAAACATGGAAGCGTACATCTGTGCCATTCTGGGCCTGCCAACAGCGATTAAGGAAGATGATGTCGACCAGGAGCTGCCTCTAGAGGTTGATGACGCATGCATTGCTAGGTATGGGATTTCGGTATGCCCAGCAAAACACCTCCCACCTACAGTTGCCATAAATGCACATACCAGACTCATGCAGATCTTCGCGAAGATCCTACGATACGTCTATCCTGTGCATCATAGTGGCCATGGCCATGGCCTTGCCGACCAACCCGGTGAATACCGAGTGAAGTACAAAAGAATGTGTGAGGTAGAACATGAATTGCAGCTCTGGTCGGCAAATCTGCCCTTGGAGCTCTCGAACGACAACGACAATACACCGAATCCTCTGAGGTAAGCCCGTGAATTTACCACCTCTTACACATTGCCCTCTGGCTGGTTACCCATTTAATAGTCAGTACTAAACTATCGGATGCTGGCATTTAGATTCCAGAGAGCCCTACTTTTCATCGCCTATGCACACACACGACTGATCCTCTACCGGCCATTTTTGCTGAGTGTCTCTCACTACACAATGAAAAATCAATCCGATACACGCGCCCACACCTATGTAATGGCGTGCTTAGATGCCAGCCGCGACGTAATCATCGGTATGAGGAATATGAGGGAGAGGGATATTCTCAGCGGCCCTTTCTTCTTTACATCATATTCGACATTCTTTGCGGCCATTTCCTTGATCTCTTATGCTTGGGAACGAACCCAAGGCGAAGACATCCAAGCGGTCCTTAGATATGCTGAGATTGGCCGGGATATTTTGTCTCTATTGGGTCAGCGAAGTGTAGCTGCCGCAAGATGCAGCAAAGCGCTAGAGGTAGGAATAACTCAGACTCTCATGTGCATTCTTCTTGTGACTAAATCGCAGCAGGCACTATTCGGCCTCCTCAATAAGAGGCTGAGCGAGACCAATGAAGTCGCAGTAACTGCAAGACCACACGCAGAGCCGACACTCATGCACAGGGGTCCAGAATCGGTGACGGGAACATTTACCCACAACCCTTCTTTCACGCCCGGGCTCAAGGACGTCTCTGGTATGGGACAATCAGGATCTGAACACCGCCCAAAGACTCTCAGCGATAAGCAATGTGTACCAAGCACGAGTTTCCATTCGCACGAAGCGGGTCCAGTAATCCCTGAAACACACTTTCCGCTCGGGAAAAGATCCAATTGTGAGGCCCCTGAAGTATTGCCCCCCTCTTACATGGACTCTGGCATACTCACCGCCCCCGAGAGCAATTTCCAACACCATCCGTCTCGGATGCCGCCAACATCCTCCTTTATGAGGGAACAAACGAAGCCACACTTCTGCCCTCGCCCGGCTTCCCACTTGGAGGACGGCAACGAGGTCCCTGAGGAATGCGAGTTCACCGTCGGGGCAGGACCCTCTCTAAATCCGGCTACTTGGCCCTCTTTCGACCTCAGTAGAGTCGAAACGCGTAACTGGGGGCAGGTACCATTCAACGGTCTTCCCGGACATCCGCCCACGGATTCATTTCTGGCGCAAATTGGACCAAACTCGGCAATGCAAGAAAGCGTTGTCGACCAGGCGCAAGGATTCGGCGACATGGGAGCGCCATGGTAAGGAAGACATCGACTCCGGCCGAATTTTAAGGCAAAGCCAACAGGTTACCGATCCACCTTGCATTAAAAGGGTTGTGTATGAACTTTCAGTGTATGGGCGCAGCAACGGTATGAAATGGGAACGGCGCAGGAGGCTACGATTCCCAGAACCTTTGGTGAGTAGCTCGCACAAGTCAGCCATCCACCAAGTAGATCGCCCATACCAGCTAACCGTAGAGCAGGTTCGCTTCTCCGTTCAAGCGCAAATAATGCAAGAGAACCGGATACCCTTAAAATCCAGGTTTGCTATCGTTTCCGGAGGATATCAGGTTGAATGCAGTGACTCTCGGCGGATGCACTAAGGCTCCACTGAGTAGACAAAAGCAAAGCCATGCAATACGAGGTCATCACGCGCTCGGGGGAATATTCAGCTGTCGTCTGATACAACGTAAGTCCTGGACTCTAGACAAGGCTTCTTGGTATTCCAGAATGACGACTTCCGTTTGTTCCGTGAACAGGTGCCCTGCAGATAGCCAGGCGGGGGAGTCTCCTTCTCCACAGCCATATTAGAGCCACCAGCCCTTTCAACCTAACCCAAAGCATTGCATCTGGAGCTCGAGGAGAGGATGTGCCGCGGAAAGCCTGTGCCGATCTAGTTGGTGCTTATTTGTGAACATCCTCGAAAATATGGGCTGTCGAATCAAAGCGCGACGAGACGCCAGACCCCAAATGGCTTGCAGCGCAGAACTAACATGTATATCACCAGCCCATTCTGTCCGAAACTTCCATGCAATGTCCCAAACGCAGCCGGTGCAGCTCCATGCCTGCACTTGTCAGGGGAATTCTCGAAAATTCCACAAGCCTGTGAGAGCTGATTTTGCCGTCTGGGATTCCTCGTAGGCATGGAGGTAATCTTTATCAATGGACTCACCCTTCCTACAGGCAAGGAAGCCTACTTCCTCGGTGATGCGGGTGTTGATGGCTATATCTCTGTGGCTGACTCAACAAATCCCGAATTCGACACAGTCAAGCTCACTCTGGAGGGTCGGTTGAGCTCCTTCGCGCTGCTTTGCGCTACTTACAGAGCCAGGTCTTTTGGTTACTACCATTCGATGCCTAGATTGGTATGCGGATACCCTCATCCAGCGAGCACAAAAGGTATTTTACATCTACTCATGAGACTTCCGCGCTAATCTCCATCATAGCTCCTACAGTTGCACGACGTCAAGAGAGCGACGGACTTCATTGGATTTGAAGATCAAAGAAAGAGCACCGCAAAGTGCTTCTTCCACTTCGACGTACCCAAGTGCCTACAGTCCGAACTCCTGGGGCAGAATCGTGGGTTTCTTCGCGATCTTCCCCCTTCTCTCCCTCAGTTTGAGGTTGGACAAAGGCATCCTGTGCTGCAGCCACGGCGCCAGGGGCAATGCGACGTCACTTACACTCTCCGTGTTCAGGCTCTCATGCAAGACAAAGTGGTGACAAGCTGGAGCCGCTCCATTCAGATCATCCCTGCCCTGGATGTTTCACCGCCCTTTTGCGTCACAGACTTTGCCGGCGAGTATTTACTGGAAAGGTCCCGACGCCGGAGACGATGGCTTCCAGGAGGACGTACCACTGGAGACTTGCGAATTGAAGCCTGTCAACCTCCGCCCGTAATTCTGAGTCAACTCACAGGCGATACGGTCCTTTCAACCACATTAAGTTTGACGCAGGGAGATCGGTCGACAGGGAATGTCCGCGAAGAGTCCAGAACCCCGGCCCAAGGTCGGTGCAGGGCATCTTTGATGTTCTCGACGTTTATATCCAGCGACCCGAGAGAGAGTGCTCCGACACTGAAAGACCTCTCGTCTCCCGGCGCACTATGTCGAAACTTCGGAGTCTACGCCACGGTCGAGGTCCCGGTGCAGTTCTCAAAATGGACCAAAACCTCTGCCACCCTCCAGGGTAAGCACGTCGCAGCACAACTTTGACCCTCATTTTTCTACTAACCCTCACAGGAGACAATCATAACCTAGAGTTGGAGCACCAGTGGAAAGCAGATGCCCATGTGACCCTCAACTTTGGAAAGCTGAAGTATCCAGTCCCAAGCTTCGAGTCCTCCTTGGTTTCGCGCCGGTACAGAGTTGATCTTCGCGTCCGAATAGCGGCACCATACCGCTGCACGCTCCGCCTGGCTCTACCGATTCAGATCCTCTACCGCACAGACAGCGGTCAGAGTCCCAGAAGGTTCCGCGAAATCGATTGCCCTCCATACGTCGCATAGGTGGTCGTTACGTATTCATGATGTCTGCAGCAGTTGGCATGGGAATCTTAAACTTCCCCGCGGACGAGCGATTTTTCTCTCGGTTTGAGGCCAAGGTCGTAATTGACTTGTGATCTGGGGGCGTTCTGGCAGTGGCTGCGATTTCTAGTCTAGCATGGGTCCACTCAACTCTCCTCGAAGAAAGGTAGAAAATGAGCATGAGTACTAGCCAACGCCAGTGAAAAGCCGGGGTAGAGATACCGCGGAAATGGGGCACATTTCGAGACGTAAAAAGAGAGTTCCCAAGTCTCGTGTAAGTCGCAGGTTTCAGGACCATTTGGCGCGAAATTACATAACGCCTACACAACCTTTGAAATCTATTTGGTAAACGATACGCTTCGGGCGCGTTGGCTAATCTACCAGCATTTGTCAACCCTGATAAATGCGCCTCCATTACGATCAGCCAGCATGGTCTGGTATACTCATACTTCCTCGGAAGTCCGGAGATGTAAGAGCTCGTTGGTCGAGGGGGCTACTTCCGCGGACGTTCTTCGGCATGTCCTCGACTGCAGGGATCGAGGAGTGAAGACTTCTGAGCATGCACTGAACTTGTTGGCAACAGACAGGGCGGCAAGCGACGCTCCTATGTGTACAAAGAGTGAGAAGTGACAGGGCCGCCCTTGATGTCGTGTGTGCCGTGCCAGTGGAGCAGATCACTACAGGCTTCTGCGACACTAGTAAGACCTCTGGAACGAGGAGTGATTCCCATCCTCGCCGAAGCACATTTAGCATAGGACTGCTGTCAGTGACGATTCCCAGCACTTTCACTCAAAGTGGATTGAACCAAGACTGGTCGAGCCCCTGGCCTAGGCCAAATGGCTCTTGCTTACCTGTGCCTCCAATATCGCTTTCGAGTGCTGGCAACTTACTTGACCTGGCGGAGTAGCAAGTAGAAGATCAAATGTATATGTTTGATGGCACCCTGATGACTTTCTGGACCACATCGAATCGATCTGCCCTCCACTTCCCGATGGACCTTCTTTGGCGTCGCTGATGTGGCACTGGCGCGACAGTCTTCGGACTGACAAGACTCTTTCATGGAAGTCCTTGCTTTCTTGGTTATCTTCCAGCTGATGGGCAGCGCACCAAGGCGTGTGTCCCACAGCTCTCTGCGTCAGTGCTTGCAGGAACAAAGCAAAAAGGTCGACCCCGAAATTGTTGAAACGTTAAGGCATTTCGAGCAAAGGCCTCGCCGCTTTTATTTGATGCCCTTCCCGATGCCAAGACTACTATTCTAACCCCTGAGAGATCTCGCTGCTTGGAAAAACTAGAACTCGTTCAGAACCGCGCCGGCTGAACCAGTAACACCCTCAACCACCCTCCTTATGAAAGGTAATCGAGATAAGTATCGGCGTGAAGAGGCTCTATATTGGAGCTACAATGAGCCCAAGACCTCCAGGCTCTTGGTGACGTTGGGTGCATAGGGACGGAGTAACCGCAGAGCAACCTCCTCCAGCGGCCTGGAGTCCGACGAGAATACCCTAGACGAGTACGGGCAGACCCCTTTTGTCACGGGCAGCAGGAATGGGGCATGAATCAACGGTAAAAGCGCTGATGGACGGGCTCGATGTGGATGTGAACTGAGAAGACAGGTAAGGCAAGAGTCCCCTCTGGTGGATCGAGAAAAAGGCCCTCGGGCAATTTGTAAGGCTATTCTATTGGGGGCTAGAGAAGGCGGAGGTGAAAGGACAAGCTCAGGAGGTAGGCCGGAGCTACAAGAGTGATTTGTGCGAGCGGAGGGGCAGGATGGAGGTATCCTACCAAGGAGAGACATCAACAATGCCCGGGCCCTATCTATCGCTACGGAGGGGGCAAGACAGATGAGCTGGCTCTGGACTTTCGATACCGCTCTGGTGTAATGTCTGAGGCCGTGAGGGTTTGGGTATCTCGCATGTCCTTCCTGGCCTTCCATCCTTAACTACCTCTCGCCGACGCATCTCCTACAGGTCCTCTGGCCGCTGTGGCTGACCTCTTTTCGCAATAGCTTTGCAAAAACAGAGCCCCTCCTCCAGCAAGACATGAAAGAACAGAGGCGGGCATTCGACGTACGACGATCCAGAGAGTGAGATACGAGATTCCGATCCCTTTCCAGCCCACTTCGAGAAGACGATGGGTCACAGATGCTTCTAAACGCCCATTCGCGCATGAAGATCCTCCGGCATCCGCGCTTGCAGAGGCGGACATCCACGATCGTCGACATCCGGCGGCTTGACTAGAGGGAATTCCCCCCCGCACCGAACTAATCGTGCTCCTTGTCGTTATCTACTGCTCAATTGAAGAAGACGCAGGATTCCAAGAAAGATGGGCAGTAGTATAAGGCCAACACCTCAGCGCTTCTCCCCAACAGGACTGAACCTCGTTCACCCACGAGCCAGCATTTCGTCCCCTCCCCCGTTCGCAGCACGCAATGGCTGAAAACTGGCAAGTCGTCGCGTCACAGGCACAAGCAGATCTACTGAGCTCGATCCCCTCCAAATGGCGTCTTCCCGAGCCTGTGGACCCTTCTATAACAGACGTTCGTGCCATCCCGCAGACGTGTGGACTGCTTACGGAGAAACAGCTCTTGATCACGGAGCAGACGGCCAGCGAGCTGATAGCCCAGCTGAGAGATGGCGGGTTGTCTTCCGTGGAAGTGACCGAAGCCTTCTGCGCAAGGGCCGCGATTGCACACCAGTGTGTAAGTGTTTTGGATGCCTGCTTCATACTCCATCCGCGCACTGCCCACCGTGATGCTGGGAGTGGAGATTGAGGTCCGTTGTTGACGGCTTCTTCAGGTAAACTGCCTGACGGCGTTCTTTCCGGACGAGGCTCTGGCGCGAGCAAAGGAACTGGATGATATGCTGGCAAAGACGGGCACCCCAGTCGGGCCCCTGCACGGGTTGCCCGTGGGCATCAAGGATATCTTTCACATGAAGGATAAGAACTTGACAATGGGCTACGTGGCGTGGTATAACAATCGGTGCACGACGGACGCGTCGATTGTGCAAATGCTGAGAAATGCGGGCGCTGTCTTCTTTGTTCGCACGACGATGCCGCAGACCGGAATGTTCCTCGAAACCTGGAGCAACCTCTGGAGTCGCACGCTGAACCCTTTCAACAGAGGCTTCTCTGCCGGCGGTTCCTCAGGTGGGGACGGAAGTCTCGTGGCCATGAGGGGAGCACCGTTCTGCCCATCAACCGACATCGGTGGCAGCATTCGTGCACCGGGCACCTTCAATGGGCTTTACGCCATGAGGCCGACCGCTGACAGAACGGCGAAGAGGGGCATGGGAACGGCTGCGCCCGGGCAAATCTCCATCAAAGTCTCCTCGGGACCGAACTGCCACAGCATGGCTGATGTGAAACTCATGGCCGAGATCCTCCTCACTCACCACGGCCTGCCATTTGAACCTACTGCGGTGCGGATGCCTTGGAAGCAACTGCCCGCAAAGACAGAGAAATTGTGCATTGGCTTGCTGGCCACGGACGGGTGTGTGACCCCACAACCACCTATTGCGAGGGCGTTGCAGGAGACTGCAGCAAGTTTGCGAGAGGCCGGTCACGAAGGTATGCAATCTCGAAAGTGTGCCCTGGCAAATCGCCCCCTCTGACTCTAGGGGCAGTGATCGAATTCAAACCACCATTTGACTGTTGGGAAGTCGCACAAGCCACCGTACGTGTATTGCCGCATCGGCCCTCCTGGCGCCATAAAGCAGTCTACTGACTTGCCGACAGTGGCGATTATGGTTCCAGACCGGGGCGAAGGAGACTGTGGACCTAGTCGCTTCGTCAGGTGAACCGCTCTACCCGACCTTCAAGTGGTACCTGGAGACATTTGATATCAAGCCCCTGACCGTGCCAGAGTTGTTCAAGGTAACGTATACTGATGGCTCTCTACCTCATTGCCCTCTGTCCCAGCATTTTGAAACATCAGAGCTGACTCCGGCTCAGCTCAACACGAAGCAAGCGGAATGGAAATACCAGTTCGCAGAGGCATGGTACAACACAAAATCCAGGACGAGTTCTGGACGCCCTATCGACTGCCTGATCTGCCCGTGTGCCCCGTCCGCAAGCTTCCCACACGGCTTCCCGGTCTGGTGGGGATACTTCAGTCTGTGGAACCTGCTCGACTACCCCAGCATTGTGCTGCCATTGAAGAAGATGCGCGTCGACCTCGACAAGGACAAGAAGGATGCCGACTACGTCCCCAAGGATAACGTGTTTGACAAGATGAACTGGGAAATCTGTAAGTGTCTCTCAAAGATATCCACAAGACTGAGACGGTGGGATGGATTTTGAAAGCATCGATCCGTCGCACGAGACTGACTGCTTGTGATTATGAATAGATGACCCCGAACTGTGGAAGAATCAACCCATCACGATCCAGCTCGTGCGGCCGCAATTCAGCGATGAAGAACTTATAGCAGTGGCGGAAGAGATAGACCAAGTCTGCAACGGGTGACGCGAAGACTGTGTTGCTGTGGTTTGTCTTCGACGGGATTTGGCCCATTAAAGTGGCAGATAGAATCTTGCAGCATCGCCATCCGTGTAGCCTAGACATTCACCCACATCGTTCTACACCTGGAAGTTTTTGTGCCATTCTGAAGAGCGTCCGCGTACAGGAGCCAGAGTATGCACCTTTCTGGGCGTCTCGACCTGCCTTGGGAGTTAATTGACTCACTTCAGCCGCGACTGTGCCCTTCCAGAAACGGCAGGCTTTTGTCGTTCTCCAACATCCATCACCGCGCTTCTGAATCTCTGAATGCGGAAGGTCGGGGTAGTGAAAATATCCAATCAACGATGCTCAACTCTCTTGCCCGATCAGGGGCGCGGTTACCAGGCGCTTTTCCACCGGAGTCTGAAGGTTAGACTGAGATGCACATCTCCGCACGCGGCCGTACCCCGTACCTCGTATGGTGATGATTGATCGATCGGTGAAGGTCTCGAGAGGGGCTGATGCGCTGCTCTCGATTCTGGACACATATATACATAGCTGCTGCAGGCAAAGTAGCACGTAAGACCTTGCACCGGCCGTCGAAATCCGAGGATCGACGACATATACATATCTCAGGTCCGTTGTGAGCGAAGAGCCGAGTTGTATTGAAACAAGCAAGGGAGGAGAGATCAAAGAAGGTCCAGGTCAAGAACAGTGAACAAAAGGTATCCTGCAAACCATGTCGCCTGATCCGAAGACGTCGCCCAGCGTGCATACACTCGATCCGCACAAGACGTTCGATTCTCGCCCAATATTCTCGCACGTCGCCACGTCCAGCGGACCATGCCGCATCGTCGCGACGGCAGGGCAAGTTGGTGCCGACCACAACCGGGTCGTGCCCAAGGACATTGACGAGCAGATCGCCCTGGCTATGACGAACCTGGGCCGCTGTCTCGAGGCCGCCGGCGCCAAAGTCACGGACGTGTTCAAGTTGGTGTACTACATCGTCGACTACGACCCGGCGCATCGTCGGCATACCAAGCATCTCAAGGCATTCCTGAATGGCCATCGGCCTGCTACGACGCTGGTGCCCGTTCCCGCACTGGCGGATCCGGACTTTAAATTTGAGATTGAGGCGTATGCCGCTGTGAGACAGGCACCTCTCACAACTGTGGAAGTGGTGGTAGTCGGAGCTGGTCTGAGCGGTCTACAGGCAGCCTATGACTTGCAAAAGGCTGGCGTGTCGTGCGCGGTTGTTGAGGCTCGTGATCGCGTGGGTGGGAAGACCTGGTCCGTTGATCCGTTGGGGCAGGAGAAATTTATCGATGTTGGTGCCGCTTGGATCAACGACACGAATCAAGCAAAGGCGTATGCTCTAGCCAAGTTCCTCGGTCTCGAGCTTGTGGTTCAAAACACCGTGGGTCACATCATCCAGGAGGATCTCGGCGGCAGCACAGGATTGTTTCCCTATGGCGGAACACCCAGTAACGCACCCGAGTCGAACGGGATCCAACACATGGTGTATATCCGCGAACTGTTTGAGAAACTGTGCCAACAAGTGGATATCCGGGACCCTGTCGGCTCAAGCGGGCAATTTGACCAAATAACCCTGGAAGAATGGTGCAAGTCGGAGACTCAATCCGAGACAGCGCTTGCAACTGTGAAGCTGTGGACGAGGGCAATGCTCGGCCTAGAGCCATCCGAGATAAGTGCGCTCTATTTCTTGGATTACTGCAAGAGTGGTGGAGGTCTGCTGCAGATGAGATCCGATTTCAAGGATGGTGGGCAGTATCTCAGATTTACCAGAGGTGAGCAGAGCAGACGTGTATAAACCAAGCGGGCAATGGACTTACATTATGGGCCACAGGAACCCAGTCGTTATCACTCGGTCTGGCGAGTCTGATGAAGCCAGGTTCAATCGTCCTGAACTCGCCTGTTCGGCACATATCACAAACTCCAGACGGAATCTATGTGTCGGCAGGTAGGGGAGACTTCAAGTGTCAACGGGTCATCATCTCTGTGCCGACAGTCCTGTATAAAGAGATCGCTTTCGATCCACCTTTGCCTGCCGCTAAAGTCGAACTTGGGAAGAACAACGTGCACGGGTATACCCTAAAGGTCCTGGTCATGTACTCTGAGCCCTGGTGGCGCAAGAAAGGATTGTCCGGGGCTATCATGTCCTTCTTGGGCCCCATCACCACATGCCGGGACTCCAGTAACGACGAGAAAGGTCAATTCTCCCTGACTTGCTTTACCAATGGCGATTTCGGTCGGAAGGGATCTCTCCTCCCGCAACAGGAGAGATACAATGCGATTTTGGCCCACATTAAGCGCGTATTCGGGCCATATGTTGACGTTCCGGAGCCTCTGGCGGTCACAGAACATGAATGGGCAAGCGACCAGTGGGCACAAGGCTGTCCGTGTCCTGCTGCGCCACCGGGAATCATGACAAAGTACAACCACGCGCTGAGGTCGACCCATGGAAAAGTGCATTTCGTGGGCACGGAGACTGCCTATGAATGGAAAGGGTATATGGATGGTGCGCTGCGATCTGGCGAGAGGGGAGCAAAGGAAGTGATTGAGGCTCTGAGGAGGGCGAAGTTGTGAGCTGGGCCGGGACACTGGTGGATGCCCATGGCGAACATGTCATCATCTCGTATTGAGGGCCTTCAGAGTCGGTCACTGGTCACCCTGCTCTTGTCCCTGGAGGTACAGTTTCACCTCTTCGGTCACCTTTGCCTTTCTCCCATCTGTCTCTTTCTTCGTCCCGCCTGGGATGGGAAGCAGCAATGACTCGGGATTCTGGTGCTGCGAATCTTGTTCTGGTCTTTGCTTCGCTGTACGAGGTACGGAGGATCGAGTAACACCCTCTTTGACCCAAGTCCAGGATTAGCCCCCATGTGCTTGCGATGATGCCAGGTGTTCACTGCTTACCTCTTGGCGGCCTCCTATTGGCGGCACCCGGATTCAGGGGCCCTAAGCCGCTATGGCTTGCAGCCTTGGCCCTGAACGACCGGGGCTATTAGGGGCGCTCGGGGCCTAGAGATCGATCCATTGGGCACCCGTTGGGTGAGGGCGCCTTAACCGGACTCCGCCATTAGCTTGGTGGAGTGGAAGGTTGGCACTCTGCCCGCCATGTCCTGCGCGCTCTGTGTTGCTCCTTTGCCCAATGCGGCCTCTTGTATTTTCTGACGCCCACTCGCACTCCCTATTTTTGTCCAATGCTCTCCTGACCGCATACGACAGACATTCGTTTTTGTGCTTCTTCCTTTTAATCTCTTAATTTTCTACGGTGCTCAGGCCATTCTTCCTCCTGGAACGCAACAAGACTCCTGTGACCTTGGCTTCTGTTTCGCAGCGAACATCACGACAAGATGAGTTACTATACCAATCTCCAAGGCAAATTTGCCCACAAGGTCGGCGAGCCCGTCCCCGAATTCAACACTGAGTATGTTCTTTTCTTCAGTTTCTTGTGAAACCCAGAGTGAGGAGATGGTCGAGGACTGTTGCTAGCTTGGACCACCACCTCCGTTGCATATCTTCGGCACTGACCGTCTTTTTCTCAGATTCCCCGTCCACCCAGGCATTGTTCACTTTCCCATCGCCTTTAACGTCCTCGCCTGGGGCCTTGACATTTTGTATGCTCTTACTGCCGTCTATGTCAAGCCGGACTTCCTCACCACGCGGTTCGGCTCCCCTTCGACCCTCCTGGACATCACTCGCCTGTCCTACTTCCTCCTGTGTGCCGGCCTGATTACCACCGTGCCTGCAATCATGTCTGGCAACATCCAACTGGTCGGCATGATCAAGAAGAACGGCGGCCCATGGGAGAAGGACGCGGCAGGAAAGCAAAAGAGCACAATGGTGCCGCGTATCAAGGCCTGCATCACCCACGCCATCATGAACGATTTGGTGTTTGTGGTCAACCTGTACAGCTGGTACTTGAGGAAAGATAAGGAAGGGGCTGTCAACCTGGGCAAGATCCCGACTCAGACGAACCTCATCATCAGCATGGTCTTGCTGCCGGCTCTGATGGCTTCATCAAAGATCGGCGGCACTCTCGTGTTCAATCACGGTGTCGGCTTGAACCTAGGCCGGAAGAAGTTCGAGTAGTTACCTCAAAACAAGATAGGCGGAGAAGTTGAGGCAGAGGCGCTTTGATCATGGAGCAAAAGCTGGGAAGCAAGATACAAGTGACGAAGGCGGAAGAGAGGAATTTTCAGATGGTCAAGGAAGCAGCACACGTAGGGCGAACAAAAACCGGGCGAGTGACGGCAAATGTGTTTATGAATCTGGGGGTACATTCTTGTTGCGGGAAAGGGGACCATTTACTTGTGGCAGGGGGGGAATGTAGATTTCTAGAGGTGTTTCGACTACGTTGTGTTTTAATCATTAGTACAACAGATCATTAATTATTCGGGACCTACAGGCTTCGACAAAGCTTCGCCTGTTTAATGTCCTTGGCGTGCATCACCTTGAAGCCACTTCACCATTTCCAGTTCGTCTACAACACTACTGGTGTGATCCAGGTAGGCAGATACTTACAAGTCGGTGCCTTTACTTCTTCGAGTCAGTGAAAGGACTGAATCATTGTTTCAACCAATCAATTCTCTGACGAGCGGGCTGATTTCACGATCCTCTTCTGCTTCCTCATTAGACTTCGCCGGATCTGACACCGGGGCATCCTTTTGTAATCATCACCTGAGGAGAATCTAAATATCGACACATAGACCCAACCTACAAAGCAATACAGAGGAAGGACGCATAATTTTATCTTGTTGCCTTGAACTTCTTGGTGTATGCAATTGATCCTTTCCAGTAAAGGTTCTCGTGCGCCATGGGCGAAGAGGACGACGACTTCATATGTCAGCCGCCCCCAGGACCCCCTCCGCTGCTATCGAAAGAGCAACTGCTCCATCTTGCGCGGCAAGGCTGGCTCAGCATTCCGCTGCCAGAAACGCTGTCGGAGATAACGGACAACCTATTCAAAACCTCGACGCGCTTCTTTGAGCTACCGGACCAGGAAAAGGAGACGCTTTATCCCTCCAAGGCTGGGACTGAGTTTGGCCTCTACACTGTTCCCAACGAGAAGGAATACATCACGCTTCGCTGTCGCATTCATTCAACCAACGGCTCAAAATTATCGTCATCGCAGTTGCCTCTCGTACAGGCCCTCGAAGACAATGCAGCTAGAGAGTGGCAAGAAGGTGCACTTCTGTTGTGGCGCATTCTATGTGATATTACCCGCTGGTCTGATCTTGACATATCCATATGGAACGACATCCTCGACGGCACCCTGGCAATGCCAGAGTCGGAGGAACAAATGACATATACGCTCCTGCGTCTCTTTCGATACCAGCCTGCTTCTGGATTTGCTGAAAGGCACACCGACCTGGGGTTATTGACCATCTGCATAGGTGACCGTGGCGGTCTCGAAGTCCTTGATCGGCTCAAATCCACGGATGAGAACCCCGTGTGGATTGACAGCGGGGCCAGACCGCGCATGGCGACGATTCTGGTCGGGCAGACACTCAAGGCGTTGTCCAACGGAATGCTAAACCCCGGTATCCATCGGGTCGTGGAAACTCCAAGCGGCAGGAACAGCGTTGTTTTTGCGCTACGACACTCATCAAAGCATGCCGTTGACTTCGGCTTGTTTGGCGGACAAGGGCTTGTCAGCGCAAGTGACTTGTGGAAGTTCGTCCAGGTCGGCAAGGTCAACATAAACTCCATCAAGGAAAGGAGAGACGCCCAAAGGGCGAAGTTCAAAGCCGAGAGGTTGGCGGCAGGGGATCATCGGGGATGGGATCTAGGTCGAGGCTGAGACCAACCGATCACTTGGATAAAGTCTCGTCATTGACGGGTCATGCCGATTGAGTAACCTCTTTTACTAGGCTCACGACCCGCTTTGCAAGTGCTTCTGAGTCGGGCGGAAACCTCGCTGACAAGTAGTTATAACTCGGGTCCTCGACAACAAAGCTGTCCAAGTCAGCACCAAGAAGCTAGGAGTCTTCAACTAGACTTACGGACTAGGGCTCTTGCTGTTCTTGAATTGCGCCCTGTCTCCCAGCCTCTTCTTCACAACTTCCTCCACAGCGTCAGTGCCAGCTCCGTAGGTTTTGTAGTAGTCGCCAAGGAAAAGCTTGGTGACGTGATAAATGCTCTCTTCCATGTAGGCCGGCAAAGCGGTGGTGACGGCATCATGCATCACGCTTTTGCCATCACTCGTGGAAGACATGGCCAATACCTGGACTCCGTGACAGATGGCCGCCAGAGACTTTGGAGATGGCTTTCTCGTCTTGGGAAAATAACTAGCGAGCACCTCGTGAACACGTGCCGAATCCATGATCTGCCGGACGCTCTTCTCATGGCCACCAGGCAGGAAGACAAGATCGTAATCCTCCAAGGTGAACGCGTGGTCCTTCCAGGCCAGAGGCTTTTTGAACGCTTCACACGTGCTCGACAAATCTTCATACGCCCTTTTCGCGGCCTTGTTTGCCCCGAGCAGGGTTCCGGTCCAGCCAGAGAGCATTTTCTCATCGCATTTCGGTGTATTGCCATCCTCGGTAGCGAAATAGACATCAAATCCCGCATCCTTAAAGACCTTCCACGGAATGGCAGTTTCTAGGTCGTGGCAGTGAGCTCAAAGAATGCCTGTACTTGTGCGGAGAGCCGACCATACCTGTGGGGTCATGGCCATCATCCGCCATGAGGAATATGACCTTGACTGCCATGGTTGACTTTTCCTTGTCACGGTAATCCTGGCACTCCGATATTCGTGGGGGCTAAAGTGCGCAAGTAAGGACTGCGGAGAGGTGACAAAGGATGAGAACTGGTCTGGACCTTCAGCAAACAACAAGAAGCTTCTGAGTGAAATTGCACATGTCAGTAAGCAGGCATCACGGGCATCAGAGATTGGTCTCGACCCAGCTGAAGCAGATCACCCGCAGTTCGTATTCGAGCGTCACACGGCATGACGCAGACGCAGCTGGTGCATTTGATTGTTCGTATTTGCACTCTCACACGGCGGCCAATGGGAGGGGGACAATGCTGATTTCGGCGATGTATTTTTCCGATCCGAACCAACCTCATCGCTTCGGCTCTTCGAGAAACTCAGGCTTTGTCCCTGGTTCCTCGTATGGCACGCGTCAAACCAGGACCATCGCCTTTCTTGGTGGTTCAGCTGCGCCTCTTTGTGCCGTGAGGCACGTCCTTTCTCTTGCATGACTTTCACATGCCGCCGAGTCCCTGGTGCAATGCAATGTTGTACTGACTTTGGCGCTATGGACGACTGTTGTGACACCGCACTCCGTCTCCCCATGCAAGACACCGTTCACCTATCTACTTACAGGTTGCTGATATGTCTAGCCCTCGGATGCAAGACAAGCTCCCTAGTCCTGTGTACCATATATCTCCAGTGTCTCCAAGGTGAAGACACATCTGTGGTGCCTCCTCTAATTCCTTTTCTTCTGGCTCGTATTTCTGCTTGCACTGTACCGCGTCGCCATGGATCAGGAACATCAAAAGGTCTCTGACACAGGCATCGAACACAAAACTACCAATGAATCAAGCGCAAGTGCTACCTCGTCCACAGTACCCCATTCTCCTTCTTATCAGGTGCCCCCATATCGAGTTGGTGTGACCGAGCCCGGTGGGCCATTGTCAAGATCCCAGTCCAAACTCGAGGCGAGGGACTACCATGAGGGCAATCGATTTCCTCGGATCTCACGCCCTGTAGAACTACTGCGCCATACATACGATGTCGTCGTGATCGGATCAGGGTACGGTGGCGGTGTTGCAGCATCGAGAATGGCCCGTGCAGGCCAATCTGTGTGCATTCTCGAGCGTGGAAAAGAAAGGTGGCGTAAGTTCGGGCATCTTCGAACGCTTTGGACTACTACTGACTATCTGCAGCCGGAGAGTACCCTTCAAACCTTGCCGAAGCTGCACCCGAAATCAGTGTCTCCGGGCTATTTGCGCCAGGAGACAACCCAGGCATGCCGGTGCAGATAGGGGACCCGACGAAGCTGTACCAGCTAGTCATGGGCGCCGGCCAAAATGCATTCGTCGCGAGCGGTCTGTTTTCTCTGGATACCGTTGATCTCCTGTGGCTGACTGCTCCTCCAAGGCCTCGGAGGAACAAGCCTTTTGAACGCAAACGTCTTCCTGAAAGCTGATCCAGGAGCTATGAGCCTACCAGATTGGCCGAAGAATCTTAGACAGGAGGGTGCTTTGGACGAATGTTCGTTCTCGTGGTTCGGACATTTAAAGACATCTGCACTGACTGCACATGACAGATTACGAACGTGCGGCTCACATGCTGCAGCCCGAACAATACCCCGAGGACTTCCCTCCTTTATTGAAGCTTGAGCTCTTGAAGCAACAGGCGGAGCTCTTAGGACTGTCAAAACACTTCTATCGAGTTCCGCAAACAACAAGATTCGAGAACGGCCCAAATAACGCTGGAGTTGTAAGTTGCACCACGCTCGATGTTTTATGAAGCCGATTTAACCAAAGCACATCCAGCAAATGCAAGCCAGCGCGCTCACAGGCATGGACAGTACCGGTGTCAATGATGGGAGCAAGTCATCGACCCTTGTCACATACTTAAGCGACGCTTGGAATTGGGGCGCCGAGATGTAGTGCTCTCATTCATTCGTTATTGCCTGTGCTGACCTACAAAGCTTTTGTGAATGCGAAGCTCGATACATCAAGAAACATCCTACTCAAGACGGCTACATCGTCTTTTTCGCCTGGCACGGGAGCAAGCGGGGTCTCTTCAAGAACAACATCTACAATGATCTTATGTGGGTACATGCGAAGAAGTTTGTTTTCATGGGTGCTGGAGCCCTGGGAACTACTGAGATCCTTCTCCGAAGCAAAGCCCTTGGATTGAAAATGAGCTCGCGAGTCGGCAAAGACATGAGCGGGAACGGAGATATCCTCGCCTTTGGGTTTGCAACATCGCTCAATTTGCCCTTGCGGAGATACTGACACTAACAGATACAATACAAATTGCGAGGCGAACGGCCTCGGGAGAGACTCTCCTAGTCCGGACAAACCTATCGGTCCCACAATTACCGGGGTGATCGACTGCCGTGAGCAGCAGAATCCCCTCGATGGCTTTGTCATCGAAGAAGGAGCCATTACGCAAGCACTGGTCCCTGTGCTACAGGCAATGTTGGAGTCGCTGCCTGGGAAGATCATCCCGAAGCCATACTCTTTGAAAGATCAGGTGATGCACTTCCTCGCTCGTCAGCAAAGTCGGATCTACCCATATGCCCCAATGGGAAGTTTGGAGAAGACTCAAACCTATCTCATCATGTCCCATGACAGTAACCAAGCAGTAATGAAACTGGGAGAGAATGACAGACCAACCTTGACCTTCCTTGGAGTAGGACGGAGCGACCACGTGCAGTATCTCAACGGGATTCTCGCAAAGGCTACCAACGCTGTAGGAGGAACGTATGTCAACTCCCCCTTCTTCGCAGCGCTGGGCGAACAAGAGGTACGACATTCCCCCAACGTCTCTCAAGCTTACACTGACGCTACTCAAGATCACTGTCCACATCATGGGCGGAGCGACAATGTCTAATGACGGTACTGGTGTCAATGGCGCAGTTGATCAATTTGGTCAGCTGCTCAAAGGAACAGGAAAAGACGTCCACAACGGAATTGTAGTCATGGACGCAGCCATCCTCCCCACCGCTCTTGGCGTCAACCCGTTTGCGACTATTACTGCTCTTGCAGAACGATCGGTTGAGGCAGCAGCCAAACGCGAGAATTTGACGATCGACCTTGTGACCCAAAATGGTAAAGGTTGCGCTATTGACAACACTTGATTATGCTGACACGTCCACAGGGACTTTGGACTTGTTTGACAGACCAGCACATTCGAAGCCATTTAGCAAAGACCTTTACAAGGCAGAGAGAATTGTTCACATGGCTGTGGAGTCAGAAGCTGAAGGTATCGAGTTCACGGAAGTCATGGCTGGCTACATCAACACTGAAGACCAGGTGGACACCGGGAATGCGACGTCCGATTTCGTGGTGGCTACGGACGCCGCTCGAGCCGCCGGTAGCACTGCAAGGTTCTTTCTCAGCTGTCATGCCTGGGATACGGACGAGTGTAAGAGTTTGCCCTTATTCTAGGAGAGAATGACTAACCTCTCCAGTGATCGGGAGATCCGACCATCCTGCAATGCTTACAGGCACTTTCACTTGTGCTGGTCTTCCAGGATCGCCCTTCATGGTACTACGCGGCGATTTCAATCTATTCAATCAGGATAAGCGAACGCCAGACACCACAAACTTGACTTACGACTTTGACATGATCTCCACGAGGGGTGAAGTGATCCATTTCCATGGCTACAAAGTGGTCGATCGGTCCATTGCCTTTCATCCTTGGCAGACATGGAAGGCCACTTCTACACTGTACGTCACACTCACAAAGGAAGATCAAGTCATTGGCAAAGGGACTCTGCATATTGAGCCACAAGACTTCATATCTGAGCTGTCGACATTCACACCGCATGGCCCGACGATGCTGTCAAAGGCATTTTCAACTGGCAAGTTCTTGACCTTCTTTACCAAACAGGTCTTGGCCAATTTCTTGGGGCCCTTGGGTATCATGCAATTTCCCACAACAACATACCGCGGTTACGAAGTGAACAAGAAGCCGCCAATCGAGACCAGGAAAATCACATCGGTGGACAGGGTCGTGTCGACTCTTCAGCGATGGGCTCCCAAAGATCCATCGTCAGGTGACCGCAAGGTGCTTTTCATTCCCGGTGCCTCTGTGGACCACCAGATCTTTGCTCTTCCTACAATTGATGTGAATGCAGTAGAGTACTTTCAAGCAGCAGGCTACGAAGTGTTCTGCGTTACTCATCGCACCGGCAAAACGCCCAATGCTCAGAGAGGATTCACCACGTACGACGCGAGACTTGACATCCAAGCGGCTTTTGAAGAAATACACCGCATCCAGGGCTCCAAAGATCCCATCTATACCGTGGCTCACTGTGCTGGTTCCGTCGCATTATCGGCCGGGCTGCTCGATGGTACGATCAAGGCAAGCTGGATTAGAGGTTTAACCGCTTCCCAGGTTTTCTTCAACCCGATCTTCGGAACCGTCAACAAGCTCAAGGCATCTATGCCCATCTCGTTGACTCGGGTCTACAAGTTGCTAGCAGGAAGTTGGTTCTCCTGCATTTCCACAGAGCATGATTCCTTGATCCAACGTCTGCTGAACCAAGTAGTCCGACTTTATCCAGTCGGGTCACCTCGAGAGCTGTGCAATAGCGTCGTCTGCCACAGGTCTGAGCTCGTTTTCGGAAGGTGAGTTCTCGAGTCTCTTTTAGAATCTATCGTGTACTGAACTAGAGCAGGCTGTGGTCTCATAAGCGTTTGAACGCTGCAACGCACGACAATCTCTCCAAATTCCTCGGTGGCACCAGTATGAACGCACTCAACCAACTCATGTACCAGGGGACTCACGGTTATGTGACCAACAATATCCTGGAATCGCTCGTCACGCCGGCAAATCTTCAGCGGCTCAGAGGTCTTCCGATTCTGTTCATCTCAGGTGCTGATAACGTGGTCTATACTCCGGAGAATACTGATAGGTCCTACACCACCATGACGACGACATTCGGACAGAAGGGCTATGAACGGGAAGTATTCCCCGGATATGGGCATCTGGACTGTTGGATGGGCTCAGACGCTGTAAAAGACGTCTACCCTACCGTGCTTGCCCATGCCGAAAGGATCTATAATGGTGATGTGGATGGCTAGGTGACTTCCAATCAGGGTCTAAACTGCGTTGGCTTCCACGGGCTCCAAAAAGTTCAGAGTCAATCTTCAATGCAAAAGTACCATACTATGTGATCAGTGTGGAACGTGCCCATCACTCTTCTGCCTCTATTCTGTTACATAGTTTGGTGGAAACGACTAGCCGGCGCCTTCCTCCCGATGCCTTTGACGATGGCTGCTCAGCTGCGCCTGCACGGCGTTCGTGTCTGCAAGAACTACAGAGACCACCACCCTCAGCTTGCCTTGAACACGGTCTGCCGGAGTCCAGATTCTCTGCCATCCTCTGTTGGCAGAACCTCAGACTCAACGAAGTATATTTCAGGAGCAGAAGCACCAAAGCATCGCAGCTTGCTGACGTTATACATACTTTCTAACCTAATCCGGGTTAGCGTCTCTTTAAACCTGGCTTCATACAGAATTCTTCCTTTGTTCCATCTTCCTTGCATGTGTTATTGAAAGGTAGTCTTCGCTTTGGGCTGACGGACTATCGAGACCCCTTGGCAAGAGCACATTTGCGCTCTTCGGGACACGGACCTCACATTTGGTGATTCGACGAGCATGTTACACTGGTTGCCTGACCAGAGCGTTTCCTGTCGCCCAGCCTCGTATCCAGCAGCGCCACACTCTCGCTTGGACAAAAGCTGAACTTCTGCTCGAACTCTCGCCGTCGTGAAACTGAGGTCCTCGTAGCCTCTTCCATCTGCCTGACATGTGAAAGTCCAGAAACCGACGCCTTGGACTTGAGTCATTTGCATGTGCAAGCAGGGAACTTACGGTCAGCCTTACGTTCTCAGCCCCTGTTAGGCTTCCGACTCTGAAATAGGCCAGCGTTGCCTTCATATTCCCTCGAACGCCAGCAGCCTCAATCTTCCTTCTCTCGCCGTCGTCCACCATACAATTTCAACCGCAAAAATGGCGGCACCGGCATCGAAGCCAATACCTTACACCGCCAACCCTCTTCTTCTCATGGTCAATGACTTGATGCTCTTTGCCGAAATTACATTCACATGGCCTATTACAGCCGGTCTACCCAGCATTGTCCTACCGCTGTTTCCGACGAGATCAGGCTCTCTCGATGAATTGGCGGTCACCAGGGCCAATCTGTGGGCTGCTTTCTTACATGTCGTTCTCATCATCGCTCAAACAATCTTTCTAGGGTCTTTGGTGCCGCTGGCATTCATTGGCTTACCATCCTTCTATCTCTTGTACATTGTTGGCTTTGTCATGGGAAACCAGTGGTTTACGGTCTTATTGAACGGCCCGAGGCGACGAGGACTTTTCGAGTCGAATCCAGCGTGCGTTAGAGGAAAGCCGGCACACGACCACGAGAAATGGGTCTTCATCAACGGTGTGGCAGTAGGGTATGTCAATTCTCTTCCACATGGTTTTATCTGGACCAAGACGGACTTTACACCCTGCCATTTGATTTGCACAAGTTGACAGCCTTGCAGGCGCCACTGGTTGCAGTCAAACCTCGACCGGCTCGCAATGACCTTTAGAAGGCCGGTATTCGGAATACATAATCAGACGTAAGTCCCTCGCTGCTTCTTGCTACAACAGCACAATCCGAATCTCAGTCAATCTTCACATGTGTCGTCTTGGCTGACAATGTCTGTAACCTCTAGCCGGGGTATTATCTTTGATGTTCTCGAATGCATCATTCAGCGCGACTTGAACTACGCCACTTTGGACATTCGGACCGCATATGCAGCGATGGTTGAAATCCTGTCCGACGACAATATTCAGAAGGTGGTCTTGATCCTCCATAGTCAAGGTGCCATTGAGGGTGGCTTGGTCCTTGACTGGCTCTATGACACGGTACCGGCGGATCAGCTTAGCAAGCTGGAGGTATATACCTTCGGAAATGCCGCGAATCACTGGAATGCGCCTGTCATATCTTCATCGGCCTCTTCCAGGGCAAATGGAGACAGCGTGACGGAACAGAGAATCGTGCCGCATATCGAGCACTATGCCAATGAGGGTGACTACGTGTCGAGGTTCGGCATCTTACATTTTCGGCCGGATCAGCCATTGCCGCCGGCATCAGTCCCCAATAACACACCTTTTGCTCCCAGTTCGAGGACATCACATCCGGAAAAGCCCAAAGCATCGGACAACGAGGCCTCACGTACCACACGACCTACTCCTCCAAAGGTCGACACTCGGGAGAAGGTAGTCGCAGCGTCCTCGAGGTCGTTGCTGTCTCCCAAGACGCCCATCGAAATGATGGATCTTCGAGAGGAGGAGACAAACCTGTTCTTCGGCCGTCTCTTCAAACGGATCGGCTCCGGCCACCAGCTGAATCAGCATTACTTGGACAATGTCTTCGAGATGGAGGGCCTTGACAGCAACGACCTCTCCAGAGGACGCGTGCGAGATGGCAACGCCTTCATGGACGCCGATGTCGACGAGAACGTCTTTCGAGACTGGGATACCGTGCAAGCTGTTGGAAGACCCGCTGGCACACGCCCCGCTAACGGCAGACCCGTCGCACCGAGAAGACAGATTAAGGAGCTCAGTCGTCTGTGGGCTTATCGGAACGGACGGAGTCCAGAAGATTGAGAATCGTGGAAGTGATCGGTGGTGTGGGCCCGTAGGCGCCGGCCTCTGCTCCAGCCCAGCTCATACATGATACACGAGGAACGAAACGAAGCTCATGTCCATGCAACGTCTGCTCCCGGACGACGAAGCGGGGATCGCACAGGAGCAGGCGGCGTGGTAGGGTGGAACAGACCGTCTAAGTATCGCCTTCCAGATATCTTGGAAGGGAAGGAGAGAAGGGGAACTATGGGACTATGGTGATATGGCGTATGGAGGACTTCACGAGGCAGTGTCATTTGTATCGTCGCATCACATGGGTTAGGACCTGCGGAGACAGGACACGCAACCTTGACTGTAATGAGTCTCACTAACGAGGTATTTCTTACGATTCCATCCCTACAACGCTTTTCTCCCTTTTTCAGTCCGACCCTTCCTCCCGCCTGGTACGCACTGTGTAGTAGGTAGCATTCATTATTAGAAGATCATCTATGTACCCTTTGTCCTTTTCCAAAGTCCATCATCGTCCTCGTGGAGTCGTCCACTGCGAAGGTCATTTTCATGTTCCTTGCATTCATCGTATTTATCCTTCTTCCGCTGCAGTGGTGCCCACAGACCTATCCGGATGAAAAAATCTCTGCGAGACCTCATTGATTCGCCCCTCTCTCTTCTGATCTTTGGGCGCATTATCTGGGAAGTCTGCTGTCCTCTTCACTTTTTTCCTTTCGACAGTCGTCTTTGATATCCATTCAGGAAGCGAGGGCCGGGCTGAGGAGAATCTCTTCCTCAATCCCACTTTTTTTCTCTTCTCTCACGTACAGCTCTTCTCAACGAGTTCACTGTGCAATCCTCTCGATTCCCCATATGACCCTACCTGGTGGGCTTGCTAGGCTAAGCAGGTAGCTAGCTCACCAGCTGACCAGCAACCAGCAAGCTTAGACAAATCCAGCCACGCCGGCGTCGAACCTCTCGAACACGCTCAGATCGAAACTCTTGGCCAGGAGCTGGTACCCGGCGTCGTTGGGATGCAAGTAGTCGCCGGACTGCAGCGCGTCGGCCAGCTGGCTGGGGACGGACTGGTTGCGGAGGATCGCGTCGAAGTCGAAGACGGCGTCGAAGGCGCCCCCCGAGGCGCGGATGAAGGCGTTGACCTTCTGGCGGGTCTGCTCGCGCAGGGGGCTGGTGTAGGGCTGGAGGGTGGTGTTGGCGTCGGGCGCCGAGAAGGGCGTGATGGTGGCCGCGAACAGCGGGATGCCGGCGGCGTGGACCCGCGCAGCGATCTGCCGGTACGCCGACACCAGCCGGTCGTATGTCTCCGTCTGGTTGGCCGGCGTGGTGGCGGCGACGCCAATGTCGTTGACCCCTTCCCAGATCATCGCGTAGCGCACCCCGGCGTGCGCGAGCACGTCGCGGTCGAGCCGCGCCAGCACGTTCGGCCCCAGCCCATCGTACAGGATCCGGTTGCCCCCCGCGGCCTGGTTGATCAGGGAGATGGACTTGAGGAGCGGCGAGTTGCTCGACTGCATGCGCGCGTAGACGAGGTCGGGCCATCTGGCGTGTTCCACCGGTTAGATTTCGCTTCGTTGAGCTCGAAAGAAGACGGAAGAGGGCAAACAGGTAGATATGAGGGGAAGAGAAACAATAAAAAAAATACGAGAAGGCAAAGGACTCTGACATGGAGCACAGCATATCAGAACACAGTACACACCTGTCGTTTTCGTCCGTGTCGCTTCCTCTGCCATCCGTGATGCTGTCTCCTATTATCGCCCACGTGCGGTAATTAGGGGGCGACCACGCCTCGACGGCGGACAAAAAGTACCTATATTTGATCGTCGGATTCAGTAAATGCCTCCACAGTTTTACAGAGATGGAGGAGTCGATGGCCCCTTCCAGAATAGGAGGTGGCGAACTCCGACCTACCAATGCTGCGTGCTGTTCAAAAAGGGCCCAGTCAGATTCGTCGCGCCCACCTGGTTGCCCAGAGTAAACCACGACGTCGCCCGACTGCCCGGGTGACTCGTGATGTATGTCCCGTTCTGGCCCGTGGCGAGGTACATGGTCACGGTGATGGTCGACAGCGGCTGGACCGGGAAGTCCAGGGGATCCGAGACCGCGAGAGCGCCGTCCGGGATGGTGATGGACGGCTCTCCGCCGCTGAAAGTCACCTTCTGGAGCGTCGAGGGTTGGATCGCACTGACCCCCGACGAGCCGTTGAAGGGGAGCGCGACCGTCATGGCCGTGATCGGCAGGTCGGTGAGGCCAAAGGCGTTGGAGATCCGGATCCGGATCTGTGATGCGCCAGTTGACATGTGCAGGGTTTGGCGGATCGTGCTGTTGGAGAAGATCACCGAGGTGGTGTTCTGGCATGCCAATGATTTAGTTTGTTCAATTCTGACTTTTTGAACTGTTGGGTTTCACAGCGGCTCAAGGGGAAAGACGGGTTGCTTACATATGGAGGGGGAGGCAAGTTTGTATATTCGGTCAGCTGTGGCATTGCCGCCAAGGTGTCGATCCAGTGGCCATTTGGAATGCTTGGTGTAGTAACAAGAGCTTGTCGTTTGGGCAATGCATTGCATGTTGCGGTCAGGTACGCGACAAGGAGCAGAAGAACCGAACTGCAAAGATGCTGCATCCCCATGATGGCTGTTACGAGGCAGCAAGGGATAGCACCTCGACCTACAGTTGTTTTTCTTGTTTTTGGTATGCAACCACCAGAACCTCCTGGAGCTTGAGCACCTCTGCTTAATATAGCTCCATCATGTCCCCAGCCCGCTCAGTCAACCGCCGCATGGAAAATCCGGGGTATGATATTGTGTTGGGCGAGTTTAGGCTAAATCTCGTCCACGGCAACGTAGTTGACCTGCCTCGTTTCCACTTGCAGTCCTCGCGTAGGTCTTCGACATGATCTCTCAGGCGGTGCGACCTCGGAGACATGGAGCTATGCTGCGTCGTCATCACCACTTGGAGTGCTCCCATAGGGACTCTTTGGACCTTCCACAATGGGCCTGAGAGGTCCGGTCGGCTCAATGTCGTGGGACGTCGCGAGCAACTTCCAAAGGGCAATGATCTTCATTGAGAGCTTGCAAATAGCCGGCGACATACTCGAGCTGCCGATGTTCGAGCATCTAACTTCATTGGAACAGTCCGATGCCTCCGCATCCAGAGAGACGCTGCCGGGGATTTGAGGGGAAAACAGGGAATAGAAATATTAAGCCTCGAAGGTATCGATTATGTGCGTCAAAAGGTGGAGGACCCGTAAAAAAGATTGTCCGGCATTCCCCGTGGGGTGGTGGGAGCCTCGCTTGGAGCCTTGATTCGCAGCCTTATCCTGGACATAGAACAGCAGCAACAGAGATGACAGCACGGTAGAATAGACCAGTTGAAGATCTTGAACTTAATGAGAAAGTCACCTCTTGACTGAATCCGTCATATATCACTTTGCAAGTATAGACACAAGTAATAGTCCGAATGTCAAGCTTTTGACAGCTATCAATTATTAGGCAGATAAGGGCCATATTAAGCAGTTTGTGTCTTGCTCTCGTTCTCCTCTTTTGTTCATATCCGTGGTTAATATACAACGTCTTAAATCGTACCTGTCACAAATAGCCGCCAACAGCAAACCCTATGACTGCTCGCGTCAGATCACACATCCTCCTTGTGATAGACCTTCTCCTGTTCATAGTCTCCGTGCTCAGTCTTTCCTTCATATTCTTCCTCATGATAAGCTTCCCTTGCAGCAGCTAGTTGGGCTTCCCTCGCACTGGCGTAGCTGAGGCGGCTTCCTCGTCGGAAAGCCGAGGGATCTGCCGATGAGGCTCTTCGAATTTCCTCCTGTTCCTTGATCTTGTATTTGTCAGGTCGCTTGCTTGAGATAACGTCTTTGTCTCTGAACACCAGCAGAGGCGGGTTAGTCCGGTAATAGTCGTCTATATCTTCCAGAGATCGATCTGCCGTTTCGGGATAGAACAAGTACATCAGCGGAACGAATGAAGCGTTGAGAATTGTCCAGATAATATAAAACTTCCACTGAAGGTTTTGGATGCCAATCTATAGTGATGGTGAGCAGTCGTCTTTCACCGCATAGTCAGTGTAATACATACAGGAGTGATTTCTACCACCATGAAATTGAAAATCCAGTTCGTCGCCGTTCCAAGGGCCGCGCCTTTGGTACGCATTGGTAGCGAGTTAATCTCTGTTGGATACACTTGAAGGCACTAGTTAGTATTGCAACTTCAGCCAAGCATTCCTGAGTCGACTTACACCAAGGTACGCCTTGCATTCCAATCCCGAAGAACACATAGTAAAGGAAAAAGAATGCCACCGAGGCCGATGCCACTTCATGTGCGTGTGCATACCCGGGCTTCTCGTTATATCGAATAAGAACAGTGATGATAAGGTAGCAGAAGGATTGGCCGGCCGCGGCGAAAATCATCATGTTTCTTCGGCCCCATCTTTCGACATTCGGAATCCCAATCAACGAAAACAGGAGGTACGAGACACTGTTGCAGGCCGCAAGCAACCTCGCCATCGTCTCGCCCAGCCCAACAGACTTGATCAGCACCGTCGGCAGATAATAAGAGGTAACATTGATGCCAGACAGCTGTTGCATAGCCTGCGTTCCTGCACCGAGGATCAGACGTCGAATAGTCTTGGTTCCAGCTTCGTTGCCAGTTCGCCCACGGAGCAGGTCGACCCACCGTACCGCGTTCTCGCGCTCGTACTGGACCGTGTAGACGATTTCTTTGTGCTGCGCGAGGATGAAGGGATCATCCTCAGACTTATTCTCAAGGTCGGCCAATATTTTGAACGCCTCGTCTTCATAGTCGTGTGCGATAAGCCATCTGAGACAGCGTCAATCGGTGGAGTCGAGCTGAAACGGAGGTGTCTCTTACCTTGGTGATTCTGGCAGCCAGGGCACAGTTGAAAAGAGGATGACGATGAAGAGAAACTGAAAAGCGAGGGGGAGTCGCCAGGAAACCGGGCCCCCGACAAAAGAGAAGCCAAACGTGACCCAGTTCGACAGCGAAAACCCAGCAATGTTCAAGATGAGCTCGATAACGACCAGCTTCCCTCGCCATTTGATTGCCGATGTCTCCGTCTGCCAGACGGGCGCAGTAGCCGTGTTGATTCCATTGCCGATGCCGGCAATGATGCGGCCCACGATCATTTGAGCAGTACTGTAGGAGCAAATCTGGAGAATAGCCCCAGCACTCATGATAGTTGTACCGACCAGGACCGATCTCCGTCGGCCTAGCTTTTCCCCCAGCCAAACAGCGATGATGGCGCCAAAGAAGCAGCCAACATCATAAATCGCAGTCACTGTACCCAAAAGCGATGTCTTCGCGGGGCCGGCCAGGTTATGAACTTGGAGAAAGTCCTGTGTGACCACGACTCCGCCAAAGACACCCTGATCGTAGCCAAACCTTCGAGGAATAACGTGTCAGAAGTAACAGAAAGAAGGAGTTGTGCGTATGGTCTAACTCACAGCGTCATGTCGGTTGCACAAGCAACAGAGATCCAGAAGGTCAGCCATCCTCCCTTGAGGCCAAAGTACGGCTGCTTAGGACTCAGGAAACCCATCTTTCCTTCTCAGTCGACGGGTGGATAATGGAGGCAGAGACTCGTTACAATGTAAACACTTGGGCATCACAAACTCGCACCGCCATGGAGAACGTGTCATATATGAGCTCGTGACGATCACCGTCTTTGTTCTGCGGCCACTCGATACATGCCTGCCCTGCAACGTCATTGCTATAGATGCCCGTTATTGAAGACCTGGAAGCTTTTGAGCAGCAAAAAGTTAAATCTGGCTCTCTTCCAGTAGATGATGATCTGGGGGCAGCGCTATGGCGGGCTTGTAGGATGGGGCTTTTGTGTGCGCTGGGAAAACGCGATGCCATACTACAGATGCCGACGATCTGCTCGCCACTGACGGGTTTCCCATGCCTTAGCGGGTCAAATCAACGGAGACTGCCCGCCAAAGATGTCAGGGGGGGAGACTTGCGGGGTTTCACAGAAATACGCGGAGAGGTGGAATCCGCCGCTGCACGATAGCGTCACAGGGTCGCTTTGGAACATGGCGAGCATTGCCGGCAGCTTCTGTCATTGGCTTTGGAGGGATGTCCAGGTGTAAAGGGTGCCTTTTCCATCAGATTAAGGTTGGCTCACGGTGCTGGTTAGTGAGAGGGAAGATATGGGCATCGATCTTCTCTACTGAAGATCTGGAATCGACTTGCCATGTTCAAATCGAAACGGGCACGCGACATTACACAGGGCAGCAAAGCTTAGCGATTGTCTCACCATGGCTGCCATAGGCGTGGTCGACCGGATTTGCCTGCTGTATTGGACAATGGACTCGTCTCAGGGGAACATGTTGTCATACTCGGGTTAAGTCTAGCCTAGGCTTTGGAGAACACCGTGAAGCTCCCTTTTCTCAGGTGGCAGGATCAGCTAACACTCTGCTGCCGGGTTGCCTTGTTCTTGATCACCGAGCATGTTGTAGTAGCTACATTGTTCTATGCTTAATTCGTGGCCATAAAATTCTTCAGAAACTCCTCCAAAAGCCCCGACCTAGAGGGGATCCAATCCCTCTTTTCCGACTCCTGCGCCGTTTGCCTCTAAGAAAGGGGTCGTACATTTCCGTTGCATTTCAATCGTTTGAGCCCGACCGCTCCATTCGTCCGATCAACCAAATCTTGTAACTCCCAGTCGTTCCATTGCGCTCATCCGGGATCCGTTCTTGAGAATCGTAAGAAAAGAGAAATTTATCTAATCTGGAGGCTTAATTCTCCCCAGTCGAAAGTTGTCGGGGTGAAGAGGGGCAATCAACCACGCCGTGCGCGACCGCCATCGTAAGAGCGACCGTGCATCTCGTAGCCCTCGCTTCTTGGTCGAGGCTTCTCGCCTGGGAGGCTCTGCGATCCCTCGACTCCATTGGTGTATCGCGGGAAGAAGAGGACCACGAGGTAGACGATGAAGACGACAGCAGCGAACACGCTGTAGACGACGACTGAATAGGTGGGGACGTCGTCGCTGCCAATCATTCCTGCAGTCTTGAATCCCAATCCGCCGTTGACGACACCGAGCAGGATCATGGCTCGACCGAGCCAACGGTGGGTTTGGCCGTAAGCGCTCCGGCTGCCGTACTTTCGGAAATGTATATGCTGGAGCAGGCCAAGGGTAGGCTGGAAAACGCCCATCCATGCGACGAGAATGTACCCGATAACCATATGGTAACCATCCAGATTGTCGACTTGTTTGCCCAGTTGGACACCCAGACCCAGGCCGACAATCATCAATATCAAGCTGAGGACTTGCAACGGCGCATGGATATGTCGGACCTTGTTGCTGTAGGGGAGGTAGAGCGTCAACGCCGCCAAGGGGAACATGACCACAAAGACCAAGGGCATAATGACGGCATGGGCGGTTCGGATGGTGTCGTCAGGCCCATCGCTGACCTCTGTTGCACTCGACGAGGACGGGTTGGAGCTCACGATGGGATTGGACACACCACCAGTAGGCGTGACCACGCTGCTCACAGTCGCCGTTCCTGAGTCTGTCGCGGTGGCTGGCGAGCCACTCGTGGATTGAGATCCAGAGCCAGATGAGGCAGATGCGGTCTCTGACGGGGCTGCAGAAGCCGAGGCCGAGGCCGAGGACGACGAATCGCTAGACGCAGCCACAAAGGGGTTCGATGAGCTACCGCCGACACCTTGGGTCAAGTCGAGGTTGAAGCCGCCGGTGGAGTCGTGCTGTTTAATGTTGGCAGACGTGTCTGTCGAGTCAAGAGGGTCTCCTGATTTGTAGGCAAAGATCCAACTGCTCGACGAATCCGTGGGGCTCATGCTCCCTCCGCTCCAGCTCAGACACGTATCGCAGCGAATGTTGGCGACCAACGAGCCGTCCGAGGCAATACCACTTCCTTCTAACAGTGAGACTGAGGCATCTGAGTTAAACTGTGGTTGAACGTGGCCGGTGCCCAGTCTGGGGGACACAGTGACATTGTTGCTGTCGGCGGCATATACAACGAGCATGTTGGCCCCCGCCATGCCAGAGCCCTGGCCAAAGCCAACCCATTGGGTGCCACTGGGGGCACTGATTTGCAGAAATAGTGAGCCGCTCCCGGATGAGGCAGTGTCTGAGGGGACATTGACTGCTAATGCGTAGCTGCTGGAAGAAAACGATGCAAACTGTGCTGCCGAGCCAGCCACTGCACATGGGTCAGTATCAATGCAAGCGTTTGTGATAGGGGAAATGAAAAAGGCGTACCCAAGGCGGCCGTAGCCAAGACGCTTTTCTGCACCATGGTGCTCCAACAAGGGCGATAAGATCAGAAGTCGATAGACGATGTGGTGACAGAGAGCAAACCGAGTCTTGTCGAGTCCTGCTGGGTAGTGTCTTGGGGTCAGGGGAGATATAAGCCTTTTCTCCGTCTGCTCTCGACGCGTTGGTTGCAAATTCCTGGGGACGAAGCACGCGACGGGAGTGAAGAAGGGTTTTAATTAATTTTTTCCCACCTTGGCTCGCGTCCAGGAGTCTCAGCCATGTTCAAACCTTGGGCAGATTGCACGTCAGATAGTGGACGGCTGGATTGCGTGTCAAGTGGCTTGCCAAGGGGCTTCAGGAGAGCCACAGGGCCTGGCTAAAACACCAGCCCCTGTTTGAAAGGATTCTCCATTCGGCCCGCCATGGCAATTACGCGGCGCGGCGCAACAGAGTTATCTTTTCCATACCGAGGAATTGGCTGTCGATAGAGCCAAACGCAGTACTTGCATCACCTCGATGTGGACCTGAGGGCGCACAAACCGACCCCAGAGGTCTGCACGGAGTGACTCCGGAGCGGCAAACGCACAAGGCTGGATGACGGACAATAAATAGAAATCATCCACAGGGGTCGAAGGGCTGGAGGGACGGAGTCGGTCGGGAAAAGGGATCGACGACCCACAGGTCTAACTGTATAAGGCCTTACTCCCAACTTAGTCCGTTCTAGCGCTCCGTTTACCTGACTAGCGCAAGGCTTGGCGTCCGCCTCCTCTACAAAGCAGCTCCATGACAATGGTAATCTGATAAAGACCGATTGGCTGGGGCCGTCATGATATATTTGTATTGGAGAGGAGTATCTGGCAAGCACATGCAAGCATTTACACTGGTCAATCCCGTTCTGGGTCTGAGGAGTGTTGGGTCACACTACTGGCGCGAGAACACAACTTTGCCTTATACCACTCTGTTGGATTCGGGCATTGAGCCTGATCGGCGGACCTACCCCTTCACAGGTACAAGCCTTGCACCGGTGAAAGGTTTCCCGCCGGTCATGTCGTGCAGTACAGAGCAAGAGGCGCAGCAGGTATACATGCGCAATGAGGCCCAGTTCCTATATACAGCGGCTGGGAACGACCATGAGGTCAGGAAGGATTTATGTGTGGCGACTGTCCATCCAGCTCCCCGATTTTCTTCGGGATTGTACGGTCCGCGGCGGCTCTCCAGCCTCGATCCTCACGTTGCCAGCGATCGCATACAGTCATTGCCGGGTGATTGGAAGTCTGCAAACCATCTCACCCTCTGCCTCGATGATGCTATCTAGATACGGGGAGACGTCTATCCTACTCGAATGGGCGATATCAGTGCAGCAATGGTCTGACCTCTTCTGGAACTTTTTGAATTCTTCCCCAACCAATCGCCTTGCCAGAGATCATAGAGACTAATGCAATTCATGCAGCTGGTGTGGCCAACTAAAGAGGTTATATCCCCTCTCTCATCCCGTGTCTGAATGTCAAGTCCATTATTTTTGGCATCAAGGATCAGGTCTTTTGCTTGATTTGTCTGGCATCTGCGTGAAAGTCCTTCCCTTTTCATCAAGGCAAGGTTTGGTCCTTCCTGACCACCATTCCCCTGCCGGCCCTTGCCCGGGCAACAGCAAACAATGCGGCTTGACTATTGGCGTCATTGTTGGCCTTGTGTTGCAGGAGTTGCACTGGATCGACCACGGATGAGTTCTGTGATCCTGACTGCCTCGAAAATCCCCACACCACTCTCTCATTCGCCGCCCGCCCATCCACCCACGAGTCAGTTCTTCGTCTTGACCATGATCTCTTTGATCATTTCATTCCCGAGTCTCACAGCGTCCGGAAATCTCGGGGCAAAGTACTGCTGGATTCTCTCAAATCGGCTCCGATATGCTTCGAATGCGCCGAACGAAACGCATTCAGACCATGCCTACAATCAAGTGAACCAGCGTCAGCCAACAGTTTGATTGATGAGACTCTGCCAGCTTCCCGATCCGATCAAGTGCGGAGGCAACATTTGGAATACAAGTATGCTGAAACGCACGCTGGAGACGCTGGACGACATGCAGATTGACATGTTGGGTCATGCCACATTGGGGAGACTTACTCTTGCCGCGAAAGTGAACTCCAGATCGTCTGAACGAAAAGTGTTATCTTCGATTGCCGTGTTAATGACCTCATCCAATAAAGTCTCGTTGCGAAAGAGATACTCAGTGACGCCCAGCCATATTCGGAAGAGCTAGGGATTGGCACTGTCAGAAATAGCAACAAAACCAGGCCAAGGATCAACTCACAGGTGTGGAACAAATCATATGGTCGTATGGGACGATGCCGAGCTTCCACCAACAATCGACAATGCCCAACAGACTCAGATGGTTGTTCGGCATTCTCTCTTTCGGTCTTCTCGAGAGCGAGAACTTGTCCAGCACATCGTCCCCAAGTAACAGATCCTGGTCAACAGCATCCTTGGAAAAGACTGCCGCACCAGCCGTCTTGATCCGGTGGGCCAGCTCTTCTCGATGGCCACCCAGCATGAGCTTGAAAAGTTCAGTCACTGACTCGGCATACTGTCGAATTTGCTCTTTGGCCGCAGGGTTGAGAATGGCGAGTCCGGCATAGACATGCCACTTGTTGGCATATATACGCAGTGTGATGTTGATCTTGACGTTCTCAATGCCACCGATGTACCGATTGATTTCCCACGGAAACTGCTTGTTCGCTGCCCAAGCAGTTCCCATGCTCAAAAAAGCTGCATGCGTGACAGCCTGCGTGTCCGCTGTAATACGGTCATGCTTTTCGCCAGACAGGAAGACAAATTTTGAATTCAAGCAAGAGAGGATTCGGACACAGAGATCAACACTTTTCTGAGAAGCTCGGTGTTGGATGACGACAAGGGGCTGGCCTGTTGGGTCTACAGCGGGGCCATGCAGGGAATGGCAAGAAACAATCTCGACGTCGGCGGGCAGATACTTGTCAAAGGCAGCCAGCTCGGGGGCTTTGCAGGAGGTCTGCCCGCCGACGATGGCGCCGACTTTGGTGGACGGGCCATATTCAGCAACAATCTTGTCAATGAGCTCGGCCTCCACACTGTATATGATCCAGTCGCTTGCTCGGGAAACAAGATGACCATTAGGCAAGATATTTATTCCTCTCTAATCTTGGTCAATCATGTTCATCAACTCTGCTGACGACACAAACCTCATTCTCGTACTCGTGGTGTAGAGTTTGGAATTTGTCTGGTCGATCGCAAGCGTTGACTCTGCATGACTAACCATCAGTTCTAGTGACTATGATGGACAACAGCAAGTGTTCATATCTGTCGAGACAAGAGGTCAGCCACGAGTTGTGTCATGATTTTGATGCGGATTGGAGCATTAAACAGCATAACCATCAGACAAGGAAAAAGTAAGGTAGCGAGGGTTTTACATCAGTGACAGCCATCGGGATAGGATGCAACATCAGAATGATGAAAGCAATATCACAATGACCATGCTCGAGCCAAATGCACTCAGAGTCATCCTTCGATAATAGGGAAAAAGAGGAAATATATCGACATACCTTAGCAACAGCAATTCAGAGACCGTTCTTCTTTGCGAAAAGCACGCGCTGCAAGTTCATACCTCCATCCAGCTTGACTAAACCTTCTTGCGTACATACGGCCCATGTCGCCCATACCAATGATTCCAACCGCGATGTCCTCCATGACTCACGGTGAAGAGGACAGGGCCAAGCAGGGTGTTTGTGGTCCGCTCTATTTCGAGTCGTGTCTGCTCGATAGAACACTAGAGAATTAGTAGAGATATCAATATAGTCGACTATCGACAGGACGATCATCAATTTGACAGAGGCAGGCGGCGATAAATTTGAGCTGTGGAACAGAAAGTCGCGTTGAAGATGAGTCTCTGAGGAAGTTTTCTCAACTTGCCAAGCCACTAATCTTAAAACTTCGCTCAAGTTTCCTCTTTCGATGCCAAGAGATGATGACAGATTTGAACTAGTGCAAACCTTGCCGGAGGACGCTCCGTCCCCGCTCCCACGCACCAAGCGGTTTCCCCTTCGAAATCACAAAATCATCGAAAATATTTCTTTTCTACCTCTTGCCAGTCCAGTCCTACAGTCAACGACAAAATCCCAAAATGCCTCCCAAGAAGAAGGTCGAGCGCGCCGCCACGGAGAACATCTCTCTGGGCCCTCAGGTTCGAGAAGGTGAGTGAAAGGAGCGACTTTGCACAATGAAGTTTTGTCCTAATTGTTGCGCGTGCAGGTGAACTCGTCTTTGGTGTCGCTCGTATCTTCGCTTCCTTCAACGATACCTTCGTCCATGTCACCGATCTCTCGTAAGTGAAAGACAAAACCCAACAAGAAATAATGCCATAAAGTTGGGAAGGCGCAGATGGTTCAAAAGGCTAACATTCTGGGTGATTCCAGCGGCCGCGAAACCATTTGCCGTGTCACAGGAGGCATGAAAGTCAAGGCCGACCGTGACGAGTCCTCTCCCTACGCTGCCATGTTGGCGGCCCAAGATGTCGCTCAGCGCTGCAAAGAACTCGGTATCACCGCGCTGCACATCAAGATCCGGGCTACTGGTGGAAACGGCACCAAGACCCCAGGTCCTGGTGCTCAATCGGCTCTGCGTGCGTTGGCTCGCTCGGGAATGAGAATTGGGAGAATCGAGGATGTTACGCCTACACCATCCGATAGCACGAGACGCAAGGGTGGTCGCCGTGGTCGTCGTCTCTGAGCGTATTCGTCAGGCGCTGGTGTATGGTATTTGCTTCTACTACATCCAGTACCTTGCCACTATGGGAAAACAGGTCAAACGCTGCTGGATGGGAGGAAAGATAGGATGGACTCAAATACGCGAAGAACGGCTCTTTATGCCTGGTCTTCAAAGCTGCTACTTCTCAGCAGTCAGATGATTGCAACGAGAAAACCGTACGCATGATGAAATTCATCAATCAAACACAAAAACTTGATCAGAACTTTCGAATTTGCGTAGCGTTTCCTCTCGTAGCCACCCCGCTTCATTTCTGACACAACCAAAGTGTCAACTACCTGGTCATGGATTCACACAATTCCTCAACGTTGATCATCCTCTCCCTCCCACCCAAGACTTTTGTCGGCTTGGACCTAGTGTCATTCGATTCCTCGCCCAACTTTCAAGGCATCGCCAAAATCCCTGTGGGCATTCATTTTCTGTATACCGGCACTGACGCCTCTTTATCGATCCGCCACGGACGATGGCTGAACCTGACTTCCACCCACCCGATCCAGGTCTTGAGGTGGAATAGTGACGGAGAGACCCTGCAGCCCGTAGATCAGAATGACCAGACAGCGCGAAATGCGATCGCTGCAATCTCAAACGGGCGCGGACTAGTCGACTACGGCGCGCTGCAGAGTGCAACGTCGGAACTATCTACACGAGAGTCACAGAGCCACGACGCATCATCACTCGCAGCAGCAGCAGCAGCAGCCGCCGCTGACGAGGACCGCGCAGAAAGCACAGATTGGCCCGCCCTGACGGCGCACATCTCGTCTCCGCTTCTCACGCGCATCCTCTCTCCGGACTGGATCGTCTCCTCGATCTCCTCCGCGCCTACCGACACCGAGACCATCCCGGGTCTCTCGCACCTCGAGGCCTCGAATGCGCTCCATCAACTGCCCCTGGACCTACTGCCGGTCAACCTCAAGCAGACCTGGGCGGGCGGAGACATCGGCCGGGCCAGGACCGAGAGAGCACGGGACCGGAGCTGGTATCTAGGCCAGTTGATCGAGCAAGCCGCTCGGCCGCAAGGCGGGGACAAAACGGCTGGGGCGCGTGAGGTTCTCGGTGAACTACAGTTCTGCTTCCTGATGGTCCTCACGCTCGCCAACTACAGCTGCCTCGAGCAGTGGAAGCGGCTGCTCAGTGTCTTCTTCACCTGCCGCACCGCACTGGACGAAGTGGAGGGATATTTCGTGCAAGTGATCAGGGTGCTGCGGCTGCAGATCAAGCACGTCGACGACGTCGAAGGCGGCCTTTTCGAGCTGAGGGACGAGTCCGGGAGTGCTTGGCTGAGGACGTTGTGGGCTCGGTTCAGGAGCGTGGTGGACGACGCGGACAAGGGCGAAAGGGTGTCGCTGAAGAAAGAAGTGGATGCTTTGGAGAAACTGTTCGAAGGAAAGTATGGATGGCAGAGCGAAAGGGACATATTGAGGAGAGGTATGCTGGAGTTGGAAGACGGCGAGCGCGTAGAGGTCACAATGCACGGAGTCGACGAAGATGAAGAGACCGGTGAATATGCGCCTGTCATCGTCGAGACTTGAGTGTCAGAGGGAAACGATAAGAAAGACATTTGAGTCGCCTTCTAGTCGAGTTTTTCCAAACGTAGCAACGTGAGATCTTTTGAACGAGAAATTGATTTCTTGGTTTGCACTTTGGCTGCATACCCCGATCACAAGCCGTTGCGCCCCGATGAGTGACCCGTGGCAGGCGGAATCGAAATCTCATCAGCTTCTCCAGCCGGATGACGCTCCTTTCCTATGTGTGTCGGAACAGGTTCAATGCCTTCCATCTTCGCACCATTCTTCCTCCCTGGCAACTGGCCGCCATGTTCTCTTCACGGTTCCACAAGTAGCACAACCGCAAGCATTCCATGCACGTTCCAAACAACAGCACAGATGCCACCACGACGACCACCGCCAACAAGTCTCTCCCCAAAGCCAGGACCCCATTCAACGATACGACTTTTGGTACCGCGCTCTTGCGCCTGGCCCACCAAACTTCTTGGGCTCACACCGTCTGTTATCGGCCACCAGGAGCGTGCGGTCGTATTGCACCAAGGCCTGCTTCAATTGGTTTTTCGTGTACTCATCGACGAATTTCTGGTAGTAAGCGACGATTGATTTTGCGATGGCCTGGCGGATGGCGTAGATCTGGGAGGTGTGACCACCACCGGTGACACGGACACGGATGTCAACATCGGCGAATTTGTCGAGACCGACAATCAGGAGCGGCTCGTAGACCTGCGAGTAGACAAGAACGATATGAGCCGCTGTGGATTTCTGAATTCTCGTCGATGGTTTCGCATGGACTGGGAAGGGAGTGTAGGGAATCAGAGGCTGAGCCATACCTTGTAGCGCAGGATTTCCGGTTGGACGAGAGAGAGAGGTCGACCGTTGACTTTGATGAGGCCCTTGCCTTTCTGTATATTCCCAAAATGACCCGTCAGTTTTCCGTTTCAGTGTTTGTCCTTCATCGGGATTTTCTGACCTTGCAATGGGCGACCGCTGTAGCGGTCTTCTTCTTGCCGAAGCACTGTACACTCTGAGGGGCCGACATCTTGAGGACTGGCGGCGATTGCACAGAGTTGATACAGCTGGGTAGATTGCTCGGTTGTGAAATGTTCGTTGCAAGTGTCGCTGTTGGTTTGAATTTCGCAGGGAAAGTGCGGGCGTACGCCAAGAATTATTGCACTAGTCCGAATGAGGCGCTAGTGCAATTTTCCAACTCGAAGCTCAATGCGGACTCTTTTCTACAACTTCATATAGTGAAAGACGTTTATCCATCTGCCTCGAATATTCTGAAGGCTCAGTGGATCCATTGCCGGAATTTCGAGACAAGCTCTACGCGACCCTTTCCATTCTCCCATGTCAAGATAGCATTAAGCCCGCCATGTCGCAAACAATAGGCAAGGTGTGTTCTGATGTCTCTTTTGTCCCTCCACAGCATGCCATGGATCTCATCCTAACATCACTGACGTGATACCAGACCCGTCTTGCCTACTCCCGCACATGGCACTACATCGATGTGGGCTCGGATTCTCGTTCCCTTGGTCGGATAGCCTCATCAATCGCAGTCTTCCTGATGGGCAAGCATAAGCCCATTTACGACCCATCGACCGACTGCGGCGACTACGTGGTTGCTTGCGGCTGCCACGACATCCACGTTACCGGCAAGAAACGCCAACAAAAGCAATATTACACTCACAATACGCGCCCGGGTTCGTTAAAACAAATGAGCATGGAGAGGATGATCGAGAAGTGGGGTGGCGGAGAGGTCTTGAAGAAAGCCGTAAGGGGGATGTTACCCAAGAACAGGTTGAGGGATAAGCGACTGGCAAGGTTGAAAGTTTTCGAAGGCACCAGCCACCCGTATAAGGCCAACATCGTGAGGTTCGCAGGGAAGCCGTTCACCGGCGACAAGCCCGGGCCCGTCATGCAAGCCATCGAAGCGACCAAAGAGACGAAAGCGAGTTCTTAAATGGATAATGTGGCTGCATTTTTGAGGTGTTTCTCAGCAAAGGCATGCCAGAGTTTGCAAGGGCGCCAATGTATACGTGTATCATTGTGGGTATATGTACAGACTATTTATTGTTATCCAGCGATACCCCTCGAATGACTCCAACACCAGAACTCCGATGCCGAAAAAGCTCTAGCAAGGGTTGTCTACAGTTTGGAGGACAACGCGGTGTCGTCCCGGGTCACAGTGCACTTGATGAGACCATTGGGGTCTGATTGAGGCGCGTAGACTTCGGCATCCTTGCCGGTGTTCCTCAAGCCGTGATGCCAACTGAGATCGATTTCGAAATAGTGCTTGTTGGGGAGCGAATAGTCGACCGCTTGGACCAATGGCTGAGCAGCCAGGATCTGTTCGCACATCTTGTACATAGTGTTTTGCACGCTAGGGCTCTCCTCGAGCGCGAAGAGGCGGAAAGTGATCTCTCGAGCCTTGGTCCAGGTTTCGTCAAATTTGGCGACATGCTTCTTTACGGCATCCAGGCCAGCGAATGTGGACCACTTCCAGTTAGCATCGACTGATGTGCTGAGAATACGATCCCAGACCTCGGGCAGGGTGGTGAAATCGTCACGGACAAAGTGGTGAAACTCGGAGCCAGTACTCTTGAGCACCAAGAGGTCAGAGATGCCCGACTTGATCTCAATGCCCTTGCCCTCAATAATGTCTGCTTGTACCAGTCTCTTCTCATTCCCATCACGAAAGAAGGAGTGCGGATGAGGCTTTCCGTCAATGGTCATGCGGGTCCATCTGTGTTGGACGATGGTAATGTGAGCAGTGTGAATGTGCTTGTAGGTGTTGACGAAGTGAGTGCCGAGAGTGGATGCGAAGAGTTCTGGAGGGTGAACCGGATTCTGCTTCGCCATGATGTAGGTGGTGTTCTTCATTGAGTCGGTTGCAACGACGACACTGTTGTCAGCTTTGGTGTATCTAGGACCATGTCAGTATGGAAGACTTGGTGGAAGTTGGGGAGCAACCACTTACGAAACATCGATCTCTCCTTCCAGCAAAACGCAGACGGTCATCTCGTAGACGGTGTGCGTCTTGGTAGCTTCGTCCCTCTCGACCTTGTACAGGCGAATGTTGTCTTTGCCATAGCGAGCTGCGGAGAGTTTGGCCATCTTGAGTAGGGATGCTTGAGTCGTCGATGTGGAAGGTCTGGAGGGTTGAGCTGCTACCTGAGCTTGGTTCGCCTGCTGTGAGTTCAATGGTACGTGCTAGGTACGAGGGAAGGAGAAGAAGGGAACACAGTTTCTTTATATCAGTACTTCTACAGGTCTCTTATCGGAGGGGCCGGCGAAGCAGAGTAATATTCCACGACCAGTATCACCAATTGCACGCATGGCCATGAGCAAAGATCTTGTAAAATTGCTGATCATAGATTCATCGAGCACAGGCGATTGGTGTGCTCAGCCAGCAATTTGGTCAGGGATGGGCTGTTGTACGAAGTCGTAGATGACGGAGCTCGCCGAGACGCGCACCCGCAAAATGGCAGCAGGAAATGCTTTATCGGTGGCTAGTATCTGCGTAGTGATGACGACCTCACCTGATAGATCTGCTTGTGAATGTCGATGCTTTGCTTTTCCTGGAGATCCAAAGAAGCCGTCTGTTTTGTGGGAGCGCTACCCGCTAGCCAGGTGGCTGGGCCAATGCAGGACACCGCAGGCACAGATGGTCGTTGAGAAGCCAATATGATGTCAATTTGAAGGTGTGCGACCAGGTGGCTATGGCTGCTGCGTGAACAACGAAGGGGCCAGCATCAGTGGGTTTCAGCGGGCTTGAAGAGGAGAGAATCACTCGCAGAGGGGGAAGGAAGTCGCTGAGACGGTGTTGTTGTATCCAGGTGTCTAGCCTGCATTGTCTTGCGTGAGTACCTTCGTGAGGCTTGGCTGGACGACTCCTCGTACTGGGTCGAGGGGCTCACCCATAATGGCTTAACGGTGATTAACGAGATACTCGCCTGGGCAGCTCGGTAGGTAGGACGGCCCTGCGAGTCCTGATGCGTCCAAGCATTGCGGGGTCAAGCTTTGGGGGGAGAGGCGCTCCCTGATTACAAGGTGCAGGTCTTGGAATTCGATCGCGCTCGACTTAGTGATTGGATCAACTGAAACCAACAACTACTGTACATCCACGACTCGCTTCATGTCAACTGTCGACAAATTGGTTTGATCTTCGCTCTTTTCGTATATCGGATATCAACACGATATTGCCCGTCGCTGACCGACTCACTTCCTCTCCCTCCAGCCGAATTGTATCGCGACCGCGTCCCCATCTCCCGCCCCCCGGGCCATCGAAAACGAACGCTGTGAAATTCATCTAAGAGCGAAAGTCCTATGAACAATCCAAGCAGAACTCCAGCGGCCGATAGATCCCTCCCTCCTTAAATCCAGATTATTGGCTTCTGCGACGCTCCATCATACTGTTCCGGCTGAACCGAACAAGCATCCCTATGGGTGTCTGCTGCGCCGTCCCAAGTCACCCAACCGCCTAGTAGAGGGTTGATACCCTCCATGGCTCGATGGCCTCGTCAGACCAAGCGTCGGGATACTCGGTGACACCTACTCAGGGCCGCTTCAATATCCGCCATGCATCCAGGAAAAGTGATGACCTCTCTACCTCTCAACGACCCTTTATGAAAGATGGCCGCTCCCTGTCCGGCGGAAGCGCTCAGTATGGCCAAAAGGCTTTCATGCCTGCCTTCACTCCTGCCAATCCTCCTGGAAGTTTCAGTACGGATATGAGAAATACTACGCATTCGGGAAGGACTACTCCGCAGACGGAAGTGGCAGGCGTCACCTTTGCCCGCCTGCCACCGCAATACAAGGATGCCGATGTTCTTACTACCTCGGAGCAGCGGCAAGCTGCGGTTCGTGATAAAATTGCAAAGGAGATGAAAATCAAGCTGGGGACCGAGAACATGCTGGAAGCACTGCTGAGCAAGAACAATAAACAGACCAAGGAACAGAGGCAGAAGGTCGAGATGGAGTTGGGGTCTTCCAACAGAAAACTGGCTGAACTGAAGCAAGAACTTGACCAGGAGATCATGCGTTCTCAGACGCCGACCACCCCGCCGAACAACCGGCTGACCAGTTATTTTCGAGGTAGCCCCCTGAAGTCCCCTGCGCTGGGACAAAACCAGGGCCCTGATCTCACCGAGTCGATCGACAGCGAGTCACCTACGGTGGTGCTCACAGAGACCCTTCAACAGCTCGAGGCGGACGGAATGCCCCCGGATTATTACATCGAACGCGCAAATACTCTAGTCGACCTGTTGAAGCGAAACCCTGGTCTGAAGTATGACCTGGCCTGGAAAGTCTTCAGCGAGAGGGTTCAGATGATGTTGCTCAGCGAAAGCTCTGATGTCGTGGCCGCGGGCTACAGACTGACTCGACACGCAATTGCTGATCGGAAATCCCTGCAGACAATCCGGACGCTCCATACGGACGAATTGGTCATCCTATCTCTGGTCAAGAAAGCCAACGCTATGCTGGAACGCGAGCAGGCAATCAAATTTGTGCGTGCATTCTTGGATGTCAAAGACGGTGTCTACGAGATTTCGCGTGCCGTTGTCCGCAGTCTAGTCGCGGTCGCCGAAACATATGACGACCGATTGAGAGATATCTGCTTGGTGACGCTAGCTGAACTCCTGATGAAACACACAGAACTAGTCGTCGCAGCAAATGGCATGAGCACCCTTACCGAGGCCCTTGCGGATGGCTCCTTCCCGGCTCCCGAAGGACTTGTTGCGAGCTTTCTTCACATACTGGACCATCCACAGCTGCGCAAGTACTTACATACAGGCCGAGAATTTGAAGCAATGTTTGCTCCGTTTACGGACCCCCTGCTGTTGAACGGCAACGAGGAGAAATTGAAGACCTGTGCTCAGGCGATTGCGGCAATGCTCAAGACTTGGCCTGGCTTCCTCCTGCTGTCGATGAACGGGGCCTCTCCTCTTCGGTCTCTGATTGATTCGCTGGTCTACCCCATAACGCAATCTCGAGATATTGTACTGGAGCTCTTTTTCGACATCCTCCGCATCAAGCCACCTTCCTGGTCGACATCGTTCCTGGCCGGTAGAAGGTTGACAACCTACGGCAGAGTCAATACCTCGCAAGTGGAGCAACCATCCCAGAGACAACTGGCAGAGTACAATGCAGAGGGGAGATTTGATCTAACATACCACTTCTCGGCGTTCGTGCTGGCGGCACTAGTAAAGGCTGGTCTCATTCCTGCACTGGTGGATCTGATCAAAATCGAGGAGGACCTGGCACTGAAGAGGAAGGCGACTCTTTTGTTGACCGAGGTTTTGAAACTTGCACATCACACTCTACCCGAAACGATCAGTTCAGGTATCCAGGTACTTGGAGATCTTGTGCCCAGCAGCCTCGACTACGGCTCCGAAACAACAGCTATCAACATGGGTATGATCTACCAGATCGAAAGCATCAACCGAGCACTTAATAGAGCTTCTGCCTCCGCACTAGGAAGAATTGAACAGGTCGACGAACTAGCGGTCGGTCCTCAGACTGTTGAAAGAACCAAATACACGGCCATGATGGACGGGGATCAGTTCCGACAGGCCATGGCCGACAGCCAGGTCACCAGTCATTCACAATACATCAAATGGAAATGGGAACTGATCCAAGGCTTGGTCGAAGGGCCGCTGACCAATCCTAAAAGGTTGGAGGAGGCTATCAGGTCTCCCAAATTCATGAAGAGGCTTGTGGGGTTCTTCCGGCCATTCAAATACCGATTTTCTACCATAAGAAACACACGACCCAACCAGCGATACATTCGTACTGGCTGTGCTTTGATGCGGACACTTACTCAAACCTCGTTAGGTGTACAATACCTTGCAGAGAACAAATTGCTGCGGCAGATCGGTGAATGCCTCGCCCAGGTCGATCCGCATAGCGGCATCACTTCGTCCAACCCATTGTTCGAACGGCACAATATGGCGGAGACACTCAGCGGAGGCTATTTTGCCATGCTGGGCGCCCTCAGCCGTTCTGCTGAGGGGATGCGTCTAATGGAACAGTGGCATATGATGGACATTTTCTACCACCTTGTTGAACTCAAAGACCGGGACGACTTGATTCGGGCACTCCTGGGTAATATGGATTACACCTTGGACACCCATCTTCGCGTTATCCTGTCAAAAGCACTGACCTCCGGCGTCAAGGACATCCGACTCTTTGCGACCAAGCTGCTTCGGCGATATGCGGTAGGTCGCGTGCAGTATTCATCAGGACTACAAGATCGCTCAAGTTCGCATTGGGCTCTTCGACTAGTTCTCACGCAATTATACGACCCGGACGTCGAAGTCGGCGAAGTAGCGGTCAAAATTCTCGAAGAGGCGTGTAACCAAAGAAGCCACTTGGAGTACGTTGTCAAATGCAGACCATCTCTAGATCACCTCGGTGAGATCGGCGCTCCGCTCCTATTGCGCTTCCTTTCGACCTCTGTCGGCTACCGATATCTCAGCGGGCTTGACTACATCACGCAGGAAATGGACGACTGGTTCCTAGGGCGCAATGATGCGTATGTGGCTCTGGTGGAAGCATCGATTCTTCGAGCATACATGGATGGCAGTACTGGTAAGGTGCATTTCAATGAAGATGCTACCGTGGATCTGCACGAGGTTGGAATTGCCCCTCCCCATTTCTACCGAGAACTGGCCCGGACGCATGAGGGTTGCAAACTTCTGAAGCAGTCGGGACACTTCTACGAGTTCTCGTCCACGATCCGAGATTTCCACCTTGACGAAGAAGACCCAGAAATCCTGACCAAGGTGAAAGGCTGCATGTGGGCTGTTGGCAATATTGGGTCGATGGACCTCGGTGCACCATTCCTGGAAGAGGCGGATGTGGTTACCACCATCGTGAGGATTGCAGAAGGTGCTCAAGTTCTGTCGATGCGAGGCACCGCGTGTTTTGTTCTAGGCTTGATATCACGTACTCTTCATGGGTTTGAATTGCTTGCTGAAAATGGGTGGGATACGACGGTGGACCCCCGAGGGCGTTCGCTTGGTCTCTGCCTGCCCCGTCATTTGGAGGCCTTGTGCTTGGTAAGTTTTCGTCCGGGATTCTGGGACACGCTGCTAACAATGCAGAAATCGGTCGGATCTGCCACTGTACCGCAATCACCATCACCCGAGAACGATGCCAAGTACAAAGCCGCCACGACGGACGAAAACCCAGTGAGAGCCAAGATACTCAAGTCCGTTGTCGAGATGGGGAACTCTGTCATGTACAAGAAGGCTGCGGCGGACCTGCACGCGCTCAAAACGAGACAACCCAGCCACTTCGGCGACACGGAGATGTTTCGGAAAACGCTGGTCATCTTGGAGAGTCATCATTATCGCCTGCAGGCGCGGCACTACATCCTCAACCTCTTCAACAAGGGTCTGATGCGAAAGATTATTTTTGACGAAGAGATGGGAGACTCCACCGAGTCCGATACGGGATAGTTGTGTCACGTTGACACATGGAGGACCACTGAATACGGACTGATGATTGATTCGGAATGCACGATAGTGATGCTTCGCTTGTAACTTTCCGAAACTCGAGACCTCGGGGAAGCAAAGTCCACAGGGCGGATCTTGTTAAACATATAGGGTCTAGGAGGGCCTGGAACGCATGGAGAAGGGGACATGTGGCGGTAGGACCAGTTCGAAATAGCGTGGCGTATTACGGTTATGTCGCCAACAGTTGTGGGCGGATGTATTGGGTATGGTTTTCGGCAGGATACTTTGTGGAACAGAACGGGAGGCAAGGCATGGCGTTCTTCTGCATTTGGTAGCCGGTTATGCCATGCTTTCAAGTGGGTTATCTCGCGTCGCTGTGCGCATGCTTTCTGGCTAGAGGAAGCTAGCATGGGATCGTTATAGATTATGCGGCACTGGAGAGAAGGAGGAAGAGCACCAATGAGGCATGAGGCTCGATATGGGCCAGAGGTCTCAGAAGTTGAGTCCATGACATGTACATTTTGGAGGTGGAACTATCAAAAGTTGTTGATATCACGTGTCGGAGGTCACGTGAACTGAAAATCACGTGCGAATACAGGGACTTGGTGATGACGATGATCGTGGGGGAGAAAGACTCAAATCACCAATCAGCGAGGGTCAGTAGAAGCCCTTGCTGCTGGTCGGCGTCCACCGGCCGCGCACCTTTCGCTCTGGGCACTTTTCCCACCTGCGCCCACACACATTCCTTCGTCCTCCTCGCGCCACCCCCAGTAGCCGGCACTCATCCATCCAGTCCGCGGTCCGCCGTGGTGTCTCAATGTTGCTGGCCGTTTTCTCGATCCCGACACCAAATCCAGATCTCGATATCCCTTGACATCGCTCACGCATCGCGCGCTACTGTGGCGAACAAAGTCTTACTGCTTGACGAGTTCCCCTCTGACCACCAATCACTCGCCCTGGTTCGTGCCATCAGCAAGATGGGGGCTTTCCTTCGCTTTCACTCGCTCGCCGTTGCTGCTGCCCCAGGCCCATGGTTTCCTGTTCCCACAAGCCTGGCTCTCGCTGAAGCCCTCCTCGATGTTCCCTGGTCTCCTCTTTCGCTGCCGCGCCTGACATGTCCTTTCGGTTCCTGACAACTGTGCGGGTCATCACTTTGGATCTCGACTGGGGATGCATGGCGGTCCTGTCCTACCACATCTCGGGTTGAAATCTGCTCAAGTCAACGACGTCGTTGACTCCTCGACTCGATTGTTGGGTCGAATCTCCTGTTACCTCTGATCATATCGTGCTATCTACGCTGAAACGTCCTGCATTGGGAGAGTCCTATTCAACTTCCTCCATTCCACGATATAAAGCCAGACTCTCACCTATCTGCGCGACTTTTTGGAACCACCTTTCAAACCCAACCCTCAATTCCTTCGCGTAACACTCCTAGCGTTAGTCTATCTACAGACACCAAAACACCAGTTACTAGCCCTCGCAGACAGAGGCGGCTACCTAGACGCCAAACTCTGGATGTTGAGCCAAGAGGCGCAGATGCGACCAGACTCTACATATGGATCATATCTATAGACTGTCTTGACTGGCTCACAAGCATACAGAAGAGCAGGGATACTCAGGACATATTTTGATTCCTTGCGCAGATGAGTGATGGATCACAGTCGGCGACGACACCCCTGGATGGGTTCGACGCACACAGCAATGCCCGGGACATTGTCAAGTTGTTCCAGTGCTCACGGTGCTCCTTACCCCTCCGAGAGCCTATGACCTTGCCATGTGGCAATGCCCTCTGCCGACCATGCCTTCCACCTCTATATAAACGGGAGAACATCACGTATCCTATTGTCGAGGGTCGATCCGAAGGTTTCTTATGTCCGTTCGATGGCTGTGGCTCGGAACATTCAATCGGCGATTGCGGGTTCGATGTGACCTTGAACAAGATCGGACATAGTGTGAAGGCCTTCATATCAAGCTACAACACGAAAACCCCCCAAATTCGGCTTTTGCTGGAAGAAAAGTTGAACAACACCGTCCCTGACGACAGTTCCCCCGAAGTTATCCCTCGCTCGCGTGTGCTTTCAGGGGGTCGAATCGCAGCGACGTTTGTTTTGGCCGATATGGGCGAGCTGAACTACCACTCCGACGTTGCCTATACATCTGTCGATGCTAGCGACCCTGATTCTGTACGAACTGCCGACGTGGCCGTTCTGGAAAATCTGAGGGAAGCGATCCGGGCCGAACTAGAATGTCAGGTCTGCTACCAGATCATGCTGGACCCCTTGACAACCTCCTGCGGTCATACTTTCTGTAGAAGGTGCTTTTGCCGGGCCATGGATCATACCAATCACTGTCCAATGTGTCGTCGCTTACTACCCCTGGTCCACACCCAGCAGATGACACCCAGCAACAAGAGAGTCACGCGTTTGATACTACACCTGTTGCCTGATCTTCTAGTGGCTAGAAAGGCCCTTGCCGCACAGGAAGACATGGTTGATGAAGAGACACAGTTACCGCTCTTTCCTTGTACATTGGTATATCCCCAGATGCCGACATTTTTGCATATTTTCGAACCCCGCTACCGATTAATGGTCCGGCGAGTCCTGGAAAACGGCACACGCAAATTTGGCATGTTGTCATACAAGCCACACAGCGATTACCAGCACGGCGGGTCTCATTGGCAGGAATATGGAACCGTCTTGTTTATTGAACGAGTAGAAATGCTGGCCGACGGTCGGAGCCTTTTGGAGACGAGAGGATTGTACAAATTCCGAGTCGTTGAGACCGGGATGGTTGATGGCTATCTCACTGGTCGAATACAACGCTTTGATGACATCAGTGTACACGAGGAGGAGGTGATAGAGGCCCGGGAGACGAGTATACCTGCCCAACCCGACGACGAGGATAGCCTTGTCCGACTCTACCACTCGTCCACGCAGCAACTTCTGGAATACGGACTGGAGTTTGTTCGCCAAGCTCAAGCGCGATCAGCACGATGGCTGCACCAACGGGTCCTTGCCGCATACGGACAACCACCAGAGGATGCAGCAACATTCCCCTACTGGCTCGCGAGCGTCTTACCAATTGCGGAGACGGAAAAGTATGCCCTGCTACCGGCCTCGAGCGTGAGGGAACGATTGAAAATTACGGCCGGATGGATCCACCGACTTGAGCAAGCACGCTGGTAGGTCCTGCATTTCTTCTCCCCTTTGTGCTTAGCCCGCCTTGCCTGACGTGGTATGCCTGAAGTGAGTACGAAGCGGAGCTAGCCGCCAAAGCGCGAGAGCAACAGGATCGACGTGAACCAGAGCCTGTCGAAGCCATCGCAACTAATCAAACCGCGCGGCTCGAACCTCGCCCAGTGACAGCACGCGAGGCCGAGGTTGTCGAGGCTGAAGCGCATGATTTTGAGAGTTCAGAGACTGAAGCTGGGACAACTGAATCCCGTGAGAGTTGAGGTGGTAGACTTGTTGTGCACGAGTAGTGGCTTCAGGCTGGCAAGAGTGCCTGGGGGGAGCCAATCTCCGGCATTAGCTAACATGCGCTGCTCGGGCACTCTCGCTGACACGCTCGTTTATACCAGAACAAGACTTTGAAAACTAACTTCTTCCAATTTGGACAGGCATCAATCATCCTCCTGTATCGTCTTATGACTAGCTGTTTCTGCAGGCGTTATGACGGTAGCCCTGTTCTTGTGCATACTTTTTGCCCACGGACCACATGTTATGTCTGCATCGATCATGGACGAAGGCGTTCACTTGGTTGGCCATGTGGGTAGCATCTCCAAGGCGTTAATACTTACTGGTTGCATGGTTCTTGTCGGCCTGAGGGTCATGATACCCCTTTTCTTTCTCCAAGATGTGCGCCCTGGGGAGGAATTGCTATAGTTACATGCGCGAGCATAGCGAATGTCACGAAAATAGATGAAGAGAAGAAAAGAGAAGCCCTAGCAAGCGCGATTATATGTGGCAGAGAGTGCTAGAACTAATCGGAGGTTGGATTCATATTACACTATATGAGATCCATTTACAAAGAAACTATCCGGGGACCCTTCTGGAATTCGACCAGGCGTTCGGGAGGCTGAGCCAGCAGACATATCCTGCCTGGCATTGCCATAATGCTTTTGAAGGTGTCTGCTCCCTTCTGCTGACTGGTGGAGGGTGTCCTAGAGCAATGGAACACATTGCTACGGAAGACATTTCAATGTCATTGGAATTATGCTGGAGGCAGAGCCTGAATTAACAGTCCAAACAGTCGAACGACCAGAGCATCAACCGAATCCGACTTCTACCAGTTTGCCAAAGAATCTCAATCCACAGCCTGGAGCTCAAAGATCACAAACGCCAACAGGAGAGCCAGGCCCGTGAGCTGATGAACGGGTAAGTCCTTCGCTGTGGTGCGATCCGCGCTATGCTCTTCCAAAAAGAGGACGAACAAGGGGAAAAGAGGGAAGAAAATGTCTAGCTCTAGGTCAATGCATACATGGCATGATCATTTCAGCAACCACGGACACTTCGGTGTCTCTCCATCTTCTGGTGCATGAATGGTGTCGCGACCGAACAACCGAAGATGAAGAACGACAGCTCAACTACCACCGAACACTGACACCGTTGGCCAGCTCTGTAGACTGGATGTTTGCGACTGAGGACTACAATCCAAGATCTGCCCCGAAAAAAGAAAAGAAAAAGAAAACCGAAAACTCTCCAGTCGCAGTGAATTATCCTGCTTCCAACCGACCCATCTGAGCCTCAAGCTTCTCGATCTGCGTTCTAGTCCAGATTGTGTCACGGTGGGAGACGCCGAGAAGGAGAGTCTGGCCAACCAATGCCTGCTGGTGCAGTTGTCTGGCTTCAACTTTGTCAAATTCCGCCACGACAAAGGCCAGGTCATTGATCGCCCATAGGGTATCAAGATGGTCCATGCCCAGGACTCTTTTCCGGCCCTCAAGGCAAATCCGGTGGTGCTGTGCACTTTCGACAAATCTGCCTTGGTCGCGGTAGCATCGGCCTATATCAGCCGTGGCCCAGAGGACGTGGGGATGGTCGTCACCGAGCAGCTTCTTCTGAATAGCAATAGCCTCTCTGTGGCGTGATATTGCAGTCACAGGGTCTCCCAGTTGCCGATATGCTCGTGCCAGTGTGTTCAAGGTCCATGCCACTTGCAAATCGTCTCCAGACGTCTCCAAGACGGCAAGTGCTCGTAAATGCATCGAGATGGAGTCTGGAGTGCGCTTCAAGTGTCTATACATGCGGCCAAGCTCGTTGACCGTCCAAATTGTTTCTGGATGGGTAGTTCCCAGATGCTTCTCCTGGATCATGAGCGCCTTCTCTTGCGTAGATGCAGCAAGCTCGACTTTCTGCTGTTGGTCGTATATGATTCCTAAGCTGTTCAACAGCCAAACGGTCGACAGCTCGTCCTGCTTGAGAGATTCCTGTTTCCTCCGCAGAGCCTGGGTCATCCAACTCTCACCTTGATCGAGTCTGTTGCTCATGGTATATTCTCGGGAGAGGTCTCTGATGACCATCAGCTTTTCAAAGTACGTTATTTTGGCTCTGCCGGTGCTGTCTGACTCTGAGCCGAAATCTTGCTGCTCTTCGACGTTCTCTACATCCAACAAGATCTGCTCAACATCTCGAATCCAATCCAGGCGATCATCGCGCTCCCGCTGCCCCGCGGATGCCCATTTGCAGAGCTGTTTTTGGAGTTTGACCAGGTGTTGCAAAGGGAAGACTGATGCTTCACCAAATAGTTGCCGCTCGATCCAGCTTAAGCGTCGCCGACGGCATGACAAGTAGCTGTGCATCATCTCATCGAGCTCGGGTTCATATCCGGATCGTACCAGATGGTACGCCCAGAAGGACATCGCGTATTCAGACAAAGGGAATAAGGGGTCGGTTGCGAGGTTGGTCCCCGTCTCGGTAGCCTGGAGGAGGTACCTGAGACATACATTTGCAATGTGAGCGTGGCCATCTGCCTCTTGAAAGGGCAAGCTCGATTCATCGTCGCTTTCTTCCACAGAATGATTTTCAGTCACAGCCAACAGAAATTCCCGAACGGAAATGTGCACAAATCTGAAGATATCCAGGTCTGGGAGGTATTCGACCAGAGGACTGCAAATTTCCAGCATCGCCCCCTTAAACGGTATCTCTTCGACCTTGCCAACAGCCAAGGCTGCTGTTAACTCATTCCAACCGACTGGGCGGGCGGCGCAACACATCCAAGTCAAGAATCTCTTGGTGAGCCTTTGACTTTGGCGGGACCTTGTTTTGAATCTTTCCAAGATGGCATTGTAGGTCAGACTCAAGCCCACCGGGTGGTTGGAGATTATATCCATCGCATCGTAGGTGCTCGTCGCCGACGTCAAAGACTGTAAAAGAAGGCTGGCCCAGAGGAACATGCCATCTGCTCCTTGGGAGAGTTTAGCGAACATTCTGTCATGCAATTCTGCGTCAACAAAGTCGAGCTTGGACAATTGACTTGTGACGAACATGTCAATGTCAGCTCTTGTGTCTCTAGACTTTATTCTCAAGATAGAGTGTGGATGAGAACCAAGTTGCTTGGTTAATCGAGGTAGGTCTCTGCTCAATATCAAGGTGCGAGTAGTCACTGTAGACCTGGTGATGGCGAGGATGTTCCGCAGTACCTCGTCCGGACTCTCGGCCTCGTCTAATCCATCTATCAAGATATAGAGTTCATCAAGGAGGCCACAGAGAGACCCGATGAGGAGGAGAGGTTGGTCCGCCATTGAAAGTCGAGGCCTCGCGCATTTCGTCGACCTGTTGTAAGATTCGAGCACCACCTCTGGAAGGTCTTCAAACTGGGCTATTATTTGTGCGATTAAGGTGGCAAGGATGGAAATGGTGGTCCGGTTCTGCTGAGAGTTTTGGGAACAGTAAAAGAAGGCCACAGGTTTGAGCACATCTGCATTTCCCGCGTTTTGGATGTGCTCGATTATTGAAGTACTTAGGACCGTCTTGCCCGAGCCTGGTGGTCCGACAATCCACAAGATGCGGTTGTCGATGGATTGGCACCACTCTCGGAAGAGCTCGTGATCAAGGAGCCATTGGCCGCACGGCGAGGTGCGACGATTCGATTCTCTGAGGAAGTCATCTTGTGCATCGGCAGGAGATAGCCACCTCGAAATGTTCTGCCGCGCCTGGGGATACCCTTTCCAGACGGCAACGGCTTTAGTGTTGTTAGATAGCGCGATCTCATTTTCTAAAATGACAGTGTGTCGAGAAAGAGCCCTGAGAGTATCACGGAAATCGAGGTCGAACGTTCGCCAGATGTTTCTCCAAAGCAAGCTGAGGCCTACCACCTGTAAGCGTTGAGACCGATTTTCAAGAAAACAGAGCCAACTGACCGCGCTTGGAAAATACCGTCTTTGCTTTGTGCAGAAATACCAGGGTATCATAGTATACCTCTGCCAGTGCGGCCTGGAAACGAAGATCGCCCTTGAGAAGATTCTCGTATTCAGCATAGAGTGAGACTTTATCGCTGATATCTTCGATTGCATGGATCAACCTCTCCAGATACTGGGAATGGGATGAAGCGACCTAAGACTGTGTCAACACCACCCACCGGTGTTCCTTTGCAGAGGATGAACGAACCTCCAGCACTACTCTCACCAGCCCCCACACGAGTGAGAAAGGTACAGGTCGCGCCTGCGTCGCCGAGTCCAGTGCTCGCCCATACCGCTCGAGAAAGACCAGGAACGGTTCAATCCGGGACTGGATCTTGCGGGTGCGACTGGAAGCCGCCTGCTTCCGTTCCAGCCGTTGGACCTCGGAAACGACGTCTTGGAACTGTGTGTATCGAAACTGCTCTTGCTCGTCAACGCGTAGGGTGGCGCGAAAACGTTCAAACGAAATCTGCAGAGGCTGAGGGAGCGGTTCGTGAGGCTGAACTGCTTGGGACCCGTGCACCATCTGCGCCATCGCCAAAGCCATTTCGACGATCCCAAGCTCGCAGATACCTCGACCTTCGTCAGGAGAAGAGCGACACGAATATGGACTGGCATCGCAAAAGGTCCAAACCTTCCCAAAGTGAGGCACGAGCTTCCAGGCGGTTGGTGTCGACTACCGCTTCACTGTTCTGACATGTGTAGATCATTCACGGACTGCTAGTAGCCACCGAGAACTACCGATGAGCAAGCAGCCTGATCCTTCCACACCTTGGTTTTTACTTTTGATAAGGGGCAGTGCAATAGTTTCTCGAGGATAGGAAGCTCATGGGAGAAATTCCTGTCTCGTCGTGCATTGAATCCGTCAAACCGGTGAGCCCAATGTGATGAGTTGGGCGAGCAACTCGCGCCCAAATATTCTATACTATCACCGTTGAAGAAGTTCGCGGTAGAAGCTAACCACCACCCCCTCGTGTGAGGTGGCACTGCAGCTCGGTACTTGACCAGTTATTGCTCCCCAATGAAAAGCGACCACACTCCTCCCGCATGAACACATACTGCGGCCTTAGGCAGCAATCCCGCAGGGGCCGCCGCCTAGGATATGCAGCTTTTGGATCCCATGCGAGTGCTCTGACAGCGCACTGCAACGACTCAAGAGAACCACTACCTTGAAGGAAGCGTGTCAGATTCCGAATGCACGTATCATCCTTAAGCGATGGCTTTGCAAGTAACCGAAATTGAGTCGATTTTCAGCCTCACCACTTTTGCGCCCGCACACCTCTTTCGATGGCGAGCTCAGGGTAGAGGCCGCTGCTAAGCTTCGCAGAGAGATTGCGTCGTCACCAAACACGGGGTCGAGGGATGAGCTGTCCAAATACTCTGTGCTGGTAAATTTCCTTAGCCCGCGCCTGCGCAAGGACCTGAAAAAGACGTGGTCCCGTATGGGCTATGGATGAGCCTCAGCAGAATGGGTTGCTTCGCTGACGTCGCAAGCATCATTTGCACGAGGTCACCCTTCTCTTCCTGGTTCAAGTTTAGAGTATTCATGTTGGTACGTACCCCGGACATATAAATCCATGTCGATATTGTAATATCACGCCTCATTCCTTCGGCATCAATCTCCTCCTCTTTGAATGATAGCTGCTTCGAAAATCATCATCGTACATCTATATACTTCAACTCGGCCACGACTCCATTAAACATGGCGCACGCAATCTCCCCCCAAGATCTGACAGAGAAATTCATTGGTCAATTTACCAGCAAGTTGAAAAGCACTGACTTGGTCACTCTGCTCAATAGCCATCTTCAACAGAAAGATGCGGACTCACACATTCTGCACATCGACCCTTCCGTCCTGGAGTTGCACCTCGAGCTCCTGGCCTACGAGAATGCAATCAAAGTCGCGTGCTCCTTCCCGACAAAGCTTGCAGAGAGACTGGCCCAGCGACCGGGAAATGTTCTAAATACTAGAACTCAAAACTACTCTTCCGTAGCGGGTCACACGACTGATCAATACGCCAACGGCGGCATACCGAAGACAGAGCCTTACTACCCACAGGCTCCGGTTCCTGTTCAGACAGCCAAACCACCCGTCAACGGCAACTCTACGAAGGCAGAGCCTTATTACCCACCGGCTCCGGTTCCTGTTCAGACAGCCAAACCATCCGTCAACAGCAGCTCCACGAAGACCGAGCCAGATCAGACATATTATTTCCCGGTCAAGGAGGCAACAAAGCATTCCGGGAGCGAAGCAGCCAAGAAATCCACACCTAGACAAGACAGCAACAGCCGCAATTCACTCACCCATGAAGCCTCACGGTCAAGTATAACCACAGCAACAAGTACAGGCACAACCAACGGCTCCAAGACCGGCCCCCCGAGCTACTAGCTAGGCAGAATGTGGTAGAGTCTCTGTTGGACACCGGCTGGGACGTGTCGGACGGCCAGATGACTGGCCGCTGTGACACCCAGACCGACCAATCAAGCGACTATCACCGCGAACAACCAGCTACGAATTACGAATACTTACGACTCAGAGGGCAAGAGCAGATGGATTGGAGGAAGGGACCACACAAAGAGCTTCAGATGAAGAGATAGGCTTCGGGACGGAGGACACTACTGGTGCCCTGATTCATTGTGGAGGATTTTGCAAGCGTGACACCGGCTTTTTGCCATCACTACTGTTTTTCCAGTAGATAGTTTCCATACGAGTAGATAGTTTCCTTGTGAGTAGATAGTTTCCATGCGAGTAGATAGTTTCCATGCGAGTAGAAAATTTCATATGGGCATATAGGCCAATTGAATCATGACGATCCCAAATACAGCTCAATCCACACCCTATTCTTTGCACTCACAGAGTTACTATGACTCCTTTCTGATCCTCATCATGAGCAACTTCCCTTTGGCTTGCACCTTTGTTTCAGTGACACCTGACAGTTATGCAACTTTGTAAGGCTTTTACAGATTTTGTGGGAAGTTGCTACATTTGATATAGTTCCAACATTTCCCCTTGCAGCGTCCGATCGTTCCAAAAGTGTCGCACTTTGAGCGATTTCGTCGTGTCCCTGTCATGATTGTCCCGCGAACTTTGTACCCTAGCCTGTCTGATTGTCCAATGCAGCCACAAACAATTCAATCAACTATTCCCACCAATGTGCGAAAAGTCAGCGAGCGAATCTTTTCGGCCTTGCAGTTGGAACAAAGGAAAAACGTAACTGAACTCACATATTTTGTATACTTGGTGTTCCCAGCGGCTGGCTGCAAAATTGCCATCTTCTCGTCTAATCGATCTGGGGAACAATAGACCATCTGCTCCAATCCTGGACTATTTTCAAGCTCCCCAATAAACCCCAAGGCCTGGGGACTGCTTCCAACTCGTGAGATAATGAAGACAACCGAACCGTCTCCGAAATTTGTGCCCGATAAGTTCTGTTTGCATTGTCGAATCTTATCTCGTAGCGTTTCGCGACCCTCACCGTAGGGCTGTGATAGCGATGATCAGTCTCAGATTTGGAACCGTCTATAGCTTCTCGGGCCCCTACAACAAAAGAGCAAGGGAAGGAAAGGGAGAGCGGAAACCACAACTAAGAGCCCCGAGGAGTTTGGAACGGTATTTCTTTCTTACCTCGCCGTCAGTGATGATCACCACAATCAAAGGCGTCTCAAAAGTCCCCCGTTTTACCTTATCAATGATCATAGGCTGTATGATCTTGTCATGTAACTTGATTCCGAGTTGGGTGATTCCTCTCCATTGGACACATGCGACTTTCTGCACGATATCATCTGGCTGTCTCAGGTCGTCAAGCCGCGAATCCCGCCTATAATTGAGAAAGCGGATAGAAATGCCGGTGTCTTCGAATAATGTCGCTATTTCCACGACACGCTTAAGAGTAGCTTGCAATGCTGGTATCCGATTTTCTTCTTTCATTGAACCGCTATCATCTGGGGAAGCACGATTAACCAGAGAAGCAAACCAGATGAGCCTTCCGGAGTAGAGTACAAACTTACCACAAAGGATCACAAAGTTGTACAGAGCGAGTTTAATCGCTCCAAGGGTGGTCTTCGGTGTTAGTTCATATCTGGCTGAGACATCGGCCGCCCTGGCAGCAGCGTTCGCGGCGATGGTCTGCACCCTGGGGTGATCCTTGCCGTAGAACTCTGTGAGTCCAGTATTCTCTATGGTGTTTGACAGGTACTCCTGACTTTTCTGCAGAGAACTGGTCACTTCCGCATATATTTGTTCTGAATTATCGGAAAGACTAGTGAGTGGTTGTTCCTCGATATCGGACTCGGATGTTTCACTGTCTGGGGTGAGCGGTCTTTCCTCAAATTGGGACCCATATCGGCTGCTGAGAGGAGGCTCTTCGCGCGTTCTTGAATGTTTGGTCTCCGAAGAAGATGCTCCATTATTACTTCCCCAAGCCGGCGTTGAAGAACTTATATGGTTAGATGAAGGCTGCCCAAGGCTCCTGTATGTTGTGGGTAACTCCCTTTGGGTCCCCGTTGCATTTGCATCCAGTCCTCTAAGATATGATGTGGCTGGGTCTACGGTAGTGGAGCCGGGCTCTGTCATCTGGGCTGCCTTGTTGCGGTTGCTTTCCGGGTTCCGTTTGTCCAATTCTGAAATGGGACGGAGTTTTGAGTTTTCTGGCGGTGGTATCCTAGAAGTAGAAAGTAGATTGGAAGACTCGACACCTCCGGTTGGTTGAGATGTTGGTGATCTCCCTGAAATGAACGGGGGGTTAGAAGACCTGACACCTCGGGGTGATTGAGTATGTGTTGGTCCCCCAGAAATAAACGGTGAGTTAGATATTTCAACGCCTCGGTGTGGTAGAGTAGGCGGTGGTCTCTCAGGAATGAAAGCTGATTTGGAAAACCCGACACCTCGCTTTGGTTCATTGTCCGAGGGATAGCGACTTCCGTGATCTTGATATGGCTCCTGGCGTTCAGGGACCAAGGTTGAGGCTTGAGATCCTTCGAATGAGGATTTTGTTCCCAAGCCCCAATCGGCGCTTCTGCTATTGAAGTACCCCGGGTCATTCCCTCCAAGGGGTTGTCCATAGGTGGGCTTTGATACTGGACGCCAAGCTATATTTGTCCAGGGAAGAGGATTAGGTATCAGCTGAAGGCATACTCAAGGGATTACGGGAGTTTCGACTTACAATCATCCATCTTTGGTGCATTCCGAATTGCCGGGCTCTGTATCCGTTCCTGGAGCAAACTTGGGAACTTCTTTATCATTTCAATGGCCGATCGTTCGGACAGTGCTCCTATGTGTCCGTCGAGAGAGTCCGGATTGACGTTGTCGATGCTGTCCATAGATCTGTTGACATGGCTCTCTATGAGATTACGCACATCAGGCTCTCCAAGAATAGAAGTTAGGATCTGGGTGTATTTCTCCGCAAGTTGGCTTGCGCGTATGGTCATTTTGGAGAGATCGTGGTTCTACTGCGGGTAATGATCGTACAGTAATGTGATCTTGTCTTTATGTATTTGTAGGTGCCGCGGTGGTGTATCCATCTACTCAGCCTCATGACTAGTTGCATACGTGGGCTCAAGTCAACAAGACACGTCACTTGGCAAATTAGAGAGATGCATGGTGGTGTCGAGGGGTTTCAGGCGGATGGGCAGCAAATGGTCAGTCAACGACCAGTTAGAAGCTGCAGTTTGCGATTGCTCCTCAAAAGTGATGCGGCCAACCAGGTTGCCCAAGGCAATCGAATACGAGCTCCGCATTTCTGCCCCTGATTTGCATGACTGCCGAAGGATAATGAAGTGAGATATTCCCGAAGCACTCGACTTGGTTCTGGTCATACTCCTTTACGCGGCGATCGAGTCTACCAAACATGGCCACCAACAAGAACAGGAACACAGTTAGGGCCCGCAATGTGCCCTTGGGATTTACCGCCGAGAGTGTAAAGAATATCATCTATCTTCGGTTCGAGGCCTCAGAGAAGTCCACGATAACATCCAAAATAACTCTTGCGCCGACATGCACAGACAATGGAGAGACTCAAACAGCAATAATCAAGTTTCGTCCATCCATGCCTAGATTTCTCAGCCGTCTTAGCGAGAAGAGAGAACAGATCGAGGTGGAAGGCACCAGGGACATAGACATCGACCAGGATTTCTTTGGTCTTACTCAACTGTATCCAACCCGCGGGATCAGAATTCCTCTTGAGTAGGTACTAAAAATATTCTCCTTGGACGCATCAAATCGCTGACGGAGGAATCTCCTCAGCATTATTGCGGTCACAGGACTCAACGGCCATGCCTTCGGTTCGTGGACGGGAGGGAATGACAGGATGTGGCTTCGCGATTTTCTCTGTGAGGATGAATATTTGAAAGCTTGTAGGACCATGATTTTCGGGTACAACACTAAATTGAAAGAGAAAGCTGTCCACACCACCAGAGATTACGTCCGAATCTTTCTAGAGGAACTCAGGAAAGCGAGAAAATCCCGCGAGGTGTGTTTCTTTGCGCTCCCGTGTGACATCAATTTGCGCTTTCGTTGGCCGACACAAGATGATGTAGGAGAGAAATCGGCCGATAGTCTTTTTGGGTCACAGCTTCGGAGGGATTCTTATCGCTCATGTGCGTATACATTGATCGCCACTGGGCAGCTGAGTCTGATTTCGAGACTGAAAATATAGGCACTGGTCGCGGCCAGAGAGAAGGATGATGGGTCTTTAGTCAAATCAACTCATGCATTCCTTTTCTTTGGGGTACCACATCGTGGTATCAGCCTTGAAGATGTTGCTAAAATGGTCGACGAAGATTCTCAGCCTCAGAGGGCATTGCTGGTGCGGGAAATTATCCAATCTTCCTCAGGAATTGACCCCATCATGGAGAGCTTTATCAACATGACCATGGGCAAGAAGATCGTTTCATTTTATGAGACACGAATGACCAGGGCAGTTACAAGGGCAAGTTTCCGGGTCGGTCCAGGTATCAGCCAATGCGTGTCTTACATTTCCGCAGGATGAGAACGGCATGTATGGGCGCTCCGGAGAGCATATACAGGTTGTGAAAGAACCCTCTGCCAGATTTTATCTGCCGGCTCAGATCGAAGAAGCAATCCCTGTTGATGGCGATCATTCGACCATGGTCAAATTTACGAGTTCTGCCGACGACACGTACCAATCCGTCCGCAACTATTTGAGGGGTTATCTCAACTCATTCGGATTCACCAATGGTTGGTTGGTCCGTAGGCATTTATGGATCTTTGGTCTAATCTGCAAGCAGGCTCTTCTCTTGCGAGTCAAAATGTCGATCGTCCGTACGATAGTCATCACGCAGTCGCCGAAGGTCTTGTCAGACACTTTGCTGACACACCAGAACCTATAGACCAGGCGTTAAGACTAGCAGCTGATCTAGGTTTGATCGTGGAAGCGCTTTATCTGCTAAGAATGGGAGCCCACCCGAACTTTAGGGACAACAAGCCCCGGTGCGGCCACCCAATGAAGAAGAGCTAGAAGAAAAGAAACTGACATTTTCCGATTCAGACCACTGGGCGCTTTGTCGTCTCATTCGGCCACACTATCTGCCCCTCGATTGAAAATCAAGTCCAATGGAGACATAATGGGACCAGGAGAGACGGCGATTTTTCGAGCAGCCATCCGCAACAACAAGGATGTCGTTGAACTTCTACTCGAGTGGGGGTCAGATCCCAACCTACCAGCTGAGAATGGAAAGACTCCTTTACACGAAGCTTCAAGCCGTGGTCATCTAGCCCTGGTACAGCTGTTGTTGGAGCATAGGGCAGATCCGAACGCACGAGACCCCATGTGGGAAAGCACACCTCTTCACGACGCAGCGAGAGCGGGCACAGCAGCTGTGGCACTGCTTCACCGATATGGTGCCGATCTGAACGCACAATTGAGAATCAACCGGGACACGCCGCTCCATCTCGCCGTCCGCGAAGGCCACGAAGAGGTTGTCTACTTCCTGCTTGAAAATAACGCCAATCCTGTCCCCACGAATAAAAGCGGATGCCGACCCGTCCACGATGCAGCGCGAGCTGGCAACATTGGCTTGGTAGGCTGGCTGTTGGAACGGGATCCCAAAAGAGAGACAGATCCACGCGATAACCGGGGTTGGACGCCTTTGCACGAGGCAGCCTACGGAGGCCACGACGACGTCGTATGGTTGTTACTGAGACGAGGTGCGGATAGGGATGTTGCCCTACGGGATGGGAGACGAGCTGCCGACTTGGCGAAGGAGCGCGGGCATTATGAAACTCAAAAGCTCATACTGGCATCGTTGAGACAAGGTTGACTGGAAAGATCGATTATTCTCGGCACAAAACTGTATAGTCAATAGAATCATGTACAACTACAGATAATCACGATGGCTTTTAGGATTGAATAACACCAACAACTGTGGCAATATACCTCATAGTTGGACTCACACTCATCCTCCGGGCCAACATGGCCAACCCCTGCCTCTATCTATGCCTCCTCCCGGGCTGGTCATTCCAAGAAATCAGGAGACGAATTCTGTACGTGGGGAGAGCTCGACCGCCACTTTCGGAAAAATTGTTTTAGGTATTCAGATAGGATAGCTGGTATCGCATGTGCACGAGCTTCTGCAACTCGGGGATCAGCTAGATGATCTGTGCGAGGGAGGAAAAATGCAGCGGTGGCCGAACTTGGCTCTCATCCTGGCAGAGAACGGATGGACGGAAGATGCTGTGCCTCTGTCGGAAGAGGTGCTGGAGCTGCAGAAGAGGGACCACTTCAGCCTTCCGCTCTTGGCATCATACCACGGCATTCTTGGCCTCAACTGCTCTACCTCTGGTCTACAAACAAGTTTTTCCACGTTTGGAGGAATGGAGTGATGCGCCCAAGCATGTCGGGTCAACATGGCAAGACTATTTCATCAAATACGAGGGTGGTTGTCTTCACACAAACAATGGCCCAGCGCCAGCGCTGCAGGCTTGGAGCTCTAAAAGCAATAAAAGCTACTGGGAATACCCCTGCAAAGTGCTCCTTCATTCCTTTGATTCCCTCGTATTTTCCATCCGAAGCATTGACCTTGCTACCAGCTTTGTCAAAATGCATTCGTCTCGTATCATACTAGTCCTGGTTACCTTGTATACAGCCGTTGCGTCGGCCACGACCCAGCTCGTGCCACTCGACCGCCATCTTTGGGACGGTTGGCGTGTGAACGTCAAGCGCGCCACGGAAGATTGTTGTCCATATTATCCCAATAGCCCGACCAGGACCACTAATTCGTCGTTATTCGACGTTACGCTTGGTCACGATGAGGATTTGATCTGGACTTCACCGAACAGTACGTCGATCAAAGCAATCGTGCGACCCTTTTTACCAACAGAAGTTTAGATACTCAGTTGACCACCGTGCTGTTCAATGTCGTGCCAGCTCCAGGACAGAGAATCATTGACATGGAGAAATTCTCTTCGGCACTTGTCATGGCGGACTGCTCTGAGCATTTCAGTCTCCGGTTCTCGACACAACAGACCTTCAAGGCCGCCAAAGCATCATTTGACTGGGTGAATGGCGGGACAAACCGCACATTCATTCTCGTGGGCGACTCTGCCGTTTGTCAAACCAGCAACAGACGTATTCCGTGGGCAATCAATCATGCTACATTCAACTCGACCCAGAGAATAGTCCACTTCACTGCCGCAAAGAAGCTGTGGGTGGAGGCAGCATCTGCATTCACCATTGATTTCGGCGTCGCCAGTCCGGGTCTCCAGAGGCGGCGAGTAGGCTTCGATAAGGCCGGGGAAGCTCTGTTCGATCTGAGCAGCTCATGGCCGACCACCGTGCTTTGGTTCCTCAATCCCAACCCGTTGATTTCCATCAACGTGGATTGCGAGAATTGCGGGACCAAGGGAACACTCGCCGCCCACGGCCATGTCAAGTGGAGCATCCTTGACGGTTTCGAGATCTTTGAGCTGAGGGCAGAGCCTCGCGGCGTCGAAGCCGATGTGCATCTGAAATTGGATATGTCGGGCAAAGCCGATTCAGCCGTCTCTGACCTGCCCGGGAAAAAGATCAAGTTGGCCGAGATACCTCTGCCCGGAGAGTTCGAGATTCCGGATATCCTCAAGCTTGGTCCGAGCATGGAGGTGGGCTTTGGCTTCGAGCTCGACTCTATCGAGGGCGAGGCGACCATCACCACGGGGGCAACGGCCAGCATACCCGACACGGCACTGGCGAAGGTCGACTTTGCCGTGGACAGCCCAGAAGAGTTTTTGGATAAGAGTGAATTCTATGGCTGGTTCCCCGAGTTCGAGGTGGAGCCACTGGGTATTGGTGCCCAGCTGGGCATGGGTCTGAAGGTGTTCTTTGAATTCAACGTGTCCCTGGGCGTGTCACTCTTCCCCGGTATGCGTGTCCTCATCCAGTGACTGGAATTGTATCCTGCTAACAGATCCTTAGAGTTCGAACTACCCTGGGTCAAGGTTCCTGAAGAGGGCTTCGAGATGATGCTCGTTTTCAAGCATCCAATCTTCTCTTTTGAGGGCAAGGCTGGGCACGGTAGGTCTTCCCACAACGCACACTCATTGAATCGCGAACATAAATCCTTGGAGGCGAAGGTAAACATTAACAGGAAGGATGCTGACTTTGCCTTAGCTGACAACGGCTATTGCCCTCCTGACCCTCGACCCAATGGGGTGAAACTTGATGTAAATGTAGGCTCCGCGATGACTGTCGACGGCGTCATGGAGTTCTGGACGGGCAGGAAAGACCTATTCGACATCGATCTGTGGGAGGACAGCGAAGATCAACAGATTGTGCTCGTCAAGCATTATTGTAAAGCGTTTGGCTCATTCCCTACCTCGACAACGACGTCAAAGAAGACAACCACGACCACTCCTGTAACAACCAAGCGCACATCCACAAGCACACTGAAAATATCGACAACTACATCCAAAGTCGTGACGACTCCACAAACGACAACCACAGCGATACCTACGACGACAACGACGACGTCAAAATCTTCCTCTACGTCCTCCAACCCCTTCCCCCTCCGCTCCCCTGTTCCAGGTGAGATGAACGGCTGGGTTCTCAACGTGCAACAGTATCAATATTGGGAGAACGACCAGTCACTCGAGCGGTCGTCGTATCTGCTGTATGGAGATCAACTCACCCGCAACACGAAGTGTATCACTGTCACAAGTACCAGCGAGATGAGCACTCTGAGCGACCTGAGCACCATCCCCGCCGATGCCGAAATCACCTTTGACACCAGCTCCGGCACGAGCACGAACATCGACTCTTGCTGTATAGCCATGTTCGAAACGTCAAATTGTGATACAGCTCGAAGCTGGAATAAGACATGCCAGGAGGGAGGGGGTGAGTTGGATGTGTCGTTTGGGGTCAAGGCTTGGTTGGTGTACAATTGTGTGGGATTGAATACAGAGGTGTAGCAGTCATGTTGAATTAGGTTCCATAGAGTGGCGCTCGTGGAAACTTCACTCTTCCAAATGCTCAATGTTCCTAATGTTGAAAGAGACAGCGTGCAATGGTATTCGGCTCATTAACACGACGGTGGGAACACCACAAGCACGAGGCTGATGCGGCGCGCATTGATTCGTCACCGCCAGGTCAAACTTGATGTAAGAGCTTTGAACTTCGGACACAGTCTATCCGCTTTTGCCACCCACAAGGCTTGACAGGACGTGGATCTGCTCAGCAGCACCGGGAATAGTTGTGTCAACCTCCACTTTTTGTGAGTACACGAATGTGGGTAGAGTATTGAGGCAAGCCCATACCGCGCATCATAAGAGTTGACGTTAATATTTTGGGGGAGCGTTGATATGTTTGTCAGATTTACGTCTTATCTTAGACGGAGTAGATCGCTTGGAGGAATGCCGGCGAGCGGCCTGCGGGGTTCTGTACGGAGGAAATACTACGGACTACACCCGCTGCCGCCCAAAAATTTCTTGAAGCTGAACGAAACCTCGCGGCAAAGAAGCCGCAACCGAAGTCCATCTGTCCAGAGCCTGAAGAACCTGGCTCCATGGATTCTCGCGCCAGGCGCCCAGACCGATCTATCACCTTCAGCCTCGCTGCCCTCTTTGTGGCAGTCATTTTAGCCACACGATGGTATTCGTCGGCCAGCTCGCAAGTTCCAGCGGCCGTGGAGACAAATGCCGTGGTCATCAATCCTCTGACAGCCGGCTTGAGGGAGCTTCAGAGCGCACTTGGCAGTGGAACAGTGCGGAGTGTTGATCTTGTACAGTTGTACACAGATCAGATCCAGAAATATGACGACTCCTTGAAGGCCATGATCAATTTCAAACCATTGCCGGGTGTCTTCGAGGCCGCGGAGATCCTCGACAAAGAGAGATCTCAAGGGAAAACCAGAGGGCCTTTGCATGGCATCCCAATTGTCATCAAGGGAGGTTTCGTGCCACTCTTCAATGACGCTGGACTAATATTTGCTCGCCAGGACAACATTGACACCCACCCTGACCTTGGCTTTCAGACGACTGCCGGGAGCTACGCGCTCGTGGGTTCCTGGCCGCAGAGGAATGCCAAAATAGTCGACCTGGTATAATTCTGTTTCGGTCATACACAAGGAAAAGCACCTACTGACGGCCTTTAGCTGATTGCAGCTGGAGTCATCATCATCGGCAAGACAAACCTGAGCGTACGTGAGCCTACATAGTGATGTTACCAGTCACTGACTTAAGCTAGGAACTGTCAAACTACAAGTCTGTATGGTCGAAGGTGCTTGTGATACCTAAGACACTAACCTCGGCATAGAGGCACCAATATAACGAGTGGTTACTCTGCTGTCGGTGGCCAAGTCCAGTCTGCATACGTACGCGACAAGGTTGACCCAGCAGATGGCAAAGACAGTCACAGTGTGAGTTTGTTTGCGGAAAGCGATCTAAGTGGCTTTACATGACACCTAATCAGAACCCCTCTGGATCCTCCTCCGGCTCAGCTGTTGCAGTTTCGGCAGGCTACAGTCCTTTCTCCATCGGAACCGAGACTGACGGCTCGCTCATTCTGCCAGCGGGCAGGGCCGCGCTGTACACCATCAAGCCGACAATCGGCCTTGTCCCGCAAGCTGGCATTGTCCCTATTTCGTCCAATTTCGACTCAGCCGGTCCCATGGCTAAAAGTTCCTATGACTTGGCTGTGCTCCTCGATGCAATTGTTGACCCTGACCGAAAGCTACCGCAAAGCTATACTTCTGCATTGACAGAGAGCTGGAGCGACATTTCTGTTGCAACACTGGATCCGGAAGTGTGGAACCTACCGGACAGCTGGTTAAGGCATGTCGAAAATGCTACACAGCAAATGGTCCGCATTCTCCCACGGTGACTCTGAGTATGTGCATAAGCTGATTATGAGACAGAACAGGGAGATCCGCCAGGCGTACGCCAAGATCGAGACATTGGCCAAGTCGTATGCAGGCAATGTACCTTTGACTCGCCACGGCGCCTTGACTCTAAACGGTCAAAATAGTGAGACTGTGGTTGCAGGTAGAGAGTCTGACGTGAACACTATTAGCATCCCAGACTGACAAAAACTCACAGCTGCCGACTTCGTTAAAGATATCAATGCTTATCTCGACACCCGAATCAATTCGACTATTCGAGACTTAAAGGGGCTCATTAAATTCAACGAACAACACGCCGCGCTGGAGCTTTCTCCTTGTAAGACACGCGCACAGGTCCACCTCGACCCTCAATAACATTCTAGCAGACTCTCCGAACCAAGAACGGCTCACACGAGCATATCGGCAATCAATCACCACAGAAGAATACAACGCGCACTTCGGCCACCTCCGACGTGTGGCCAGAGAAGAAGGCATAGATTTTATCCTCGACACGTATAAGGTCGACGTGATCATGGCACCAGCAGACAGTCTGCTGATATCGTACGCGGCGTGCAGTGGTACGTATCATCCGCACTCTGACATGCGCCTAAGCTAAAAGCGTCCAGGATATCCGATTGCCACCCTGCCATTGTCATATCTAGAGTATAATGGCAGGCCGTTTGGGCTTTCGGTAGTTGCCCGTGCCAACCAGGAAGCCATGTTGATCAAAGTACAAAGCGCGTGGGACGCTACCTTTGGACCCCGGAAACCGCCATCAGGCAAGATTGGCACATGATCAAGATTCTGGGTGAACAAAGCTGTATCCCGCCCTTGATATGGCTGACGAAGCATGTGCTCTGTCCAGCCACAATCAGCCAATGCAGGCAGTCTGGTGCATATTTCTTCTGCTGCTGCTGTACCGGAGGCATGCAGACTCGCCGGGGGGTGGTGCATAGAATTAGACAGACTAGACCACTAGATAGACTCTAACTTCTGGTTAACCTTACCTTCCCCAACAGACGGCATCCTTTTTGATAAGGAGTAGCTTTTTCAATGGGTCGAGCTGTAAATTAGATGCTTCTCGAGAGGGTTTTGAGGTTTCAAAGTAGCTAGCCGCCATAATTGAGTTAAATACCGAGATACCCTCCTCGTCCGTACCTTTACTCTAGTCTCGTCAATCTGAGTCGAGCGAAGCAGAACCGGTTCCTCCATCTCAAAGATCAGGCTCCCATACATTCTGTATTTACAAATGATTCCCAAAACCCAAATCCTTTGTGAAAGAGTTCATCATATTGCCAAAGCCCTGTCGGCAGACCCATGTTCTAAATCGACCACCTGTAGCAATGCCGCAAGAGTTGCAGGGCCAAATGTCTTAGAGAGGAGCGAGAAAACAGTACTTAGGCAATAGGCACCAGCTGCACACACAAAGATCCATATTTGAGCAAGGTGAGCTCGGAAATGTATCTGAGATCAGTATCTAATGTGTAGGAATCACTCACTCCACCCTCAAATCGCGAAAGATGATGCTAGAACCATCTTGCAAAGAAGTGAAGAAAACTCCAATAATTGGTCCGGTGAAATCGGGGCCTACCAAGTCCATCGTGTCAAAGGAATCAAAGTTGTAAGTCGCCCCGGCTGTGGTAAATGAGAATGTGTACGAATCCTCTGCGTACTCCAGTTGCAGCTTGATCTCCTCACCTGCGGGACACCCCTTTCGAGTCAGACGAAGAATTTCCTTTGGCTCGTTCACGACTTCAAGGACCATCTCCCTTGTCTGTAGCTCGTGGTAGATGCGAGCATAGCGGAACTCGTCCTTGTATACGGCAAGGCCAGCTTTGCCGACAGCTTCGTGAGGCGGGCTTAGGACGACTACAGAAGTCTGACCCTCAAGCATCCTCTGTCGTTTGCCAACAAATGATACTTGGGCTCGCGCGTCCGAGAGATCGGCCTTGCTGGATGCAAGCTCGATAGTCTTCCTATCGGGGGATATCTTGTGTTTGGTGAGATCCACGTCGCGGATATAGCAAAAGTCCACAAGGGGCTCAGCGCTCAGAGCACTTGGCTTGCCCACTTTGCGTCCATATGCCGCATCAGTATCCATCTTCACAGGTTTCAAAGCTGGCCAGTCACCTTCGGGCCATGTACCTGGAGTAATATACGTTTCGCGTCCCATGATATACCTCTTTTTTGGGTCCTTTCGTACTCCGAGACAGACGCACCACCATTGGTCTTCCTTATCGCAGAACATATCACAGTGCCCGGTGTGTTGGATGTATTCGTCCGTCCCACATGCGGTCAAGATGGGATTGTGGGGATTTGGTTCGTATGGGCCGAAGAGACGTTTGCTTCGGGCAACGGTGATCATATGGTCTTCAAAAGTGCCGCCTTCGGAAATAACCAAGTACCACCACCCGTCTTTGCGATAGATGTGAGGCCCTTCTGGCCAGATGCCACCAGTGCCACTCCATAGTAGCTCCTCGTTGCTGAGTTTGGCACCAGTCTTGACATCGATCTCAAACATCTTGATCGTGGTCATTGGGCCAGGGGCTGCCGAGCCATGCAGATATGCCCTTCCTTCGTCATCCCAAACGAGACTAGTGTCGATTCCGTCGAACTCGAAGAAGACAGGGTCACTCCATTGATGGGAGTAAATGTCCGTCGTCGTTATGATGAAGTTCTGTTTGCTCTCGCCTTCGTTCTCGCCCTTGGCCCGGATTATGTTGGTACAAATGACATAAAATGTCCCGTCGTGATAGCGTATCGTGGGGGCATATAGGCCGCCTGTCGCTGACATGACCTCTCCCCATTCGCCTGGTGGGCTATGGTTGGTGTCGGAGGCTTTGAGGCTAAGCTGCTCGCGACGATTGAATGCATTGGCTGTTGTTGGAAGCATTAGAACTTACACCGCGCAAGAATATCCTCTCAAGGGACTCAACGACGCTTACTTATGTGTCGCCATGAGACCAGATCTCTCGATGCATATATAGGAAGACCTGGAAATATGTGAAAGCTGGAATTCACAAGGTAATATGTGTCGTCGACGAGGACAATGGAAGGGTCCGGCGCGAAGCCTGGGATGATTGGATTCATCATTCGTTTTTCCGACGGTGGCCAACGAAGCCACAAAACACCAGGCAACAAAAGCCTACCAAGTCACATCTAACTCATAGCCATATTCTTCTCCAACAGGTGGGCTTTGTCGTCGTAAATAGCTTGAGCGTAATACGCTATCCGAAACAGAGAATCCCCTGCTAGGCTCTGGGGCATCGTACTTTGTCCTTACAAACCTCTTACTGCAGCCTCGACCACCGGCCTGGATGCCCACTGAAGCATATCTTGGCTGTAGGGCTCGGAGCGCCACAAATTCAGGCTGAATGAGATTGATTGTCCGTTCCTTGTGCTATGTCGGAGTTGTGCCGCTGATCGGAGCTGAAGCGAGACTCCATCTCAGCCTTGCCCCCATGGGGAGAATGGCGTCTCCACATGGAGGTCAACTTGTCGAGACTTCGGTTCAATCGGCTCCTATCTGTTCACCGTCCCAAGTTTCAGGCTAATTACCAGAACAGGCCACGAGATAAGTCATTCATTGACCACACGACACAAGATGGATTGGGCAAGAAGCCGGTGGTCAGCTGGCAGTCGCTTCCCGGTGGCTCCCCGAACCACACTTTAGCTCAACTCGGCCCTGCACTCAGGACACTTGCAGTCTGATACTGGGTACAAATTCCCAAGCTTACTGGCCCTAGTGTTTTATATTTGACTTTGACCTCAATCACAGGCAAATATTGCGAGACAACCTCACCCGGGCGAAGTAGGACCTCGGTTGTCGACTTTGCCTTACGAAATATGCTGGAATGAAGACCAATTCAGGCAGATTGCTCCACCCCGTCCATCATAGGTGTTGCTACTACTTTGTAAGAAGGCTCGATCCCCCTGAGACCTTCATTCAATCGGTCTCTCCAACAGCCTTCCTCTATCCTCACTTGCTTACAGTTACTGTTCTTCAGACTACATCGAGATGGCGAAGAAGGATCCTCAGCTGTTCGTCCCTCCCAAGGGCCACTTTGTTCTTGCAGGCAGAGTCTTCCCTCGAGTCAAGTGGTGGAAGTCCTCGACGATGAGATGGCTCTACTTCTATATCTTTGCCTTGATATGCACCAACACTGCCAATGGCTATGACAACTCGATGATGAACGGTCTCCAGTCGCTTCCGTTATGGCAGACATATTTCAACCATCCAAGAGGGTCTATCTTAGGTCTTTTCAACTGTGTCATGAGTGCAGGCGCACTTGCTGGTCTTTTGTTCATTCCATTCATGCTCGACGGCCTCGGGAGACGAACAACTCTGACCATTGGCGCATCTATCATGCTTGTCGGCGTTGCTCTTCAGTCTGCCGCACAGAGCTTCGGCATGTTCGTCGGTGCGCGATTTGTCCTTGGGTTTGGCGACATCATTGTCAACTGCGCCTCACCACTCTTGATTGCTGAGATTGCCCCAGCACAAGATCGTGCCTTGCTGGTCACCATCCAGGCAGCGAACTATCAATCTGGCGCTTTTATCGCTGCATGGGTCACCTATGGTACACTCAAGATCAACAACAACTGGGCCTGGCGAGCTCCTAGCTTAATTCAAGGCGTGTTCACGATATGGATGTTGGCAGTCGTTTGGTTCATGCCAGAATCACCTCGTTACTATATCAGCAAGGACAAATCCGAAAAAGCTATGCAGGTTCTAGCCAAATACCATGCCGATGGCAACGAACACGACGAAGTGGTTCAGATCGAGTACACCGAAATATCCACGGCACTTGCGCTTGAAAAGCAACAGAAGAAGACTTCCTCTTTCTTGGACTTCTTCAAAACCAAGGGCAACCGCCAGCGGTTCATCATCCTCGTTTCAGTGGGTCTATTCTCACAGTGGTCTGGAAACGGCTTGATCAGCTACTACCTCAACCTTATCCTCGACAACATTGGCATCACGGATCCCAATCACCAACTGCTCATCAATGGCGGGATCACCACCTTTAGCCTGGTCACCAACGTGGGTTTCTCTTTCTTCGTTGACAAGTGGGGTCGCCGACCAATCTATTTGATCTCGATCGTGGGCAGTCTCGTATCTTGGGTCATTTGGACGATCCTGGCCGAGCGATACACTGCGACTAAACTGCTCGCGTATGGCAAAGGAAATCTGGCATTCATCTTTATCTACACTCTCTTCTACAACTTCAAGTACGTTGTCCCCAGCCGATCTTTGCTTCAAGGCCACAACTAACTCATCTTGACAGGTCCGGACTGATTGCCTCTTACACTACCGAAATCCTCCCCTACAATCTGCGTGCCAAGGGCTTCACCATTATGGAGTACGCGCTCTACGGCGCACTCTTTTTCAACCAATATGTCAACCCGATTGCCATGAACGCGCTGGCGTGGAAGTACTATATTGTTTACTGCGTGTTCTTGCTCTTCGAGGTCATCGTCATCTATTTCTTTTACCCCGAGACCAAGTACCTCCCACTCGAAGAGATCACCAAGATCTTCGATGGAGAGGATGTGGCGGCGAAGACGAACGAGAACCTGGCCGGAGAAAAGGTGGTCGACACGGCTCTGCATGTCGAGGAAATCAGTGCTATGAGCAAGGCATAACGATGTAAGGGACGTCTATTAAGGATAGGGGCCTGTGTCGGAGGCCCTCGAGCTCAACTGCCACCCGGGTGATTTGAATCGGCCAGTACCATTGGTAGCTGGAACTCCGGCCTCGTTGATAGAGCTGGGTAGGAAAGGAGATTGAGATATAACCCAGACATCCCTCCTGTCGTACGAGATCTCGCAACGCTTTTGCTTAGGACTGCCGGAAGCCTCATGTTCTTGCCAATCAGCAAGAGTATACCGTGATGACCAGGGGTGTAGGCTTAGCTTCCTTGTGCGTGCCACTAAGAAAGACAACTGTGACCTTTCTTGGGTGGATTTTGGACGTTTACCTCCGAGTCCGGAAAAGCAGTTCGTTTGGATGAGTATTGGGCAGTGTGGCGTATGTTATACCGAATGTCTGTTGGATAAGGTTTAATATGCTCAAGTAAGAGAGGAGGTTGGCGTTCCCGGGCAGTACGCCCCTTTTACCGAAATTGATGGCAACTGGATCTCCAGATCAGGCCGAGCGGATCCTACGACGCAGGAGGAAATATCTGCGACGCTTGCATATTCTAGCGGCTCACCGACTCACCGACTCACCGCGATCTCCACTTCATGCACTATCCCCTGGGGACCCCCAGATTCTCAGCCTCTGCCTGCTCGGATAACATTATCCGCTCCTACGAGATATAAGGAAGGGATTTGCCTTCGAGCTCACTATGAGTGCCACGTAAGGAGCATCTATTTGGAAGGAAGACGTCGATTCACCTATCCCTTTTGTCAGACATCCCTGTCATGGACCTAAAGACTTTTGGGGCACTCCTCTTCGCTGGGCTCAATGTCGTCAGTCCGCTCGCATTCGCAACCAAGGGAGCGGTGCCAATTATACCAAAAGTCGAGGGCCCCATCGTAGGGGGCTCCCACGGCCGCCCATTTAGCAGCTACCTCGGAAACATCAGCAGGATCGGGTATGTCGAAGAGGAGTTCTTCTTCAGTGGCAATGCAACACGCTTCAACTTGGTCGGTGGCAAGGTCCCACTCGACGGCAAGTTCGTCTTGAATTACAATGGCACTGCGGCGTATAGAACCCGTATCCTTGTTCGCCGCCCCTCCAACACCGATGACTTCAATGGCGATGTCATAATTGAATGGGACAATGTCTCCTTCGGCTCTGACCTGGCCATATCGGACCATCCCGGTGTGTATGAGGCTGGATATGTATTTGCCGCCGTGACTTGTCAAAAGGTCGGCATCGAGGGCACGCCAGGTATCTCTAATCCCCTCGGGCTTCATCAATGGGACCCCGAGCGATATTCAAGACTGTCCATCCCTGACGATGGCTTGTCATACGACATCTACACCCAGGCCGCAAATGCTGTGCGCCACAACGCCGGCGGTGTGCTAGGAAGCCTTAAAGCGCAACATATCTTCGCCGTCGGCGAATCGCAATCCGGAACACGGCTCATTGCCTATGCTGATGGTCCCCAAATACTCAACAGGTCTTTCGACGGCATTCTGCCAGTGATTGGATTTGGCCAGGCTGCCGACTTTCTGAACATCTCAGCAACTCTGCGTCCACTGCCCGCTCCCGCGCGCGCCTTCCCAGCTCGGATTCGGGATGACTTGGACGTGCCTGTCTTTGAAGTCAATACCGAGACTGAAGCCCTCAACGTGACCGACGAGAACTCATGGCAACCAGACACGGGCAAGTATCGATATTGGGAGACTGCCGGCGCTGGGCACATCAACACCGCCGTCCTCAACGAGATCAACGCCATCGCTCAGCGTGACGGCCTACCCCTGGTCAACTTCGGTAATACCTCCCTGACAAGCATCGACTGGAGAACAACCTTGGACGCCGCGTACCGCCACATGTCCACGTGGGTGCGCAACGGTACCGCGCCCCCGAGTTTTCCCATCATGGAGCGTGGACACAACGCCAACGGCTCTTACCTTGTGCGCGATCAGAACGGCAATGCCATCGGCGGAGTCCGCTTGCCGCCGATCACTGTTCCTGTCGCTAGCTATTCGGGTCTTGGGGGGGCCGTTGGGACGGGGTATTTAAAGCCCCTTCCTGGCGCAGAGCTCGATTCTCTCTATCCAACCCACGATGACTATGTCGCCAAAATCAAGGCTGCGGCGTCAGCCGCTCTGGCTCGGGGTATTTGCCTCGACTATCAGGCTCAAGAGTATGTCTCGGATGCTGAAGTGGCCAACGTACCGCCAAGCTGAGTGCTGGGGCATCCTGGAATCGCTGTGGTAATTGAAGGAGAACAAAAAGTACATGTTTTGAGGGTTAAAAGATAGTGAGGAGAAAATGCGGGGAAGGCTCAATGCCAAGATAGGCTAGCGATTGACTAAACCGAATTAGGATAAGCTGAACGTGATTCGGGAGTGTTGATATCGCTTGTATCCGCCAGTGCCTGGCGGACTTACGCGAAACGTCCTGGGCCGGTGATAGCCACTTAGCCGCTTGAGCACTACCAGAAACTGTGCAGCCGGGCACTGATTCTGGTGAATAGCCATGATCACCATCACTCGTCGATGTATCCGCCATTGTTCGCACTTTGCCCAGCAGTCCTCATCCCCAAAAGACCAATCAGAGGTGCGGCGTTCGTAAAAATGCTCTCCCCGCTAGGAGAAACCCGCAAGATCCTATCTCGCAAGCGTCTAGCTTGAGACCCAGACAAGGATGAACAGGTGAATCTGGGGCACTTGATTTCCTCAAGTACTACTAGACATGGCTTTAGCATCCTATCGCGAGATTCCGGCCGTCGACACGTTTTCGACTTGCTCTGTTCGTTATCGAGATCAGTCGTGTCACCATGCCGCCGCGGACTCGAGTGCGCGCCTCGTTTGCATGCGCCAGATGCTACAGAGGCAAGAAGCGGGTACGTCTTGAATATTTCTGTTTTCGGATGAATACGGATGGATGCGTTAACCAAGCTTGACAAGTGTGATAACATACTGCCAACATGCACCTCATGCAAACGCGCCGGGGTGGAGTGCATGAGTATCGATCGGGATACCAAAGGCGAGGTACCGCGAAGGTAAGATACTCGCAAGCGACCCTTTCTTATGGGCTCCCTGGTCCTAGTTCTGATGCTGCAGCAGCGTTGTCAAGTTTCTCGAGGAGACAATTGCAGCATTCGAACTTCAACTTGGACAGGCCGATAAACCAGGCGATAGCTCGATATGTGTCCTTAGAAAGTGTCGAAACTATCAAACGCCACGGACGTGGTGTACTCCAGATTCCACCAAGGTCGCGGAGTCGGGGTTCGACGTGATACCACCGCTGCATGTGGATGCATCACCGATCAGCGTGAATGTGGCCAAAGTCGCCACCGAGTATGCCAGCAGGGCGGTGGTCGACAATTTCGATCGTATCCCGTATCGCCAAATACTGACAAGTTGCGCGGAATTGCCTCTGTCGTTGTCACAGAGCGTGAGCGCTGAGATCTGTCGAGGGGACACGCAGCGCAGTGGTCTGCGAGACATCCCGAAAAGCATAGCCAAAGTGCTGTTTGACAAGTATGTCGATAAAATTCTGCCTCAATATCCCTACTTTCTCGAGGGTGATCTCCGCTGGCAGTTCGCTCTGGTCTACGATGAGTCGGCTGCTGCAGTACCACATGAGGCATACTTTGTGGTTGCCATGGTCCTCGCCATAGTGACTCTCACCTGCAAGACACCCAATTTTTCCGATGTTCTGTCCGTGGCCGAACCGTTGCACCAAGACGCCCTCAGACACGACGAGTTTCTGAAGTATGCAACGTTGAGATCGATGCAATGCATCTTACTCCTGCAACAATTTGCCGCCCTGCTCCCATATACAGGCAACCTCTGGCACCTTGCGGGAGAAGCCATGCGAATTGCTATTGAGCTTGGGTTGCATAAAGAGCCTTGGGATGATCTCAGTCTCGACCTGGTCTCGGTGGACCTTCGCAGACGCATTTTTTGGGCGGTAAAAGGCACCCATTGACCCCAATTCGAGGCTGGCTGGCTGACTAGACGTACCAGACATATGCAATTGAGAGATCGCTCACCGTCACATCGCATCGTCCTTTCACCTTGATGGACGAACACATCAATACTCAATATCCTTCCGAGTACGAGGACTGTTGTATTCGCCGGGACCATATTGACACCAGTGGACGGCGCATCAAGTTCCAATTTCTCAACGTGGTGCGCTTCCGGCAAATCCAGTCCGAAATTTGCTCTGTTCAATACTTCAACCGCCCGCTCGGCGACCTCACCTACGATCAGTGGCAGACAGAAGTAGAAGGCCGGATTGAACAGCTACATCAAGATATTCTGTCCATGATTGAGACGGCCCCAGAGTGGCTGTTACCGTGTGTCTGGAACAATCGCGTTATGCTCCATCGCCCATGTTGTCGCAACCCCAATCCATCGAAACAGTCACTTCGAGCATGCTTCCATGCGGCCTTCCACATGGCCAAAGGATGTTGGAGCACCGCTCAAACGTCATATCTCACCTTTACCTTCCATATTGTCCACAATGCCTTCGAAGCTGGGACCACGATGCTGTATATTCTCAAAGAGAAGCCGACCATTGCCCGGGCATTGTTCCCAAATCAGGAAATCGTCAGCAATCTCACTCACTTGTCTGCAGTGTTTGTACGTGTCCATCTTGCTCGAAGAAAGCATTCAGCTGACCACAGGACTTGCCAGACTCTTCTATCAGAGCGCTGGGCGGCCGCAGCATATGCTGGAGATCTCTTCGACAACCTGAAGAGAACCGTGCTGAAGACCTTTCTACGTCCTGGCCAGATAGTACTCACCGCTGATGACTCCGCGAACCTCAAAGAGCTGGACGATATTGTCCTTCACAAAGTCATTGAAGACCTCTACTCTATGGGACAACAGCGCCCACGCCCGACCCCAGCAGAGGTTGCGGACTCAAACACGTATTCTTTCACTATGTGCCACGAGATTTTCCCGGCGGAAGAAGATCGTTTGCAAGAGCTCTACAATTTTGACATAGACATCGAATCCAGCTTTTCCTATCCATTTCCAGATGCAAGCTTAGACGACATCAATGGCGATCAGAGCGCCGTCTGCGCCGAAATTCTTCCCATAGACCTGTCCCGCCACCACGACTATCCTGCCACGGAGTTTATTTGGAACGACGCTCTGTATGCACAGATACAGCAGGCCATAGACCTCTTGCCATCGTGCAACAGCTGCCGACGCCGACGAATTAAATGCGACCGGCAACTTCCTGCCTGTCGTTACTGTTCAAAGTCAGATAGCGCTTGCCTTTATTATGACTATGTGTTATCGGAGGAGATTCCTCGACAGTAAGTTTCAACTCTTCTCAACCCATGCTAGGTATGGACGAGAAAATAAACATTCAGAGACGGCCTCATTCACAGGAATGCTTCTGTCATATCTATGATCCATGTATACTGTGAAGGGGTGGCTTCTGACTGATGATCTCTAGGTATATCTCTGCACTGCGGTCGCGACTACAAGAGTTGATCCAGACACAACGACAACGAGCACATGAACCCAGTTCACTGGAGCAACTTACCAGCCTATTGTCTGGTGAGTGTGAGCCTGTCGCTATTTCCGGTCCTGGAACAGGACTCATTACTTCGCCTCAACTCTCGAACCACCTTGTCGTGGGCGACATCGTAAACGCCGAGAAGTTGGATGCCACTTTGACCTTCTACGGCCACACAAGTGTCTTTGTGCAAATGGGGCAAATGAGCCACCAAGCTCTACACCTTGCCGCATTTTCTACACCGGGACATGGCCAGAGTTGGAGCTCTCGCACATCTCTCCTTGCAGGTATTCCTCCTCTAGACACTGACCTCCCGCCTCCATCCGTTGCCACCACGCTGATGACCCTGTTTGGGCATTCGATCAATATTTTTTATCCAATCTGTCGCCAAGAAATGTTGGATGAGCTCTACGTGGCTGCATCGGATGGCGACTCCACTGCCTCTGTCACCCTCTCCCTGATCCTCGCAATTTCTACCCATATTATCGGCAAAGCTGACCGTCGGATGGCGGCGTGGTCCTCGACATACTTCTTGAAAGCCATGCGCGAATGGCAGTGGTCGAACGAGACATGCAGATCTAAAACTCTTCGCATAGCAATTCTGACCTGCATATACATTCTATTAAACCCGGCCGCGGGTGATGTGTGGCGCGTTCTCGGACTTGTGTCGCGCTTATGCCTTGACCTGGCCAACATCAAGGTTGAACGACAGTCACAGGAAGAGAGAGAAGAAAATGCTCTCTTGCACAGAACTGCCTACTGCCTTGAATGGTACGTCCAATAATATACAACCTTTTCGGAGCGCGCCGCGCCGCGTACTGACTTATATATCATCCAGCGAGATATCAATTGCATTCGGGCGGCCAACCCAACTACCTGACCGGCATAATGTGGGTGTCTAGCATCTATGCTCCCTTTCCGGCGTGCAGCTGACTTCTCGTAACCAGTTTGTCAAATACATCCAAGCTAATACTGCGTCCGAGAAAGTATCTTCGCATATCTACAAACTGAATCGCTTGAAAGCCGCACTGCTCAACAAGACACTTAGTGATAGTGGCACACAAATGACTTCGGAGAACGCGGAGAGCTGGAGGCAATACAGTCAAGACCAACTGAAAAAGTGGATGGATTGTTGGATGGCAGATTTGAACATGACGGAAATAGCCAACGCCGAAGCGACTGCGCAGATGCCGCCCGTCGTCAATTCTTGGGGCAAGCTGTTATATCACGGTGGCTTGTTGCTCATGGAAAGGAGCCATCCATGGACAGGTACTCTCCAGCATGGGTGTAACACTGCCCCCGGTTTCATCGAAGCCTGCACAGACATCCTTGCGCCTCAGACCGACTGGATACGTCGACTCGTTCTGGGTGGCCAGGCGCAATGGGACACTGAGCCCGCGTTCAGCTACTTCCCCATCACATGGCCGACTGTGCACTCCTTGCTGTCCGCAGGGTTGACCCTGGCGATTTCAACGCAAGCCAGTCGAGACCCAGGGGATGGCCATGAAAGCCTGCTAAGGCAATGCACCAAACTTTTGGCGACGCTCGAAACTGATCAAGACACTCTGTCCTATGGCTTTTCGAGACATTTAGAAGCTATGATGGAACGAAAAGGATGACCGGGCAGAAGTGCGAGGAGGTCTGTCAATCACACGATTAGACCTGAGCCATGTTATGATGGGGAAAGAGATACTTGAAGCTGGCCTATGGTATTTGCGAGGTTCTAGAAGCCCGTCAAGTTACATAGTCCTCAGTTCTTGTGGCCCATTGGCACCATGCTAAGTCAGAGTACCAACATGGTTCTTTCTCGTCCTCCGTTTCGATCTCCATCTCCTCGCAGTCACACTACGATCCTACCCACCACCGTGTATCTACTGCTCCTCCGGGAACACGGGCACACCTTTCCGTACGACGTATTTCTTGGGTAGAAACACTTGTGCCTGTTTGGCATTGGGATGCTGGTACCTTGCAATCCGAAGACGTGCATTCGAGTGCTGGCATCCCTCAACGTCAGTGTCAATGATTCATCTGCCTTTGTAGGAGCCTTACATCATAAGTGGTCATTCCCTCGTATTTGGGGGGATTCTCTTCCGAGGTGCAACTGGGCAAAACCTCGATGAGCTCGTTGGCATTGGCGCCGAAGAAGAACGGGATCGAATAGCGATCCGTCTCGCCGCGGTTGATGACACGGTGGACCGTCGACAAGAAGATGTCGTTGGTCATCCGCATCATCATATCGGAAAGATTGACCACGAAGCAGCCGAACTGCGGGTAGAGCTTGATCCACTCGCCGTCTGCATTCAGGACCTCAAGCGCCGGGTGCTTGTTGATGGTCTGGACGATGATGGTGAAGACTAAGTAGCGTCAACATTAATTAATTATGGCAGGAATGACATTTCCCCCCAAGAAACCAAGAAGGCGAGAGGGAATGAGTGGGCCACGAACATTCGATATCGGTATGGGCACCAAGGCCAATCTCTTGGTCGTCCGACCCCGTCATGGGAGGATAGTGTAAAGTGCGCACGCCGGCCAGCGGGTGAGTGACCATCTTATCAAAGTGGTCTTCGGGCAGGTTCAAAGCCAGGGCGAATATGCGAATAAAGCGTCTGGCCAAAGCAAGCAGTGACTGCTGATACTTGACCAACGCCTCGCGATATCCCGGGACGACGGACGGTTCTGGCCATTGAGAGACTCTCCTGATGATAGCAGGCATGTCCTTGCCCCCGGACGGATCGTCGTCTGGGTCGTAGGCGAAGGAAAACGACTCCTTGCAATCTGTAGGACGCGATTAGCGACTGTTTGGCCCGAGGTTCGCCTCCACCTTCTTTTCTGAACTGGACGGCGTGTTTACTGACCTCCGCGCTTGAGCCCGCCGACATTGGTCTCGTAGAGAGGCTCGTAGCCCAGAAAGTGAGGGTTTTGATGTTGCGTCAACTTCATCTTCGCGTCCAGAGGCAGGGCGAAGAACTCCTTGACGTGATCAAACGCCGCGTCGATCGCCTCTTGAGGCACGCCGTGGTTCTTGATCTGCATGAACCCGACCTTGGTCGCGGCATCACGAACCTCGACTGCCAGCTTCTCTCGCTCGGCCAGGTCCTCGCTGTACATGCGGGACACGTCCAGAACCGGGATTTCCTTGAAGCTCTTCTCACCACTGGTGGCGGGCTTCACGGTCCGCGTGATCCCTTGTTGCAGTCGAATTATGTTAGGTCCAGGCTGCTGGAGGGTCGTCGTCGAGGAAGCGGATCCGTCCATGTTTGTGAGTGGCCTTGAGCTCGTGCTGGGAGACTACTGCAACTTGAAACGTGGTAACCGACGCAGGTGATGTGGTTACAGAAGATGAAGTCTAAGGCCATCATGACACTTAAATACTTCCCGATCTGGCCGTGGTCGGGGAGTAACGTACTGTAAGCAGTAACCGGTCTCGCTCTGTGGACTTGGATGCCAACTGTGCTCCTATCGGAAATATGTGTCCCTGGGGTTAATACTGCAAGGATCTGCTGAAGGCCGCCCGCCGTGTAAACCCGCCCAGGGATATCTCGCGTTCCTCCGATAGAACGCCTGCTCCGGACCAAGTCAGGGAGGGGGTGGAGGGGCTAGAGGGGTAGGAGAATTCCAAACTCATGTACTACAGGACATTGGCAGTGCGGCAACGGCGGCGATCAGAGAGTCAGCGTCGACCACTTTAATACACATTCCCACTTCATCCATGGTTTGAGGCCGTATAAATAGCTTCTGCCAATCTTTGGGAGGACCAAGACGTCAATCGGCGGACGCCGACAGTGATAGAGGATCGACATAGCCTAGAGACCACCCTCCTTCAGGTAGAAAGAAGCAGATTTAGCCGCATTATAGACCCTTGGGCCAGTTCCCTGCCCAATACTGACTACATCACACTCTTCCAGAAGAGATTCAAGTACCGTATCTAATGCCAGTGTACCGAGGTAGATGGCCGTCGTCTAAGAGCCGCAGCAGGTTTTATGCTCTCAGTATCGAAGACACAGAAGGTAGACAGGGCTGACTTGGTTAGACTTGCAGTACATGCGTCCGCCTTTCCCATCCACGGACCACGAGAGCTTCAGAATGCGGATAAACGACTATAATACGAGAACCACACACGCAACAATAGACAACCTCTCACTGCCCGACTAATTTCCTACGTATGCCCTGAGTCTCTCTCCAGCATCCCCTCTTTGCCATATGTATGAAGAGCACACGATTTCGGCCTCTGCCTACAGTAGCACGTGCGCCTGAACATCATGCCTTTGTAACTTCGTGAATGGACTCGGAGGGAGGAGTGCTTGTGTCATGTCCCGCCTTTTCGGCCACATCCAAAGGTACAATGACCGCTTCCTCCTTGAAGTAGTTTGTTTCTGTTATGTGGAAGGCAGCCAAGTAGTATAAACAAGCAAAGGCAGCCCCGAAAAGAGTGAACCACACCACGATTTGCTTCCAGTATGTGGTTTTCGCAGAATCGATGCCAAATGCCACCGTGATACCGGCCGCCTGCAGACATGGAATCAGAGACGAGTATCTACCAAGCTTGATGGGGTCGTTGGAGAGTGCACCCATGAACCTATCGATATCGTTAACGCTGCTCTCTCACTACAGCCCGCTCCGTCTCAACACTTACCACAGTCGGAGTTGGAAGAACATCCCATAACTGATCCCCCACACGATATAAAGGACGCAGCGGGAGGCATATCTGCTCTCGCTCCAGTCAATCGAAGGACCCGCCAGCGAGCGGTCTCTGTAATCCGGCCCAGCGGTGAGGATGATAGCGCCGATCAAACCGCCAAGAACAAAAATCAAGACGAATGTCGTTAGAATAAAGGCGCGAGTTCGACGTCCAAATCGGCGTGAGTCCGCTATCTTGTATTGCACCCACCCAGCTGGGATTTGCACTAACCAGTACAGGACATTGTTGAGGGTCCTTGTCCGAAGCGTGAAAGAGTAGCCGTTGATGGACGTGTATGGGGCGAGATATGACTCGCAGACAAACAGTGGAAGAAGCATGAGGATGATCTCTCTTGTCCTGATAGCGTCCCAAAGCGCCTTGAACTCCTCTCTCAAGGTTGGGCGTTTGAAGATGGCAAGAGCTGTGCCGTCATTTCGTCGGAGGGTTTCGGGTCTTGCCATGAACAGGGCTGCCACTGTCGCAAGGCACATGATGATCACGTAGGCTAGGTACAGTTGCCAGGCGACGCTGGTCTCGGTGCGGTGAATATTGATCGCCAGCGCGATCAGAGACCCGATCGTGGCGCCGGATTTGATAATCTGTCCAACTAATGAGCCCAGGAGAAAGAGACCACAGCTCCCCCCAGCATAGCACTTACCGCCCAGTTGATCCAAATGAAGAGACCCTTGTTCTGTTCAGTGGGATAAGCGGTAGCTACCCAGTTCTGCACAGCCCAGAGTCCGCCCCCGGTGCCGCCAGCAAGGGCACCCATCAACGGCGGCACCCATTCTTTACCGGTCTTGTCGTAGATCCAGAAACCGGACAAGTACACGGGAAATCCAGACGCCCCGAAGCACAGAACCTTGGCCGGTCCGAAGCGGTTGAGCAGCGCACCACCAACGAGAGAGGCGAACACCCATAGCGTGTCATTCACGGCATTCGTGGTCGATGCCACCGTCTGGGAGCTGGGTTTACCACCACCAGCACCTACAGTACACACGGTCAGTGATACACATAGTAAAGGCTAAGGCCCCTGTCGCACGCACCAAGGCCGTTGATGGCGACATACAGCCCCGCAGTGCAGGCACAGATGCTTGAGGTAAAGGCGGCTTGGACCAAAGGGTTGTTCCATCGCCAGGGTGACAACCGATGCACCTCGTTCGAAGCGGACATGGCGTACTGATGATAGTGGCTGTATGGCACCTCCCAGTGTCTAGAGTATAGCCTCCTGGTTTTAGTTGTCGTTGTTGCATCGCAATGTACAAACCTCGAGACTTTCTTTCTGGCTAGGACGACTGCTCTTCTTAAAAGTTCCTGTTCCCTGTCCGTCTAACTGGCTTATCTCGACTCTCGATCGTGGTGCTGTCGCTTGGCCGAACGGTGGTATCAACCGACATGAGAGGCTGCGTTCGACCGTCTCGATCTCCAGTTGGTCTAGTACTCTACAACGGACCTCCGCGCCGATAGCCATGACTGATTGATATCAGCCTCCTTTCACGAGCCGTTCTTGACTCGAGACTAGAACCTGGGAGAGTCAAGTGGCGGCTTTACACGAGATGATCGGCACGGAATTGCGCATGTTGGAGACCGAAAAGTGGGACTGCATATGCTGGTGCTTATGAAGAAGCTAGATAACGGCTAGCGGGCAACAGCATGAAGAACCTAGACATTGGGTCCGAACTTTACATCCTGAACTGCTCAACCACTCCTGCTGGGTGTTGTTGGGGGTCAGCTATACAATCCAAGTCAACCGCATATCGCGCTAAAGCGTTGGAAGTCCGACCCATTCAAGTATACCAGACTACAGCACGTATAGTAGGTAGGGTGTCTGGGTAAAACTAGTACTCCGTATACAGATGCGCATATCTCTGTAATGGCGGACAGCACCAGCACCAGCACCAGCCTCCCCAAAGTCGCGGGCAAATCTACCAAAGAGGTCAAAATTCTGCTCGTCAATCCGAATGGCACCAAGTTCATGACAGAGAACTGCCTCCAATCACTTGCAAACACTTTGCCGGTCAACGTCACTGTCACTGGCTTCACTTCACCTCGTCCGGCCCCCTCAGCCATCGAGGGATACCTGGACGCGGCCATCTCGACCGACGCGGCCACACGAGCCATCGTACCAATTGCTCACCAGTTCGATGCATTTCTCGTGGCGTGCTTCAGTGCCCATCCGCTGATCGACGCCTTGCGCGAGGAGGTACCAGGTCCCGTGATTGGCATCATGGAGGCTTCATTGTACACAGCCCGAATGCTCGGTGGACGTTTCGGAGTGGTGGCCAACAATGTGAAGAGCCAGCGAATGCAGGAGAATGCCGTGCGGTCATACGGCTTGGATTTCTTCTCGGTTGGCTGCGAATCCGTCGGACTGAGCGTGCTGGAGCTGGAGTCACGACCACAGAGCGAGGTCCTGCAAGGCATGGGTCAAGCGGCGAGTCGGCTGAAGGAAAAGGGAGCCGATTGTGTGCTGTTGGGATGTGCTGGCATGACGGAAATGAAAGCCAGATGTGAAAGCGATGTTGGTGACGACGTGGCTGTTATTGATGGAGTGACGATTGGGGTTCACCTGCTCGTAGGCATGGTGCGAGAGGGACTGAAGACGCCCAGGGCAGGTCTATACAGAGGTTCGAGGGAGGCAAGAGCAGCACGCGGACAGGATTGGATGTAAGCGACCTCCGAACTTCACTCGAGATGAGTACTTTAGAGGAATAAAAGAGTCTTCTTCCGTTCTAGCTTGGACATCTATTTCTTCGGTTGGAACTGAAGGGGTAAGAAGAGAAACTGGATTTCTTCGTTCTCTCTCAAGACCTTGAAGAGCTTCAATTAGGCAATTCTTCCTTTTGGGACAGGAAAGGAGGCTCGACAACCCCGGTTTGACTTGGGATGATTCCGTACGCTTCGATCCGTCGATGTCTGTGGAAGTCGAAGAGCTTTTATGATCTCAGCATGCAATACTCACAGCGCAATGGAGGGTTGTTACATACCTTTTCTTTACCCTGACGGGCCTCTTCCAGGTCGATTTCGGCCACGACAACTTCATCATCCGTCGTCTTTGATTCTGCTCTAATATGTCCCTCCGAGTCCACGATGCAACTACCCCCAATCAAAGGGTATTTCCCGTCGTCACGCCCTGCCCGAGCAGCGGCGATGGAGAAACAACTATTCATATAGCTGTTGGCTTTCAACACGAGTTGATGATGGTAAAGGGCTTCCTTCTCGCCGTCGACCTCATTTTTGGGACCTAGCGAGCTGACAAGATCTGGACTGAACGACGGGGTGTTGTAGCCGACCATGACGACTTCGACACCTTGGAGGCCGTAGCACCGCCATGACTCTGGCCACCGTCGGTCGTTACAAATCATCATTCCCATGATAGGATCGCCTTTCCCTTCAAGCTCGCGCGACGGGGGGCCACCAGCTGTTTCCTTCTTCAAAGCATCGGGAAGCAGTCCCGGCACGCGGAAGGCCTTGAATCCGAGGTTGCCTGGCTCAAAATATCTCTTTTCCAGCTGGTTGATGGCGTCTGGATTTGGAAAGGGCTCGAACGTGCCTGGCACATGAGTCTTGCGATATTTGCTAAGAATCCTGCTCTGGGACCCGGAATAGTAAATGCAAGTGTTGAAGCCTTTTCCTTCAGGGGTTCGCTCGGCGAAACCAACCGAAATATCAACGTCGAGTCGGTGGGCTTCGTCAAGCAGGATCTTCAGATTCGGCGACTGAGTCAGATCGGCACCGTGCTCGAAAAAGGAATCGAGCACTTCCTTGTCGTCGATCAGAAACCGAGGAAAGAAGGTCGTAAGGGCGGTCTCTGGAAAGACCACCAATTGCGCTCCTTTGGACACTGCTTCTTTCATCAAGACCAGCATACGGTCGATCACGGCCTTGCGGGGAGTGTCGATGTGTACAGCCCCCAGTTGGGCAGCTGCGACCACTATTTTACGAGCCATAATGTTGTTCGTATCTTGGTGTACGCTAGAAAGCGAGGGGCCGGACACCGGGGTGCTGGGGAGAGCCGACAATGAATCACTTGTACTATGGGAAGGGATGCTCAGTAGCCACGATGGTTGTGAAGTTAGAGGAGAACTCTTATTGCTGTCGTCGCCTCAGCAGGAGCGGTGCTAGACGCAACCATTCTGCCTGCCAGTACCCACTACCCTTCAGGCAAACGAATCGCGTTGGCCGAAGTGTGGTGCTGAGCCTCGATTTTGATTCGCTGCCGACAACTTCCAGCGCCTCGTTTGGATATTTCCGCTCTATCAATGCGGTCTTGAGCGACAGCATCCCGACCTCGATAAGCTCGCCTCGAACCGGGTCATCTCTTGGTATTCGACCTTAGACTCTCGTGCATGAAGCCAGCGCTAGTACCGGCCATGGCTAGCGAGGTGAGCCGCGCAAATACGCCGGAAAGAGATATGATATCTCCCAGCCGACGCTGGACCGATACACGCCCTCCGATATGTTGCCTGGAAGCTGTCTACCGAACAACCACAGAGCTCCTTGCAGGTGCTCCTGATTGTTCTGATTCTGAGCTGCTCTGTCTTTTGGCCTGGCTGCCACTGGCTGACCCGTCCTTATATACACAGACATCGCATACTAGGCAGAAGATCAAACGCGATGGAATTCGATCTGATAGTGCGCAATGGTGTCATTGTAAGTCTTAGATGAACATTGATCTGAGCCCTCCTCTGATTGATCTCGCCAGGCCAATGCAGCTGACATCATCCGCGGCCAAGATATCGGGATCAAAGATGGTGTTATAACATGTATCGGGACATCATTGCCTGTTCAGCCATCCACCCGGATCATCGACGCTGAGGGCGCCTATGTGACTCCTGGCGGTGTCGATTCCCACGTCCATCTCGACCAGGTTGAGATAGTGACGGGCGACACATGGCTTACAGGAACCAGAAGCGCCATCTGCGGCGGGACGACGACGGTCATCTGCTTTGCACAGCAACTTCGCCACGAAACGCAGGTGATCCCCGCGATTGAAGCGTATGCCACGCTTGCAAAGGGCGAGACCTTCTGTGACTACGGGTTTCACCTGATCATGACGAATCCAACCAAGAAAATCCTCGAGGAGGAGCTGCCCGTCTTGGTCAACGAACACGGCGTCACGAGTGTGAAACTATACATGACCTATAAGCCCTTGATCCTCAGAGACAGTGAGATCCTCCAGCTCATGACAGCAACGAGACGGTTAGGGATGACGACTATGATCCACGCCGAGAACCACGATATGATCGCATTGTAAGTAGTGTCTCTGTGGAAAAGCGAGCGCAGCATTGTTGCAAAGGGGCGAGACGGCGGCTAAGCATCTCTACACAGTATTATTGAGTCACTCGAGCAGCAAGGACTGACTGATCCCTATTTCCATGCCGTCTCACGTCCGGCCATTGCCGAAGGTGAAGCTACTGTGAGTTTCCATTCTACAACGTATCGAGCTCCAAGGACTCAACGCACATAGTTCCGTGCCATTTCATTATCCGAATTGATGGACACACCAATTCTTCTGGTCCATGTGTCTGCACCGCAAGCCGCCAAGCACATTCGCGATGCGCAGGCCCGACTCCTCCCTGTGTACGGCGAGACATGCCCCCAGTATCTCTGGTTGCTTTCAGAGAAGCTCAAGGGCGAACAATTCGAAGGTGATGACCAGACCTGTTGCATCTTCATTCTGATACTGATTGGAAACCCCTGTCAGGCGCTAAATATGTCTGCTCTCCGCCCGTGAGGGATAGGCCCGAGGAGATGGATGAATTGTGGGATGCCATCTCGAACGGCACGTTTACCACCTTCTCATCCGATCATGCAGCCACCAAGTCAGTTTCAGTCAAGCCAGTCTTCGTCCAGTGCTAAGTGAAGATAGGTTCAACGCCCCAGGAACTGGCAAACGACTTGGGCTTGTCGACGGAAAACCCCTCTTCAGCAAAATCCCGAATGGAATTCCGGGCGTAGAGACACGACTTCCTCTATTGTTCAAGGGTGTTACCAGCGGGCGACTCGGCATCCACGATTTCGTCCGTGTCTGTTGCACGAATCCCGCGAAACTCTACGGGTTGACGACCAAAGGCACCATCGCCGCAGGGTTTGATGGCGATCTCTGCATCTGGTATCCAGATGGGCGAATGCCGCCATTCGAGTTGGACAACAGCATGCTCCATCACGACATCGACTATACGCCGTACGAAGGCATGGAGTTCGAGAATTGGCCTCGGTACACGATCCTCCGCGGGAAGGTGGTTTGGGACCGGGACAATGGAGGTCTCACCGGCAGCAAAGGAGATGGAGTTTATTTGAAACGTGCGAAGAGCGTCTTACCGGGTCCCAGGGGAAAGTTCGTCAATGAGTGGCGTCCTCCGCAGTAAGGGCAGCATAAGAATTGGAAAATAGACTCTCTAGGACGACTTTAGAGAAAGACTCCAGCGGAGACGGAAAGCCGCCCAAGATAGTGCTACTATTCTACAAAACACAGCGCTGGCAGTAGTGGAAGATCTTTACAGTGCATCGTTGACACAAATGTCGCAAATCAGCCGCAATTGCTTGAGAGACCTGGGTATTGATATTCCACCACTTAACCCACGCAGAAGCTCAACCACAAAGCGTAGGGAAAGGGGTTAGAGAGTTCGAGGGACGAGACAGCAGGCAGAGCTCGGGGAACGAGCGTACCGGTCAGCTCGAAATGCTATCTGCGACAAGCTATATCCAGCCACTTTGCAGCTCCTGCCAATGGAAGAGAAGTACACCAACCACCGGCACACAGCTCGAGCGGTTACAACGCACCAATGGCTACGGCGACATGCTCTGCATCAGTTAGGACGGCTTTTTTGGGAACCATTAATGCTCGGAGACTCGGTCGCCTGCCTAATCAGAATGTCAACTCAGGAGTCGAGAGTCACCAAGGGTAGGAATCGACTCCTACCAGCCCCAGCATAGACGCAAGCCGAGTATTTATTACTTGATAGAACTAATTAAGCTAGGACCCCCAACCTACTAAAAGATAGTAGTTCGGATTCCTGCCGCGTCGTGCTCCATCAACTCGACCTGGTGTCTCTTTTCAGGGATAATGCACAACATATCCAGCAGAGGGATTTCGCTGGAAAGACTCAGCACATCACATTCATCTACGATATCCTCAGTAAGGCAGCTGGGGATTCTGTATGACTCGGTAATGAAGCCCAAGACCATGAAATTCCTGCAGAAGAGGACAGTAGAACTTCATTCTACGAAGGCCACGACGGGCCCGGCACCACGACGCCCGACACTTTGCCAAATCCACATCTCCTACCATCAGCGGTCTTGAACCAACCTTGGATGGTGAGTTCATCCCCATCCTCGAGCCAGGACATGGATTTGCCGCCAACTGCAGGCAGCTCATGTTTCTGCGCAAAGCTCTCTAGCAGACACCCATACGTGCCGAGTCCTTTCTTGACCTCTGGCACTGGAGATGAGATGGTCCCACTGGCTATCAGATCACCTGTATTGATACCCCAACCTCCTGAGGATTGGTACGCTATCATTTGCGGAATGCTCCAGTAAGAATGGCGGTAGTTCGACCGGACAATCTCGACGGGGCTATTGCCGCAACCTATCGCGACTTGAGCTTTTGTTTTCAAACAGAGAAATCGTGACTACTTACGAGCCACCGAAGCTGCAAACTCGATATCATACACACCGTGACTCGTCTCGTCGGTAACGAGCGATGAATGGATTGGGGTTGTGTTCGATGTCGGCGGGCCAGTGCAACAACTTGCCAGCGCTTCAACAGTCACAATCCAGGGTGAGATGGTCGTAATAAAGCCTTTGGAATGCATTGGCCCCAGTGGAGGCATCTCATACGGCTGAATGTCTCTGGCTGACCAGTCGTTGTGGAGAACATAGCCGAACACATGATCTGCTGCAGTCTTCGCGTCGATTGTCCTCCCATGGGGGACTGGCTTCGAAATAAAGGCTCCAAGCTCGATCTCAAAATCGATCTGCCTCGATATTTGGAACGCTGGCTGAGTCTCGCCTTCTTTGATGAAGAATCCACTTGGCCGATGGATCTGATGGCCTGATGGGAAGATGGAGGAGCGACGGCCATTGTATCCAAGTGGATAGAGCTTGAAGGCCGGGGGTAGGTCAAGTCCCAGGGGCTTCAGGGACTACGAATGATTTAGAGTGAAGAGACATTCCTAGAGAATGGTAGTCTTACGTTTTCGGCATGAATGAGAGATGAAAACGAGTCGGTATAGTCGGTGATGTCCATAGGTAGGTGCATCTGCGTGTCGCGGCCAAGCACGAAGGCTTTCTGGTTCAGGCCTGGATCCGTAAAGAGGACTGACTTTTCGCTAGTGACATTCTCGATCATTGCCAATCTGACCCATCTCCTTTCGTTGACTTCCAAGGCAGCGAACGAGTTCAGCGAGGGCTGGTGACAAGTATTAGAACGCTATAAGTGGAGCTGAAGAATGAATGTCATGGCCACCTCGAGGAAAACACGTCTCAATATCTTTGAGGTTTTCTGGTGCGCATCGAATACGCCGTGTTGAGCCAGCTCATGAAGTTCGATGACAAACTCTCCGAGCGCCACTCCAGCTCGTGGTTTGGTCTGGGTATCACAGGCTCATTAGTAGGGCTTGCATGAAGGAGACCATGGATGAAATACTAACTCCAAGACCAACACCTTGTGGCGTGCTGAATATTCCAAAGGGGATGTTGTAGTGGCCGAACGGGCTGTCCTCCGGAATCACTACGGGAAAGGAGACGGCAACCATGATGATCAGAATGCATGTGCGCCGTCAACGATCGCGCTGCAGAGCAGCCATGGTAGGTGAATCGGGAGGTCAGTTCAGTATAAAATAACCTACACAAATGGCTTGGTGTCAAGGCTGAATGTCGTCAACTTGCGTCTCGTTGATCTCGGGCCGACAGAACTCGTATAGTTTAGAGTCGTGTCGCTTTCCCC